CAGATAGTGATGCGATGCCCGGACCCAGGTGGAATAGGGCCTGGCCTGTCATTTATTACGTGCCTTTGCGTTGTTGATGTCGTGGCTTCGGTCACTTTTTGTCTGCGAGCCTTGCTTCTAGAATCGCTAGCACCATGCGTTTACCCTCTCAAAAGTCGTCTTAGGTTGGTCGGGCACTGATACAGCTTCGGTTCACGGTGTGAGACTTGGTTTGGTGAGGATCACCGCGGGGAATTGGACTCCGCGTGAATGGTTGTGGACGGAGACTTTTGCGTACGCATTATGATGTATACGAAGGAGCGGGGGAAAGAGCATCTTAGATGACGGATATATCGCAGCTTACAGTATACAAAGTTTACGAAGATTGGTGATAATTACAACTTTCACAAAAACTACCATTCTTACATCAATAATCGGCTCAAACTTACACTCTCGGCTGTACGTATCCCAAATTATATAAATAAGAATATGTTTGGCAACTGACTAGTCCTAGGCCAAAAAACGGTAGAGAGCTCAAAATAATTATACCAAATTAGATTTTTTTGCCCTTTAAACCTAAATAAATAGTAGGTTAAGTTCTAAATAGCTTCAATCCCTATTGTCTCTATTGTTATTAGTAATACCTTTTATACTCTTTCTAAGTATAAATAATACCTTTTAAAATAGGTAAATATAGTAAATTTCTACTATTTGTTAATGGTTATATTAGCGGGAGTTGAACTAATGAGAAGTAACCAGTATAAGTAGAGAGTTAGCACTAAATAGCTCAAAAAGTACTAACTAAGCAAAAGGCATCAACTTTGTCACAGGTTGACATTGGCTATATAGTGTGCATTCCGAGTTCTGCCTTGCAAGCAGAACATCGTCCTATCTTTTGTAGGTTTGGCCGTCTGGGCATGTGCACCCCAGCCTGTCATAAACTTCAACGCTCCTCTTCACTTACTAAAATACAACATTAATAGCCTTAACGCCCACGAACTAATTTATATAGTAATTAATATTATAAAATAGTTCAATATATTGTTTGTCATCTTCGTTTTTGAATTACTTTCACTATCATAGTAATAACAACGCTGCGTATAATATTCAATTATAAGAAGGTTACTTTAATACTTATACATCTAAAAGAACTAATATATATGAAAAGAATTATTAAAAGACTTCATACTAGCTTAACTACGCAATTTGAAAACATCTTTTATAAAAATGAATTTAGGTTGAATTTACTAATAAACTAACTATAGAAGAATATTAGTATTATTTTATTTTATTATTTTACTTCTTATTAGAACGTTACAATTGTTCTATATATTTTGATAAATATTTAATCTTAATATGCTACCTCCTATATCTACCAAGTTTCTATTAGTACTATTAATGAAATTATAAAAAATATATTACCCCGCTTCCGATATTTATATCGCATTGTTATTATATTACTAAATAATGATCAATTAAATTCAAAATCGAATTTAATCCAATCTCTTGAACTTTTAACGGTTATATAAATACTATTAATAATATTTACATAGCAGCATATATTTAAATTAACTAACAATAATGTTTGCTGAAATGCTCCAACTGGCTTATAATAATAGCACCAGTATAGATATGCTACAGTGAACTATGCACTTGTAGTAGAGCGGAGCGGAAGCGGTAGGAAGTACGACAGCAGTGCTGAAGGAAGCAGCGTAGTTGCAAATACAATAGAAGAATGTTGTAAAAGAGATCTTAGAGAGAAATCTGCTCTCAAGACAGAAGACCACAGTGGACTCTTCACTATGAGAAACAACTATTATGATAAACTCTGCACTATAGGAGTAGACTGTATTGTATTGCTTGATTGTGCTTGCTTGCTTAAGGAGTAACTAACTAAAGAAGAGAAAAGGTCTTTATATACACAAACGTCAAGTATCTAGAGCCTTCCAGAGTGTAAAAGCTTCTATAAGTTAATAGAAGTGCTTGTAGAAGTAGTATATCATGAAAGGAATGAACTGATTCTATGAGCTTCTGGTGTATTTTATGATGACAAATTAGTCTAGAGGGAATGCTGAACAAGTTAGAGAATCCCAGAATACAGTGGCAGAACTTCTGTATTCTAGTACGTTCTATGGAAGCTAAGTCGACTAATTCCATAAAAGGAATAGTTCAATTAGTCTTTTATACTACAAGGTATTACAAAGCAGTGTAAGGGTTCTACGAGGTATACACACAGGTAGGCCTTGGTGAAAGTGATAATATTCGACAAAGAGGAAAAGGGAAGTCTGTGCCAGTATGGCATGGAGCTTACAGCTAAATACACAAGAGAGGTGCGTATATCGAAGGTGCTAGAAACGCCAAGGTCGAAAATGTGGTTCGTGTAGCATACCCCAGGAGTGCACCCAGTCAGAGGGCAGGCCTGGCTTTCATAGAGTTCAAGCCAGGCAAACACCCCTACGCGCCAGCCCTATGACAAGCAGTTACAAAGCACATTACTAGCCACACGTTAATAAATAGCTTAATTATTAACAAGTTAATTATTAATAACTTAGAACCACGCAGCGGAATCAAAGATCAGGTCTTGAGAATAACAGTGAGGTCATACTGAGAGGAAGATAGATATTGAAGGCACAGCGTCAACACAACGTCATTGCAATAGAAAAGAAGAGGGTTTTTATACAGCTACGGTACGGTTTTGCCCACTGACTAAGAACGGAAACAGCACTATATACCTACTAGGTAGACTATGTAACTAGTTTAACGTGATAAGACAATATATATATATATTAAAAACTTAGTTTTTAAAAAGGATAGAGTCTATAAAAATAACTTTATAACACAAAAGAAAGTTATTTAAAATTATTACTTCCCGTAGTATTAATAAATCATTAATAAGTATATTATTTAATATATTATCCCTAATTAACAAGAAGTTAATTACTTTTTTAACAAGTATATCAACTAAATTAATAAATATAACAATAAAAGTTAATAATAGTATAAAATAACAGTAATTAACATCAATAATAATACTACAAATATCATAAGCAATTAAAAACTAGGATTTATATAACTAAGATTATTACAAAAGCAGTAAGCTAACAACCCATACTATATCAGATTCGTATAAGTCTAGAATGTGAAGTAGGAAAGTAGTACGGCCAAAGTAATGCCTCCACTCTACTGCAATCAATTGAGGATAAAAGTATCTAAAATTTTATACTGGCCTAGGACTAGTCGGTTGCCGAACATACCCTAACTGACCTTATACTTACCGCCACGTACTGCGTACGTGCGAACGGAAAAACGGGGCTGCATCACACCACATCGAATGTAGTGTAATGCACATCCCTTTCCCGAAATTGCATATTCCATAGTTGTCACATCCTCTGTGGCAGAGTTTGTGAAAGACGGAACCCAAACGAACGAACCAAATCATCTATCACGCACCTCACCATTGCGAGGAGAATATTTGCCAGAGAAGCAAGAATTATTCCTACATATCCTGATACTTTGGGTTTCTTCCATCTTCGGTACCATCCACCTGGAACGAGCTGCGAAAGTGATCGACGATGATCAGACACTCCACTCGAAACACACCGAAAACTTGAAGGACGGACATCACCGACATCTAAACCGGGCCAAGGTTGATTGATTTTTATTACGAATGTCATTTCAAAAAGAAATCGAAACAGTCACGTTCAACTTGGCAGTCATTAAAACCGTCACTTCCGTCGTCCTCGGCACGTGCTGCTGGTGTTATTACCCTGCTAGCAAGAGCTAGCTGGGGGACGAGTTCCGAGACAATTGCAAGGCTGACCGTTCGTAGTTGGATCAGCTAGTGGAAAGAAGAAGTAAACTAAAACAAATGACGACTCCAAAAGTGACTATCCGCCTCACGAAACATTCTTTTTGGAGGTTGTAGTAATCCCAAAGGAGGACGAACGCCGTTCAACCAGCCGAACCCCACAACCTCGCTGTTCTGTTCGCTACATATCATATCATATCATATTCTCGAAACTTGGAAACATGGAATAGGGGGTTACCTCCCGGACTCAACGAGATTCAGCTAGGCTCAGCTCCGCCTACTATGTGGTGTAGTTGAGAGACGGAAGCTCGGCTGCCTCTAGACTAACCCTTGGCCGATCATAAATTCTTGATGCCCCGTTGGTTCAACGTCCGTTCCTGAATGAACAACTTCGCCGAATTTGAACACTCGAGAGATCTTATCCATAATCTATTTTTGTTCATGATTTGATTACAGAAATAAGGATATGTATGCTGGTTGGTAATGGCATCCAATCCATTTAATGCGTACTCCTGCTTGTTCGGATGGATGTCAATGAACAGTAGGTGCTCCCAATCAAACGGTTTCTGAACCAGAATGTCGGCGACTTTGGATGATGGATATTGACGGGGGCAAGTTGCCTGAACTGGTTCAAACCACCATTTATCATTTACGGTCTCAAAGGCAAAAAGAAAGACATACAACACCAGGTTATTCGCCGGTCGTCACCGAACCAACTACTAGTCTGGCGGTCACTGGCTTATCTAGAGGAGATCGGACGGGATCCCGAGTTTTGCCCAAAAGTGCCTATGATCTTATGTAATCTTTGTTCCAGGCTGCTGGTTGTTGAGGTGTGAGAGAGGGGTTGGCGATGCAGGGTTATATACCTTCAGTTGCTGGAATTACATTGTCTTCGAGTTCATCATACTCGTCTGGGCTAGAAACGCCACCGGTGACCTATTGCTTGCCTGTGAAAACACAGGGTCAGACTAGTCGTTTCTAGACCTGACGAGTACGGTTTGAGCTAGGCAGTGTCCATGTCATGCAAGTTAACTCGCACCCCTATTTTCGACATAAAAACTATATTCAACTTCTATATACAATCACCATTCCATCTTCTCGCAACTTTCGCAACCACACATTACTCATCCCCCAGTAACTGCCTATCACCACTCCAGTCTTAACCCACAACCTTCTTCGCCTCTTTCCCCCCCTCCTTCCCATCCTTCTTCTTCTACCTCTTTGCCTCCTTCGGCACATATTTCATACCTTCCCTCCCCTCACTAACCACCCTCCCCCACTCCGCCATTACCCTAAACAAATAAACCTCCTCATCCTCCCTCCTCAGCGCCCTGTTCGCCCACCTCATCCCCTGCTCCGCAATCCACCTCGCCTCCTCCGTCCTACTCTTCAGTCTTACTTCCCGCCCATTAATCATCGCTCCCCTCGTATTTCCCAACCGATCGGCCGCTGACGCTTTCCCCTTCAGCCCCACGAAATACGCCAAGGTGGCGTGCAAGGAGTGGAAGCGGATGTCGATGGGGATGAAATGCAGGTAGGGCTGAAGGCGGGGGGTGTACCAGTGCTTGAATAAGGTGGAGGAGAGGGGGACGGTGGTGGAGCGGAGGGTTGAGAGGAATGTTGGGTGGTTGCTTGAAGCTGAAGCTGAGGTTGAGGAGGACTCTGGGGAAGGGTCGAGGGTTAAAAGATATTGATTTAACAAGGGGTTGGAAGAAGCGGGTAGAGTGGCTGTCAATTCGCTGGGATAGGAGGAAGACGGGGTAACGGACGAAAACCCAATGTCGAACGGCAAGAGGAAGTTAAGCAACGACGTCGGCACGCGTTCATAAGCGGCACGGGAACGGACTTCGTTTTGGGGGATTAGCATCAGGGTTTCTGAAGAAGCAGAAGAATTGGTAGAGACCATATGGACCAGCCGTTCCTGATGGCCGCCACGGAGCAGCTCATCCGTCACCGGCTCCGCTTGCGCGCCGCGCCAGTAGAGCGCGGGGGTCTTCATGTCGAAATCGCTGGTGTCCGGCTGGGTGTTGGCCTTCTTGAGGACTTCGTCCAGCGTGGGGATGGGGATCAGAATGTCGCTGTAGCTGGAGGTCTTGGAGCGGCTGAAGACGGGGACCAGATCCCGCACGGGAGGCACGGCGGGCGAGGTGAAGAAGAAGCTGTGCAGGTGGAAGAGGTCGGATTGGTGGCAGATGGATTGCGAAGCGGCAAAGTCGGCGAGGAAGATGCCGGCCCCTTTTGAGTGCGGGCGCACGCAGGAGAGGCAGAAGTCGCGGACGTCCCAGTGGATGCCGGCGCGGGTGGCGGTGCCGGGCGGGCAGGTCAGGGCGGTCATTTCTTGGAATTTGCGGACGGATATAGATGAAGGTTGTTGGATGCCAAGGGGGGCAGATGGTGTTTCTTCGCCGACTTCGCCTTCACGCTTGGTGAGCAACTTGCTGCCGAATCCCTTTTGCTTTGCCTTCTCGGTAAACCTCTTCACATCCTCCCAAGGGGTGATTACTCGTGGCCGGTCATCCAAGTTGATGGGAAGTTCCATGTCGGGAAGGTGTTTTGCAAACTTGTTGACCATCTTGACCAACTCATCCATGACCAATGCGTTTTCGGAATCTCTAGATAAGCTGTGGGAAGCTGTGCCATTGGCGACTTTGAGCAACGCAATGCCCGGTTCTTTGACCACCCGCTGGATGTCTTCTCTGATTTTGCTGGGCGAGATTCCCCAGAACGGGCGAATATCGTGAGCCACCTGGTCGAAGTCGTCGATGATAGGTGACTTGTTATCCACGGCAAACTTGTACCACTCATCAAACTTTGGTGGCGGATCCCTCCCTCCATAGCGAGCTTTGTACTCGTTCACGGCAACCGGGAGAGATTTGCTCGATGCGGCACGAGTCAAGTACCTGTCGGCACTGGTCCGGGCCTTGAAGATCATTGTCTCGATAGGGTGTTCGAACAAGTAGTCGTTCCTGTTGTTGGAAATGGCGACTATAGTGGCAAAGATGAGCGAGATGAACATGAGCGTAACCACGATGGTGCGATGGATAAGTACCACTCTTTGTATGTTGTTGGCGTAAACAAAGATCGATGTACCCAAGCATATGAGGACTACGGCGAGATAGGCAACGCCGTGCATGGTATTCTCAGCGCCTCCGGTGAGCTTCAGCTTGCCCCATCCGACAGCGAGGCCGGAGATGAAGGTGAAGATGCCCACAAGAGACAGCGGTGTCTTCTCGGTAGTCAGAAGACTTGCGGAAACGAACAGGACGGCAACGGCAAAGCCATCCGTGACAACATCAAAGACATACAAGGCATCGATACCCTTGAAGTGATGGCTTAACGGCACAGAAGGCAGAAACATACGGACTGAAGTGTACAGCAAACCGCTGCCGACTGCTGAGGCCAGAAACACCACACTCAGAGATATCAAACGGCTCTTGTTGGTCCTGGCCCAAGCGAGAACGCGCCATAGTAGGATCACAATGACACCGTCCAACAGGAGACCAAGCCATTGCAGTGAACGGACAAGGGTGCTATTGTCGAAGCTGGCACAAATGTAACTCGACCTCATGTCCTGGGAAGAGGCGAGATAGGCGCCCAAGGAGATGAAAAGGGTGGAAATTGTGAGTGATTGCTTGGACTCGGTAACCCAGTCCGCAACATCATCAAAGGTTGTTCGTCCCAGGTCATTTTCCTCCTCGGAATCCTTGGTCGAGGGGCCTACACGGGCCCGCCGACCTGGTAAGAGCTCATAGAAGAGAATTACCAAAGGAAGAAAGGCTTCGATGCCTGGAGACGAACATTGCAAGCCCGCCGTCACCCGATGGAAGAGTTCGAGTCTGAAGATGATGGCTGCTATCAGAACTGGCAGGAAATATCGTCGTGGCCTTTTCGGTAGGCTGGAAGAAGCAGGTCTCAATGAACCCCCTTCATCATCTGCTTAAGGTCAGTATCGATGTCGATGGATCCGAAGTGGTTGTCAACTTACCGAACCTCCCGTTGGAACCGGGAAGCCATTGCCAAAAGTAACTGGCAGCATAAGAGAAAGCCCCGGCTGTCAAAAGGACTAATATGGATGAGACTCGTGGTTGTTCTGTTCCATGTGTAAGTAGGTATCCGTTGTGTAACATGATGTGAGTACCTGGACTTACCTATTAATTGGTGACTTTCTATACTATGACCAAGCCAAAGGAAGGAAGCCACGGCACTAATCAAGACATGTGAGAGTTAGTATATGTTTGTTGCTGTATGCATGCATCTTCATGCAGATTGTCGGCATCAACCGTTTCAACTCACCAGAACGCCGAGAGCTGTGACCCTCCAGTCGCCCCGGACGCCATGGAGCTCAAAGGGGCAACTTGTTTGTTATAAAACTCCAATGCAAAACTCTGTTTAACGAAAGGCTGGAAGTAAAAAGTCTATAGTACGAAATACTAGGTAGGGATATCTTGAAAAGAGAAATTATAGTGCTATCAACCCATGCTCTCCCAAGTGGAAACAAGCTGACATGACGATAGTATGAGAAAGAGGGAAAAGAAAAGGAAACTCCATGACTAGAGGTAGAATAGCACTCCGCTGACTGACAGAATTCACGGACTGAATCTCAACTCAGCCCCTGTTTCCATTGCCAATGAGATCTCCGTTGGGTGGCTCCAGAAGCCTGGGATAAGCCTGGAGTTCGGGGATATGACCCCCTTTTCTTTCTCCTGACATCTGCCTGCCGGGGCGGCCGGGGAAGCTACTGCTAAGGGACACGTTACTCTTGCACCTAAAAGGGAGACAAAAGGATGTACTCACTAACATCTTAATTACCTGCATGGGCTGCACCTCTGACGTTCCGCCACTCCACCATCCGCGGCTCCCCAAAGTTCGGTTACATTCCCAACTTCAACCCGAAGTGTTCCATCGAAGCTTCGTGGAACCTGACCCCTTCTTCCGTTTTCGCAGCCTCGTGCTTTCTTTTTTTCTTCAGCAATTTTTTAACTTCTCGACACTCGTTCAACATCAGCTTATCCCTAGAAGCACGGTTTCAACTGACTGATTCCACCCGACGCCATTTCCTACCGAAACCTCTGCCGAAAAAACACCACCGATATCCTCAACAACCGCCCGACAACACCCCCCAAGAACAATGTCAAGATGACCAACCTCCAAACGGGCCCTTCCGCCCGCGGTCTCTCACGCTTCGCCATCCCCGCCGTCTGCGCCCTCATCGTGTTCCTCGGCTACTTCTCGCAATACCTCTTCAACACCAGCTCCGACCTCGCTCCCGGTCCTCTCACCCGTCGCGAATCCATAACCCTCAACACCCTCCTCGTCTGCCTCTGGCTGACCTACTACAAAGCCTGCACCGTCGATCCCGGTCGGTACCAGTTTCCACGGAAAGAAAAAGAGGAGAATAACATTACAAATGCAGGACAGAACAAAAGATGGTGCAAAAAGTGCAACGTCCCCAAACCCCCGCGCGCCCACCACTGCCGACACTGCGCCCGATGCATCCCGCGCATGGACCACCACTGTCCATGGACAGGCAACTGCGTTTCCTTGCAAACTTTCCCGCACTTCTTGCGGTTCCTGGTGTACACCAACGCCGCGCTGGTCTACTTTGCTCGACTTCTCTGGGCAAGACTATACTACGGCCTCTGGGACCAGCGACACACGCCCGCGTACCTCGGACCCTCAGTGGGCGCGCTGCTGGGGTGCACGATGTTGAGTATAGTGTGGTTCGCGACGCAGTTTGCGCTGACGGTGTTGCTGGTTACTACCGTGCGCAGCTGGGTCTTGGGCAAGACGATGATTGAGGAGTGGGAGGCTGAGAGACATGAGTCCCTGTTGGCGAGGAGCTATGATGGGGATGAGTACTGGGGCGCGGATGGCGCCAGTAGTGGGTTCGTGCCGGTTAGGGTCGAGTTTCCGTATGATAATGGGTTTTGGACGAATATGGCGCAGGCTATGGGGACAGGGAATTTATTGAGGTGGTTCTTGCCGGTTGGCGGCGGTGGACCAATGATCAACAATGAGGCGCCGTGGAAGGGCATCGGGTGGGAGTATGAGGAGAATGGGTTTAATGATCGGGTGGGCATGTGGCCGCCGCCGGACCCGGAGAAGCTGCGCAGGGAGAGGGCCGGTGCTGGGGGAAAGTGGCCCGGTGCTATGCAGAACCTGAGTGCTGAAAGGCCGGAAGTTGAATACTACCGAAGTTCCGAAGATATGAAGGCTGCGTTTAAGAGGAGGCAACATGAGGATATGAGGAGGAGATCAAGAAGACAGCACTCGTCTGAAGAGGACGAGATCATGGCTGAGTTGGAGGAGGACGAGGGGTACGAGCAGCAACGCTCAAGGCCCCGCTCACCACCACAACAGGGCAGGAGATGGAGGAATAGCGAGGGTGATACGCTTTGGGATTATGGTGTTGATGTGGATGAGGAGGAGAGCTATGGGCATCCAGGCCAGGGAGTCTCCGAGTCAGTACCGCTTGTTGGAACGGCGACCGGATACGATGATGGCCAAGGAGATGAAGAGGACGTGCCGCTTGCGGAGCTAATACGCAGACGCAGAGTAAAAGGCAGTGGAGGATATGAGTGAGGAGCAAGCACATACGCGACATTCAGCTTCATAATACCAGATACCCAATGCACATATTCAACTTTTTTGAACGACTCGGGCTTTTTCTCACTGATTGTCTTGTCTTTTACCATCCGCCTCATGGCCCGACACAGAGAATATCACACACCCTCAAGTGAACAACTCGACAAGGCATACCTAACATATGCTTCTCGCTGGCGTTTACTGTGTTAATCCCCAACAACCAGCATGATGTCATGTCACCACAGATGGGTTGAACAGAAACTGCCGTTCAAAGTTGATGTTCAGTTGAACCTAAGCACCCCCACATAATGTGGAGTAAAAGGGGTTGCCGCTTGCCGGGGAACATTGCCCCGAATCCATTCGCTGTTTCCCGTCAGCCTGTGACAGCGTCGTGGGGCTTCACAACCCCCCTATAAACCGCCACTGACGCCTGAAGGGTCTAACGGATTATAGGAAATAATAATGTACATCTTGAGGGGTTGACGACGCGTTTGGCTGGTTATTGATGAATGATGATCAGGGACCACCAGCTGCTGGATTTTTCATTGCTTTTCTCTCTTGTCAGGCACTCAGGTTGAAAATTCGGGGCTGGCCCAAATATTCCCCAGGACTCTGAAACTGATCTGAGACTTTGTCTCTTTTTTTTCATTCTCTACCATAGTGTACACCTTCTCGTAAATATTTGGTTTGTCTTTTCACTCTCTCAGGAAAATACCACCGGGCAACAACCGACAACGCCACGATCGAAATCTTCCAAGTCATCAAGTTCGGTTGAGTGGGAGAAACGATTCCAACGGACCACTGCCAAGTCTTGATATCTGTTTGAGCCGCGATAACCGCTCCGTTGTTACCTCACTTCTGCTGCAAGACAGAAGTGAAAGACATCAAGTGTTGAGACTTTGAGATTCGAAAACTCTCATCTCATCTTTTTTTCTTACTTGATTTCCTTTCCATCCCAACACTCAAGAGGGTTTCGTTTGCTCTGAGATCCCGCGGGCAGATAAACAAGCAGGTCTGGTCATTCATCTTCACCTTCACTAGACCTTCTAGACTTGGCAGCTCTGTTTGGTTGTTGGTCGTCGTCGTTGGTCGTTGATCAACCCACTTCAAAGTTCAAACTTGCTCGACTTGGTCATTGCTCATCCTCACCACTTCGTCTTTTTGGGTTCCAAACTCAAATACCCTCGACTCAGCCCAATCCAACCACAACTCAAAAGACGTGGACAAAAACCAGTCCAGTCTTCAAGCTCCTACCTAAACAAACCCGCCCAAAAACATACCTCAGAAATCAGCCAAGATGCTCAACTGGTAAGCCGCCTCCCTCACATCTCACCTACCCTCTCACTTGCCCCTCCCTCTCTCTTCTAACACCAAAAAAAGGTACAAAGCCAAACTCGCCGCCCGGCCCCTCCTAACCCAATCCATCACCACAGCCATCCTCTTCGGCGTAGGCGACGTCACCGCGCAACAACTCGTCGACCGGCGCGGCCTTTCCAACCACGACGTCACCCGCACGGGACGAATGGTTTTCTACGGCGGCGCCGTCTTCGGCCCCGCCGCGACAACCTGGTTCCGCGTTCTGCAGAAACACGTGGTGATCCCCGGTTCGGCGAACAAGACGATCCTAGCCCGTGTCGCTGCCGACCAGGGCCTGTTTGCGCCTACGTTTATTGGCATCTTTTTGAGTTCCATGGCGGTCATGGAGGGGACGGATGTGGGTGACAAGTTAAAGAAGAATTACTGGGAGGCGTTGAGCACGAATTGGATGGTTTGGCCGTTTGTGCAGCTGGTGAATTTCAAGATGGTCCCGCTGGATCATCGGGTGTTGTTTGTTAATGTGATTAGTATTGGGTGGAACTGTTATTTGAGTTGGTTGAATGGGAAGTAGAGGGAGGACTCATGGCCCTGTGGCAGGAGAGGACTGGGTTGGGAAGGGAAGGGAAGGTAAAGGTAAAGAAAAGGAAGGGAAGGTAAAGAAAAGGAAGGGAAGGTAAAGAAAAGGAAGGGAAGGAGTGTTCAAGAGCTCTCTCTTTGCAAACAACTGCGAGCGGTCGGGTCAGCGTCGAACGGAGAGATATGAGACAGAAATTTGAGAGTATCAAAACCTGGATACCGACTGCTGTGGTTTCTTCAAGGCGTAGTATAGAGTGCGTTAGAAGGGAAAGGTGATGATCCCTGGGACGGTTTAGACACTTCTCAACACACCCAAACTTGGTCCAGCGCATTCGTTCTCTCGCAAAGGCACGACCCAAAGGAGAGTAAAAGACGTAAAGATAACCAATTCAATAAGAATAAACATTAACTAAACTACTCGCTCGCTTGCCATGCTTGCTTGCCTGTCTTGCTTGCTTTAAAACGACTGTGTAAACCGACTTTTCGTCCGCCTTCCTCCATCCTCCATCCATCCATCCTCCCAGTGTAGCTTGTAGCTTGCTTGCTCTATCGTTTGTAGGGGTATAGAAAAAGATAAGATAAAGAAAGCCATCCGCGCCGCGCCGGTAGTAGTGTAGTAGGAAAGAAACGAAAAGTAAAGTGCCTTCCAACTCGATCCTTCCTCTGTTCTTTTCTCTTGACCCGCCCTGCTCTGACCCTCCAAGTGACTTTCCTGCCCTGGCCGTCTGAAAACGAATATGTGGGGGAATGTGTGTGGTATAATAAAACATAAAACCCCGAAAAGGAGAAGAAGAAAATCCAGAACGTTTCAAATCCATTACTTCATATTGATCCTCTTTTTTTTTTTTTCTTCCCGACCGTCCTGTACTTCCCGTAATATCCAACCCCGACCCTAACCCTAACCACGTCCGCTTCTTCCTCAACTTTTTTCTTTCCCCTGCTCCTCCCCGCACCCTTGCTAAAGAAGAAGGCACCCGCAAAGAAGGACTTCTCCGAACGGCAAGACCAGAAACAGCAGCAGAGCACTACCCGCTACCGTTATTGTTATCCGACCGTCCAAACATCCTTCTCAAAGCACCACCAAACTTCTTTTTCTTTGCCTTCTCGCCGGTAGGTGTTTCAGACCTGTTCTCAGGCAGTGCCGTCTCAGCGCCCGTAGCTGCGGACAAAGCAGTAGCGGTACTTGCCCTCCTAGGACCCAGTCCTGGAGCAACAGCAGCAGCAGAAGCAGTAGCAGCAAACGGACCACCATTCGTCGGGGCAAAACCAGATCCACCGCTGATGGACCTCGTGCCGAGACTTCCACTTCTGACATCAGTGGTGGTGCCGGATCTCCTAATAAATCCCGGCATAGGGATGCCGCCTCCGTTCATGGTCTCTTCGACTGGTGGCGGGGATGCTTTTTCGCTTCGGCCGGGGAGGGAGAAGCTAGGCATTCTGGATCCCCGTTTTTGGAGTCGGGGATGAGGCTGGGTTCTGGGGCTGATATCAGAGGTGGTCATGGTGTCGATGGTAGCGGGAGTCCGCAACCTTTCCTCGGCAACATCGACTTCCTGATCCTGATCGACTTGGCCTTGGTTCCTCAGCCCTTGTAACTCGGCTTTGCTCCGTTCTAGCTTGGAGTCTCTCCTCGCAGCACTCTCCACTGGGGCTTCCGGGCGAGCGATGGCGTCGGCACCTTCCTGGACGTGTTGATGGTGATGCTTCTTACGCGAGAAAACGGACATCAGGCCTCGCTTAGGGCGGTGCTGCTCGGTAGTGGCGGCGGCGGGAATTTCCGAAGTCTGAACATTAGGAGCCGTCTGAGATGTAGGCAAGATCTGACCGCGCCCGGAGCGGGTACGGCGAAGTTCTTCGTTTCCAGCTGCCGCGTCGTTGTCGGCTTGCGGAGGCGCGATTGCAGAACCGAGTCTCGCCGTCTTCGACAATTTGTGATGACCACCAAGGGATCCAACGCTACCACGCGCATTACCATTACTATTAACATATCGCCCTTCCTCCTCTTCAACAATCGACACCTGTCTGTCACGCATAGTGCCCAAGGCCATACTCCGAGCAGCAGCAGCTGCAGGCGCCGAAGTCGAACCCTTCAATCCGGATAGAACCGCCGGTACCGGCGGCACGACCTCGTCTTCATCACTCGACTCGTCAAAACGGCTTTTAAATCTGCTGGAACTCCCGGCATCCTCCTCATCGCTCGAATCTCCGAACCGGCTGGAGAACCTAGTTCCAGTCGACGTCCTCTTCTTCTTATCAGCGCCTCCCTTCTTTCCCAGTGTAGGCATCTTCATGCCACCGGGACTTCTCCTTCCACCAATGTTCGCCGCAGAGTCACGCAGCGTGGTGCGCATACCCATACCCATACCTGTGCCGGAACCCATAGTCCCCCTGCTAGAGGGTGGCGTGTCAAGTTTAGAGTTTGAGTTGGTAGGCGTCATAGCTCGCAAAGAGGTGAGAAGCTTAGTGCCACTTCCGCGACTATCTACGGATCCAGCAGCTGGCGAGTTCGGACGGAGTGATTTCGGGAAGCCGCCAGCAGAAAGGCCTCCGCCGGCTGAACTAGCACGGGCTCGCTTGAAGCTGCTCTCGCTGCTGGTAGAGCCGCGGCGCTTAATGTGTGACTGATGTGTGCTTGCTAGGCGGATTGTAGAGGTTCGGGGAGTCGCAGCCGGAGCCGGAGCCGGAGTCTCCGAAGCTGCACGACGTTCTCGTTTCGTGAGTTGAGATGTTGCAGGGACCGGACCGGGATCTGGGTAAGATGCTCGGCGGTCGGCCGGAGGCTCAGAGCGCAGGGATTTGCGGAGTCGAGGTCCATCGTTCACGGGGGCAGCCTTGGGTTGAGGAGGCGCACTGCGCATAGTAGTTCGCATCGTCATCGTCGATGCCATCGGTGCTACGGGAACTTCAGGCTCCTCCCACTTGGTGCCTGGCTTGATCTGATAGGTACGATCGGGGATCACGCGAGCTGGCGCAGGGGCAGGGGCGGCCGCTTCCTTTGCCTTCCCCTTGGTGTTCTTCTTCCGGGGTTGTTCCTCCTGACGCGACTGCTGCTTCTGTTGCCGTTGTTGTTGTTGTTGTTGTTGTTGTTGTTGCTGTTGCTGTTGTCGTTGCTGCTCAAGCATCATCTGACGAGCCATTTGCACAGCCAAAGCCTGCCTCTCGGAGTTCCTCCTCTCAACCGACTTCTTCCTCCTAGGCTTCTCTACCGGTGCGCTCATTTCTTCCCTGTCACCTTCGATCCCGGCATCCTCCTTGGCTTCCCATTCCAGCTGTGCTCGTCGCTCAGCTGTAAGACTCCTCCAGTAAGCCTTGGCCCGCTCCCAGTCGTCCTCTTGAGGCGACTCTCCGGAGTGAGACCCAATGGCGGTCGTGGCGGTCGAAAGTGCAGGTACAAGACTTCGTGGCGGATCGAGAGGCGACGGAGTGTCAGATGTATCTTGTTGGTAGGAGTTGTTGGCTCCAGGAAAGTCCAAAACAGCATTGAGTGACTGAAAGCCCTCCCCTTCAGCCTCGGAAAGATCCTCATAGGCATCAGCGTATACACTTGAGTCATCCGACTCGCTTTCCGAAACCGGCTGTGATTGAGTGCCTGTTGTCTGTTGTCCAGTAGCTTGTTCGACACCAGTGGCCGAACTCTTGGACGTATCCGAGTCTTCGGGAAACCCACCGGGGACTTCCACAAAGAACTTGGGCGTGTCGTTCTGGCTCACTGGGGGAGTTGGCTGCGTCAAGGAGATAACCGGGATATTCGGAGCACTATTCCGTCGCCGAGCTTCCTCCTGAGTAAACATTGAGTGGATAGCGGGGGTGTTGCCATTCTGAAAGGCCGTCTTGACTGGAGATACTTGTGGTGAAGATAGCGAGTTGCGGCGCGGCTGTGGTGGCGGATCCATGAAACTCGGATAGTCGTATAAGCTGCCTGTCATCTCGGACGCAAGACTGGTCGACCCGTCACTGTCATCGCTAGCATATCCACCTCCCTCCACCGACGTAATCACCGGTGGAAGCGGCTCTCTAAACCGTGAGATATTAGCTGGACTTCGTACCCGTTCCTCGCGTTCCCTTTGCAGCATGCCACCTATAGCATGGTCACTGCTTTGCGCAAAACTTTCAGCTACAGGACTCAGGGGAAGTGGCGTTGTGTATGGCGCAGTGTAAGAAACATCTCCTATCGGTCGAAGCGGTCGTTCATCTTCTTTCGCTTCCTGTAACTGTGGCTTCCTGACATTCCTCACACTGCCAAAGCTGGGAAGCGCCGGCCGTGGCTTCATAGTCTCCTCATCATCGAGTGTTGCCGACAAGTCCACGTTTGCCCATCGACGGATACCGGTAGGGCTAGCCAAAGGTGGTGAGATCGATCGCTCCTTAGGGGCAGGTTCGGCGACGGTGATGGCTGGTTGGGTTTCATCATCGAAGCTTACACGCACGGACTTCTTCCGTTTCACGGGCCGGTCTGTACTCCATGAGGCTTCCGACGAGAGATCCGAGGGCGATGGGCCGCGGGCGGGGCTGGTCTGTTTTAGAGCCGACTTTCGTGGGGAGACTGATCGGGGTGGTGGTGAATGCCTAACAGTTAGAGTATCCTGAACAGGTCCAAAGTGTGCTTGTCGAGCAGGGCTTATTGATGAAGCCCGGTGAGGTTGGTTCTTTCTCTGAGACACTGAAGCTGCCCGTATTGGTAGTTGACTAGCTTGGGAAGATGACTGTATTGGATGTTGTTCTGATTGCGAGCGGGTATGCGAGACTATCCTCTGTCGAGATGGTATCGAGTCGAGAGCACTAGAGCCCCTCGATGTGTTTGCCTCATCTGACTCTGACTCTTCCTCCGGCTCCTCCCTCACAATGGATGGCAACCTCCTCACCATTGGGCGACCATCCTTAGTTACGACCATTGGTGTTGATGTTGTTGGGTGATGGTGATCGGTGATGACTTCTTCCTCTTCTTCGACGTCCGAGTCCTCTTCCTGTGGTTGTTCAGTCGGCTGTGGTTGGGTAGCTGGAGAAATTACGGGAGATCGTGAGGGTGACCGTTCTTGAGTCTCCTGTCGCGAGACTTGTGCTGCTGGTAATTGTTGAACAGGGGCTGGTGCTTGTACCTGTGGAGCTGTCCTTGTCGTGATAGCGGTGCCGGTATTACCGGTCTGGTCGCTTGTTGGGACGTTACTCTTAGTACGACCCACGGTGCCTTGTGCGAGGTGTTGCCCAGCCTTGGGTGGATGCTTCTTCTTCTTGGAACGAGTAGGTTGCTGCGATGCTGCTACGATGGCGTGTTCAACGGCGAGGAGGTCGGAACGTCTGATCATCCGGCGGGAGTTGGGATCGTAGACCAATGTTTGGTCAGCGGCGGAGGCGGAGGAAGCTCGCGGTCGAGTGGAGGATGGGGTCCCCGCCTCTAATAATAGGGAACCCCTTGACCGCTGGGGCTGGACCGCCGATTGGGAATCTTGGGCCGGAAAGTCGGTGGTGCTGCGGGTATCAGCCGGGGATACTGGCGGTGAGCCGACCCTAACCCGGGCTGGATACGAGAAGTTGATGGATGACGCCCGACTTTCAGGCCGATCTTCCTGATGCACCGCAATCTGGGGTGGACTCGATGGAGGGCTTGCCATTGCGAAATCCGTTTTCCGAACGCTTGACAGGTCTCCCACCTTTGCGGGCCCAAACCAAGCTGGGCCATCGTCCGTCCCCAGTTTCTGTGATGGGGCGCGTTCGACGCCCAGGCTTTGTGTTCTGCGGTGCGCACTCTTCTGGGCCGCGCTCGTCCCCGTCATTCCAACGGTCGTGGCCACACTCTTGGGCAATGCTGGAACAGGGGGTAGCTCTTCGATGGACTGAGACTGGCGACGTCTGGAGTTTCTGCTATCGGGTCGGTGTGGACTGGGGCTTCGAAAGGTACGTTCGGTCATGGAGCTCGAGCTCCCACTGCGCCGTAGGTTTGGTCTTCCGCGGGTATCGGGGTTCGTACGTGTGGATGCCACGGAGGCACTGCGCCGAACGGTGCGCTTCGTCTGGATTTCGGCGACATTGGTCGGAGTGATGGGTCGGGCACGGAGGGCGGCGGCGGCGGCAGCGGCCGACAGGTTCGAGGCTTGCTGAGCTTCATTGCGCTTGAAGACGGCGGCGGCGGCAGAGGCAGCATTGGGATTCGCAGTCGCCGCGGTCAATGGCTGTTTATTGCGCGACATGGAATCTAGCAGTCAGCAATCGGGATTCCTGTTCGCGACTGGACTGGACTGGATCGGACTGGACGGGACGGGGACCATAGGGTATCCGCGGAAAGCATGGGGAAGGTAGGAATGAATGGAGAAACAAGGGATAATTGAACAAGCAGCAGCTGGTACCGGTGGAGCGAGCTAGTAGTAGTGTAGGAAAAGTGTAATTGCAAGCGCGCGCGCCGACCACCATGTCATACATCCAGAATCATGGCATCGCGAACAAAGACAAACGGTGATCGAAATGGGCACTGTCTCACTGTCTCTCGGGGGGACAGGACCAGGCCGAAAGGAGGTCTAGAATAGAAAAAGGACGCCAATGACGACATACCGGATTGGGCGGCCGATGCCTCCACGAGCTGCCGAACATTGTTTGAAATGTTGTATCCTCCCCAGCTCGACAGGTAGTATTTCTCGTACCTCTACCTGGATGTCGCTGTCGTCGCTATGTAGGTATGTGGTGGTGTCTCTGTGTTCGTGTTCCAAGCCATCACCAACCTGGCGATCTTGCTCATTACCGAGCGAGGCTTCTCATAGGGCGCAATCGAGGAATTAGTGGAGGGACCTGAGGTCGGCTGTCGGATGCGAGAAAAAGGAGAGATTGAAGGGAGCTGAGCCGTTGGTCGGTCGTCGCAAAGGGTTTATCGGGACGGGACTGAAGAGATAGGTCGGCGACGACACGTGTAGGTGGGAGCGATGATTGCGTGGTGTGGAGGTGGTGATGGTGGTGGGTGTGCTGGTTGTCGTTGTTTGAGACTGGAGGGAGTGGCAGCGCCGGACTGCATGGAAAAGGAGGACAACGGGTCGTCGAGGGTAGTGTGGTATCGAGAAAGAAATGATGACGCTCGGAGGACGGGAGTTGGAGTGCGGTAGCTGCGGTCGCAGTGCAGTTGCAGTGTGCAGCAGCGTCCTTCTCTCCGTCTGCACAGTGGAGGGAAGGATCGATGAATGCGTGGAAGGTCAAAGGCCACTGCAACCGGACTGGAGCGAACAAAAGCCGAATCTCGTTCCCGCCGAGTCCCGTCGTCTGCCGTTCCAACAAAAAACTGGAACTTGTTTGTAGTGTAGTGTAGCCCTGATGAGCTGAAGGAGGGTGACGATGACGACGGCACAGCAGCAAATAGCTTTACCTTTTACGCATGGGATCCCCGGATGAGGAATTAGGTATCAACGGAAGCCCTGGGAAATGGGAACGCCGGGATGGATGGATCTTGAAAAAATGAAAATAAAAAGCGTGTATCGCCGTGTCCGTGTCTGTCCAACTCCACAACCACCTGAATGGGTCTGTCACGTTCAAAACAATGGGCCTGGGCATCGAACTGCGCTCCAGCTGTAGCTGGAGCCACATTCCCGCGTCTGATTTCCACTTCTGTCAACAAATCGTCTCATCGTCGACTTGTCGACTCGTGGTGAGCCTGAAAAAGAGGACCAACCGGAGACCAAGGGATTGCGCATGGTAAATGCGCTAAACCTAATTGAGACTCTCACAAAAACACCCAACAATCCCAATTCGTGAATGAATGCATGCGTCAGTGCCCAGTGTCACTTTCTTTTGGGGAATTGGGATTCTGTGTTTCCCACCGCACTCATTGTCCCCATTCCCCTGTAAGCATGTGCTTTCTGGACCGCGGACCTTGATATGCTTTCTCCCTGTGTAACTTTTAGTGTACATAACGGCACTCGGCTCGGCTGCCCTGCGCTGCCGTGCTCTGCCGTGCATCGAACAAGCATCGACCTAAGCATCATGTATGGCATCATACAGTAGGTAAGGACAATGTGATTGATTGATTATACTAATTGCTTGCATTAACTGCTTTCTAGTACCAATTCCCGAGAATTAGGCATGACCTAAAAGCCGAAAGTGTTAAGATGGGATGACTTGCACCCCGTCCTGATCCCCTTCTCCAGTCCCCTTCTCCAGTCCCCTTCTCCAGTCCCCTTCTCCAGTCCCCTTCAATCAGTACATATGCGCGGATCTGCCTTGTTTATGCTTGTGCTTCCATTTGTGCCTTACTGCCTTGGCCTGTTATCCTCAGTGTCCAACAAGTGCCATCCCCGTTTGTGATCAGAACAACTCCATCTCACCTGCTTGCCTTTCCAAATAGGGAATTAGGGAATGCGGAATCACTTTGGTTTTTGCGGTTGCTCGACATGAAAGATGAAAAACGTATTTGTAAAATGCTTCAGAACCCGTCAAACACGTTTCGTTCGGATTTAGGTTTGACTCAGTCCAGCCAGCCCAGCCAGCACACAGGCCGCATCATTCATTCAATCTATCTACCTAGATGCTCGAAATAAAGTATGTCTTTGTCTGACGTTCGTTCGTGTGGCTTTGTTTGGCCTGGGGGACTTCGGCAGGCGGGGTTTTGTCTGACATTAGGCTTGGCGATCATCGGCATCCAACGGGAACCGGGAGCTCCTCCCGTTCGTTTGTCTCCACTTGGGGACCTGATTCCCGTCATCGCTCGGAAAACGCCGTATAGTGCCGGGCCTCGGCTTAACGACACCATTAACTGAACATATTTGGTGGTATTACACGGATTACATATTGCCACATCGCCAGATTCAAGACCAAAGTATGGTTTTCGTTTTCTAAATATTATCTGTGTGCTCTCTTGCCTATTGAGGCCTCTATCTATCTCTATGCTTTTGCAATAGCGTAGGTACATTTGTTGCTGTCCTCTCTCTCCCTGTCTCTACCAGTAGCTAGCATTGCTGATAGGTAGTGTGATACTAAGCTGTATACCAACAGAAAGCTCGTGTGTTAAAGTGTGGTAAGCAATTATCATCGTAGCTCGTAGGTCGTTGTTTCGAAATTCCGTGAGCCGACCGAGTAAGTGGTATGCCGTTGGTAGGATAGTTGTTGTAACAGTTCAGTCTCTCCTGCTGTCTTCCAGCCATATCATCCACACTCTTCGTCCTCTTGTTTTTCGCTATGTCGCCGGAACCATCAAATACCCGTCTGGCCTCGAAACGGCTACAGACTCTTAATTAAAAGTTTCGCACCAATAGTCAAAGGCGTCTCGATCCCTAACGAGTATGACGCCGAAGTGCCAGAATCGCTCCTCCATCGTTCATCTCCAGTCGTTGTGACCACCCTGACATTCTTCTCTCGCATCGGGCCTCCTCTCCCTCATCATCATAAAATCCAGAACAGGGTATAAAACAACGCTAATATTGCTGCAAACTAATATTACAAGGAAATGGGGGAAGGGTGGTGGCACCGCCACAAAAGCCGTGGCTACGTCCCGCCCCCATCAGGTACCGTCGAGACACGGGGAACGTGATCTGGAACACGTTCATGTCGCTCGGCTTCTATTCCGTTTCTGGTGGCAGATCTTCGTCTGGGTCGTAGTCGTCTTCCTCGCAGTCGTCGTCGTCAAAGTACTCCTCGCTCTGAGTGCCTTGAGAAAGTCGCAGTTCATCGGAGCACCGTGACCGCCCGAAGGTTGATGGGCATCCTGGACTCCATCATGACCCTTGGTAGGCAACTTGCTGTTCTTCTTCCCCTTGTGTTTGCCCTTCTTGAGCCTCTCCCACTGAGCTTTCCGCTGCTGCTCCAACTGGCGTTGCTTGCGGGCCTTGATCTCGTATTGACGGACCAAAGCCTCAGGGGGGTGGCCGAAGATCGACTCGTACTCACAAAAGTGGCAGATCCAAATATCTTCAGGCTTGGGAGGGTGGCGCTTATTCTTTAACTGCGTTTCACGGCGCCGTTGTCTGGCCGCAGCAGCATACTCTTTAGCAGCACTCCTCCTTGTGGTTTTCGGCGCTGGGCCTTGCTGCCCTTGGCCTCCGGCACCACTCTTGCCCTGCGTTTCCTTCCCTGCGGCACCTGTTGCCAAAGGAAGAGCGTGACCATTACCTGGCTGGTTTCCAGGAGCAACACGCTGCCAATTTTCCTGTCCTTGTCTAGTCGTTGACGGGGTCGGCATGTTGATTCGTCGATCAGCGCCAGGCCAAGAGAGTGCGTTGGGACCGGGAGCGGTAAACGTGAACTGTGCGGACGCAGGGCGTTTCGGCGGCAGTGAATTTTGCAAAAGACTTGTACTTTCAGCCCCCGTCGGTGGGTTCAGTTTCTCTGCATTTGCAATGGCGTTGGATATGATCCCCTGGTTCTCGGCTACAAGAGCTACAATCAGCATCTCCATCATAACAACGTCTCGACAAGTGGCAGAGTGGCTAGGATAAAGCGTGGGTAGACTTACCTGAACTGGATGACCATGGAACAGAGCGCAGTTTCCTACCTCTTCCAAGCCAGCTGGTGTTCGAGTCCGATAAGGGCCTGAGCGGGCTTCGGCCGTTACGCGGTCTGCCATATCTGCCTCTTCCAGGACCGGGGACGTTCTGCAAGCCTGGCATATAGCCTCCGGAACCATACTGAGATGCCGAGCTCGAAGAGGTTGCTTCCCCGTGACCTTCAGACGTCTGGATAGACGTGGTTCCGAAACCAGCATCTATGCCAACGTGAACCCCGCCAAGAGCCGCATCACCCGCTGTAGGGATCTTCCTCTTCTTCTTGTTATTTGTGTTTTCGAAGGAGTCATACCCATCGACTGCTGATGCTGCGGAGACAGTAGCTTGTGAATTGACCGATCTCCCCTCATTTTCGTTCCTCGGTGACTGATGACCCCTGCGGTTTGAGGAGTTAGACACTCCGTCCTCGTGACCACGGTCCGGTATGCCCTGTCTCGACGCAGTAGTATATCCTCCACCCTCTGCTACTGAACCATCTCTTCTTGATTGGCGGGGGGCAACCTCTGTAACTCGCTCGCGAGGGGTTGAACTCTGGTCCTGCTCGTCATCTCGGATGCTATACAAACTCGGGAACAGCGATGTAGAGATCGAAGGTGCTGGGGGGTATTGGATCGACTCCGCGGCTTCGGGGGTTAAACGGTCTCTCAGGGACCTCTTGGGCAGGGGATGGATTCTTCGTTCGCTTCGGTATGCGGATGATACCGACACCGTATCGGCGGATGACATTCTTGTAACTTGCACGAGTGCTCTGTTAAAGGCGAAGCGCAAACGAGTTAGCAACGACAATGAAAGCCATTTGATGAGTGGGAAGATGTCGTTTAAGAAGGCCAGCATTGGTGCCACACAACAACAAAAGAATGGCGGGACGAGAAGAAAGGCAGAGTGCAGGACCGGGACAGAGAGAGAGAGGCGGGGTTAGGACGGGAGGGAGCTGGCGGACTCGATCGAAGAAGACAAGACTCCGTTTGTTCATGCCACGTATTTCTGGGAAGCGACCTTGGGAAAACAATCCAACTAGGCCTTGCAGTGTGGAAGGCGCGCGCCTACGAACGTACCTTCAGGATATCACATAGTACCCAAGACAAGACGCTATCAACTTTCGAAGGAGTGCCAGCCGCCGAGGCACTTGACACGGGAATGCGTCAACCACGAGGGGATTTCCAGGCCGTTATAAGTTCGTATGCTTGTGCGAGTTCTGCAATCCGGAGAAATATCTTGGGAAGTTGTAAAAGGAAGAAAACGTGGGCGCCGACGTCGCTTCGATATATCCCTTTCTGCCCAAAAAGACTCATCAGCACCGAAGCCTCGGGAAAAGGAGGGGAAACGTCATGGCAGTCGTGTTCTCGGTGCTACGCCTGGACTGGTTGTAGTGGAAATATGTTTCTCCCGGAAATTGCCACCACATCGTCTATAACAACAACAGCTCCTGAATCATCGGGATACCATCAAGGGATGAAGGCGACAGCATGGTTGGGAGGCGGGAGGAAGGGAGGAGGGGGAGGAAATGAAGCCATACAACTGAGGGGGCAATCAGCTGCTAATCCTAAGCACCCACCTTCTAGGCTCCGAGTCTGGCTCGTGCGGATATCCGGTGGACTGGTTGTAGGCAAAAACAGTGAGAAGCTATGGGAATGTTAAAACAAAGGAAGCCAACAATCAACAGTTCGTCCGAGTCAGTGAAACGGGTGTCGTGTATCGGTGATGTTGAGGGGTGGAAAGCAATGGAGTTCAGTGGTTGTGATTAGGAGAAGTGGGTGTTCACTGTAGTGAGGGCGGGCGGGATGGTGGGCGGGACTACCTAATCGACGCACCCTTGGCTGCATTATGTAAGCATATTTAACCAGTGGTTGTCTGGACGGAGGTCCGTGACCCCATGCTTGTTCCTTCCGCCCCCGCCTTGAAGTGCTCCGGCCGGGGGAGTCTCCATTCGGTCTCCGGTTCCCATCCGAGTGAATCGGGAAATGCAGAGACCTCGCTTTACGATTGGGATTGATTCTCTCCCAACAAAGAGAGATCCACGGAAACTGAGAATCTCCCAAGCTACTAACGCTAGAAATCGATAGCAATCACGACGTCAAGCATATCTCTACTCTATTATCCTCTGCCATTCGAAACTAACCACTCCAAGCGAGGTCCTGAATCTCCATACCTCTGCCTATTTATGTTACGTTTGACGCATTTCGGATTCCTATTCGAAGACCAGGTGCTGCCCTGCGTCGACCAGTGTTCTCCTGACTAACATGGCTTCCCCGACAAACTTCTTCTGGGGCGGACAAGTGTTACTGTTTACACTCGCCAAATCATCGCCATGTACCTTCACTCACAAGGTGAACTCCAGCCAGCAACCCGAATGGAGGCCGGGTTGTGGGCGGTACTTAGTACCTGATGAAAGACGCACTGTGCTACTCTATCGATTCGAGCAAGAGCCAAGCGGTTTCCATCACAGGCTCGCTGACTGCCATTCACAGTTGCATCTGATTTGATGACAACACCACACCAAGCACTGTCATTTCCCTTCAAGGCACTTGCACCCACGAACGAAAACCATTCTAGGACGGGAGACACACTCTTCACTTGGATGCTTTGCTCAACTCGACAACAACTGACCCGACCTGCAGCCAGCAGCAACAACCCCTCCCCCTTCCCGTCGCCCCAAACAATTTCTCCTTGTGGTGCAACAACGAATTCCGTTGTTTGCTACCATTCATGATTTGTTTTCACACTGCACTATTTCACATTAACCCCTTTCGATTTTCAAGATGCCCCTTTTTTATTTTCTGGTCAGTTCGAGCTGGACGGGCTTCACTCCAGTCATTGAAGCGTGATGTCATAGCTCGAACCCTCCCCAGACAGTACGAGTAATTCACCACTCTACCACTTCTACATTCGACTCTTATCACAAACGATACTTATTTACTCGACACCGAAAAATAAACAACATCGACGAGCCGGCTTTCGACGCCGTATCCCAGAGTTTATTAATAAGTCGACTGCCCATTAACTTTTTCCCGGCACCGGATTGGTCGACAGGTGGACCGAGCTTCCAGATGGCCCCGCACGCTTGGGCGCTGCCGCTGAGGAGAGGAGCGAGGTGCCTGGAGCGATTGACAGTGACGGACGGTACTTGACCGGGGTCGGTTTTGGTGGGCAGGCATGGAAGAGAGTGGGCGCCCGGGCGGACAGCTTTCTGCCAAAATTTACTGCAAGCGACCAAGAGCGCTGTGCGGTGCTTGGTGCGTCGTGCTGCCGTGGTGCGGGTGCGGTGGTCCCGTCTTTTTTGGGGCTGGCAACTCGACTGGGTCCCGGGCTCGCTTTCCACAACCATGTACACACCAAGAGAGACCAGCCATCGCTTCCTCCTTCCAGTGTCGTTCACCCTCTCCTCCTCTCCGGAGATCCTCACCACGCACACCTTGGGCCACAGTCACCAAAACCCGACCTGTCGACCTTCTTGTCCCCGTCATGACAGTTAGTCTACCACGGATCTACCGCTTCGACTACCGCCCCCCAATCTCCAAATTGGCCTAGCCAGCAATTCGCATCCCGTCCTATTCATCTCGACGAATCGTCCTTCGTCCCCTCTTCTTCGTTTTTCCCACCCTCGTACCCGCTCAATCTTTTACCCAAGTTAGCAGGGAACGAGTCTTCCTCTCGTGGACATCTAACAAGCAAGCCGGCGACCTCCTCATCCCGATCACGCTTCCCATTGAGCACTCTTCCTCACTTGGCTAGATTTTCGACCTAAGCCCTCGCGATCCTCCACTCGTCGGTCGGTCCATCCTCGACATTTTCCGCTTCTCGACCACCAAGCACCGGCTTCCAGCTACGATCGAACCTAGCACGAGCCTCACAGCCTCGACATCCCCAACACCTCGTCGCTCAATAATCGTGTCAGATTTAATTCCACAGTCCAGTCTCGGCCACGTCGAGTCCTCGCTTCTCCGTGTCCACATCTACAGACGACCGCGTTATCCGGGTTCTCTCCCACCGTCACGACCCATAACTTCTCACGACCTCATTCGCATCACAATTGTCAAGCTTCCAGTAAGACAATATCATTCCTGTGCTAGAGTGCGTCATCGTTCTCAGGCACTCCGAATACCCGACCGCAGCATCCCCTCCTAGCGGGCCTGCGGATCGCGTTTCTCGTCTTCGGCACCAGGCGTGTCGATTATATACATTACACACTTCGAGCTCCTGCCTTGACTGCGGCCCCAGCTGCAAGCAATGGCAGGGTCCGATCCGAGGCGGTCGTCAAGAGCGCGAGCCTCTCAATCACAATCGCAAATATCTTCTACCACGTCGAGCACGTCAGGTCGTGGTGAGCGCAGCACCAGGTATTTCAACAAGGCTGTTTCACCACAAAAGTCAAGTTCTTCAGGATCGCTATCCTCCGAAGCCCCAGACGAGACAATTACAGCCGACGATTCGTTTGGAACACGACGTCGTACCCGCGGCCAGCAGGAAGAAAAAGATAGGGCAAATAACAAGTCTGAGCAGGTCGAAATGGCACACGGCGACGATGATGCCCAGGACGAGGACGAGGCCGTCCGTTGCATTTGCGGCTACGAGGACTACCCAGGCCCTCCACCCCTCGACGAAGACTCCAGGCACGGCTTCAAGGACGGCATGGACATCGACCCTATATTCGCGACCGATGTCACCGACGACGCGGCCGGTTTTTTCGTACAATGCGACGTTTGCAAAGTTTGGCAACATGGCGCCTGCGTTGGCATCATGACTGAAGAATCGAGCCCAGACGAATATTATTGCGAAGAGTGCAAAAAAGACTTCCACAAGATCTTTACAGCAAGCAACGGGTAAATCTTAGCTTTTCTTTGGTCCCAGGGTTGCATTGTTTGGAGCTGAACGTCAGGAGTTCAGCTGGCGTGCGTCAAAGCCCACCACCCCTTTGGCACTGCCTCACTCTCCTTACAATACCCTCTCCTCCATCCACGACTATTGCCAATCCACTCACTCTCCAGTCGACTAACAAAATGATTCACAGACAACGGTATTCGCACTACCTACCCCTCAAGCGCCCATCTCGAACAACTTCTAGATCCGCCTCTCTCAATAAGGATGACACGAGATCACCGCCCAAGGATAAACCAGAGGGCCGCAACGGACGTGGTACGACCACTTCCTCCGCATCGAAGCGAAGATCTACAATGAACAGCCGAGGAGCTGACTACGACGAAGCTGAAGCCCTGAGACGGGCGATTGAAGCAAGCAAAGAAGAGGCAGCTCCCGAACAAACCGAACCCACCACGAGAAGAACAAAGCGAGGCAGAAGCGATAGCGAAGAGTATATCCACCACCTACGCTACCCGACGTCGATAACCGCTAACTCTCTTCAAGAAAGCTAGAAAGCAAGAGGCAGAGGACGAGCTCTCGGTCAGCCTCTCCCAGCCTCGACAAGACTACCGAGGACTCTGACGACGCTGGCACAACGACGCGAAATGGTACAAAATCCAGATCGCGGGGCGGCGCAGCAGGCCGCACTCTGCGCACAGAGAAGACAGATGAAAGAGAGGAGCGAGAAAGACAAAGGGCTGAGGCAGCAAACAAGCGAAAGGGTAGAGCCGAACGCCGGCGAGCTGATGGTACGGAAGCCACAACTCTCGCGGAAGCATCTGAAGCTGACATGGATACAGATTCAGACCCTTCGGACGAGTTACCACTAGCAGCTCGTGCGGCAGTGAACAAGACGCCCGTTACGGCAACACCTGTCGTAACCACCACCGCCACGACTACTGCCACAACTACTACTACGGCAACTCCTACAGCTGCGGAAGAAACAGTTGAACAGGAAGAACAACCACCGGCGGTATCGGAACCCCCTCCTGCCTCGCAGACGACGCCGGAAGATCCTCCGGCTGCGGCTACTCCCACGACAACCAAGATGGATAAGAAGCGGTCACATAAGAAGAAGGGTCGTAACCAATACACACGTGATGACAACGAGCCATCACCCGCTCGGTCGCAGTCAGGAGAGGCACCAGCCGAAATACCGCCTCCTCCTCCTCCCCCTCCTCCAAAGCCAAGTAAGGCCGAGGAAAAGGCTACCGGGCATGGAAAACACGGGAAGAACAAGGGTGGAATGAACAGCAAGATCACCATGACCGACATGAAGAGGAGGGCTGCGGCACTCCTAGACTTCATTTCACGGACTCAGGTTGAGCTTGCCGGCGAGTCGCCGTCGGATGATGATAAGACCAACGGCAACAGCGTCGCGCTACCTGAAAAGCCGGTGTTGGCACCATCAGGGCCTAACGAGGTCAATGGCTCGACCCCAGCCGCCGTCATGACCTCCGCCGATGGGCAGCTAGAGAGGGATTTCAAGGAACTCAGTTGCGTGGAGATGATGGATAGCTTGACCCGAAGACTGGTCAAGTGGCAGCAAGAGTATACAGTATGATACAATGAGCGGATATAATGGATGTTATACTTGATGTGCATATGGCATGGCGGGACGATCACGTCGGATAAGGGCTGATGATTTCCTTTTTTCATGTTCTTTCTTTTCTGCAATTTTTCCTTTCGGTGTTTTCTTGGGCACAATGGTGTTATCGTTAGGCGGCAATGGGATGTTCTGGAAGTTTTATATGAAGAGTACTTGGGGTCAGTAGTTGTCCTCCCTTCCACCTCAACCTACTGAAGACGTAGGCCCCGGGGTGGGTGGTGAGGGCCAGCGACTATGCATTTATTGGGGCGTTGTTCTTGGTTTGATCAGGATAGCTGGTTCTGGTGGTAAGGACGGCGTGATGGGTATCATTCGGTAACGGAGTATAGAGTTCCCAAAATTTCATCACTTGGGTTTTTCCGTGTTATGATCATGCATGCTTTCGTGTTCGTTCTGTAGGTATCGATCCTCATGCTTTATCATTGTTATCTGGCCTTCGATGCTATGCTCGTACAATGTCATGCTTGCTCATGCTTATGCTATGCTACTAAATCATCATTATCGTTCCAACTTCATCACCAGACGTATATCATAATCGAATCACCTCTCATTACCCCCGTTCATTTTTCTTTCTCGTCTCTCGCACAAAGAAGACCCCTGAAACAACACCACCAGAAAATCAAGATCAACTCTGCTTCTCCCTCACGCCACCACCCCCATTCTTAACCCCCGACGATGACCTCACCAATCCCCTCTCCACATCAACATCCCCATCAACATCAACCTCCCGAGCATCTCCCACTCTCTCACTCTCACTAACAACCCCATCACCACCAGCACCTTCCAAAATCGCACCCCCCTCCTCCGCTTCCCGCCTCGCCGCTTTCTCCTCCTCTGTATCCTCCGGCTTCCCCGGCCTACAAGCCCACCCATCCACGAACCTCAACGTCTCCCTTCCCCAAATCCTACTCATAATCCACAATCTCACCGGCACCAGTATAATAATAATTACCGGAAACCCCGGCGCCGCGACGGTGAGTGTGACATAAAAGATTATCCCCGTAAGCACGATTTGCGTGAGGGTATACCCGTGGATTGCCCACCTGTTTATCGGCTTCTGTCCGGGTCTAGTCGGTGAAGGTAAGGGCGGGAGTTCAGAGGGAGGGGATAAAAGCTCGAAAAAGCGAGGCAGGATCGGGTTCACGGAGAGGGATTGGTAGCCCATGTACATGAATAGTCCCGCGAGGACGGAGGTGGGTGTGAAGCCTAGCAGGTGCTGGAAGGGGGGGGAGATGAAGAGGAGGATGAGGGCAGATTGGAGGAAGGGTGAGTAACGCTGTTCGTGGACGCGGGGGATTAGTTTTTTTTGTTTTGCGGGGGGTGCTGGGGTGGCGGTGGTGAGGGAGGGGGATGAGAGGGTTGTTGATGAGGAGGAGGTGGAGGATGAAGATAGTGTAGGTGAGGAGTGAGTGGTAAGGGGAGTTGAGGTCAAGGGTAAAGAGTCGGAATCAGAATCATCAGCGTCAACTTCCACCCAGTGACGCAAAGATTCTGAATGCAACGGCGCCTGCGGTAACAACCCGTTCGCAGGCGGGATCCCCAGAATCCCACACAGCGCAGTCGTCGTGCCGAGCAAGACGATATCCCATGCGTACCCGCCCTTCTTGCGCACGCCGTAGCGCTCAACTGTGCAGATGATACTGCTGATCTCGTGGTCAAAGTAGAACAGCACCGTGATGATGGCCCCCGGGATGATAGAGATGAACACCCACTCCAGCGGGACCTCCCAGAACTTGACGAAAAACGTGTCGCGGTTGGGGGACGTGGGTCGGAACTTTTTTTGGATAGTAAGACGCTCGTGCTCGAGGTTGGCGAGCTCGCCCATGTAGGGGACGCCGATGAAGAAGATGATGGAAATGGCGGCCGCGTACTCGGCTAGGCCCATGCGAATGATTTTGCCAAAAAGTGGTTTCCATGAGAGGGCGGTGGCTAAGAAGATGGCGAGGAGACAGGTGCCGAAGGCGCCGATGGTGGAGTAGAGGAAGGCGTCGAAGGGGACATTCTCGTGGTTGCGCTTGAGTTCCAGGCTGGCTTTGTGGAAGTAGATGACTGAGTTGAGCAGGGAGAAGATGTCGGCGCTGAAGTTGGTCACGTATTGCATGGTGTAGTCGTGGGCGTTGAAGATGGCGAGGAGGTAGTGCATCCAGGCCGAGTGGATGAGAGACCAGGCCATGACGGGGAGGAAGGGGACCTTGAATGGTTGTTAATGGTTACCCTTGTGGTTTGTCTTTGACATGTTGACCATCACCGTGGTGAGGTATCGTCGAGTGACTTACATGAAAGTTCTCGGTACATAACTTGTACATGTTCTCTGCCAGAACGGAAAAGGGACCAGTGACACCTAGGATCGTCAAAGGTTGTGCAGAGAAGAGGGAGAAGATGAGACCGCAAAGGCCAGTGCTAAAGACAACTTCGATGGTGCCCCATGATTCTCCGGTGAGAACAAAGAGATCGTTGGCGAAAGTGATGCCGGGGAGGAGGTTGGTGAAGAAGACATAGACGGCACTGGCGAGAACCAGCTGGTTGAATACTGTCCAATCCGAAACATATCTTTGGCGGAGATTGTGTATATCCTCCCTTAATAACCTGAACGGTTGGAGTTTCCCTCCTTTCCTGAAGCGGTTCCTGGCTCTGGCCAGCCATGAGGCTTTGGCCGCCGGTGGCTTCTCCAGCATATCGGGTTCCTGCTTCAAGCCCATGAAGCAGTGAAAAGGTTGATGTGTCGATCTCGGGAAATAAAGTTAGTTTGAAGACGGCAGGGGGTGAGGAAGCCAATAGTCGTTGGCCGTTTGGGTTCGGCTTATATGTATATAAGCGGGACCGAAGCCGGCGAAGGGAGTATATTAGAGATTAACACTGGGAACCGACGTAGGACAAGAGACTGTTTGTTTTTCAAACTCGGTTGCTGGAAACTTTGATCTTTTATCTCGTCTTTCGACCGTTGGCTGAGCATGAACAGAGACCTCACCGCGTCTTCAAACCAGGAACTTCGTAAGATAATGAGTATGGATAAAGAGATATCGAGCTAACAGAGCGGTGAGAAAGAAACCTTGGGGGATAGTATAATGTCTAAGTGGGAAAGAAGGGTAGGGCTCAAGGCTAGCATAGGGGGGAACACTCCGGCCTAGATCTTTTCAGACAACGCCGATCACTTCAAAAGGTTATCGAGGGGACGGGGAGGGATGATGGGCCAGAAGGACCGAGAAGAACCCCTCCCTATCCATAACCGGGCACTTCTGGGGGGTTAGTTTCATGGCGGGCAGTGTTCACTGTTTAGGATTGAAAACTTCTCTTTTTCCCGCTTTCCAGTCTCTTTTTCAGGGCATGCCCCAATGGCGCCTTTCTTCCAAGGCTCGTTGGTGTTCTTGGCAAGAACATTGGGGCCACAAGCGAACAGGTGCGGACAAGGCCGTCCTCGACTCTCGTCTTCGATACAGCGCACGTGCCACCACCGTCTTTGATGCCCGGCCTTGATTTGGTCAAGTCCACAAAACAAAGATCAGAGATGCCCCACAAAATCGCAGATCCGGACGTTTCGCTGGAGACAGGGGTTTGAAAAGTCATTACGTCATGGCTCAACCCACCATCAAACAGTGTTGCAGAAGTTCGGATGAGGAAGGCGGTCACAATTTCTAACTACCAGCAGTCCAGCCCGAGTCGTGAATCACAAGCATCTGATTGACATTGATAACCTCTAGTCATGACACCAAGCCGAGTCGATGGCGGTTTGTTTTGAAATTGTTGACGGAAAAGTTAACAAATGACAGTAGAAATATCCCAAGCGGGAACTAGGCCGTTATGTCCTTATCGGAGGATGAGCCGCCGATAAGCAATTATCCGTTATCAGAACTCAAATTCCCGACTTGGCCCAGGATCGTGAAGTTCGAGCGACCCTAGAATCAACAATGAGTCCCGTGGAGTTTTCACCTCCAGATATCACCTTGCGAAGTATGCTATCACCAACGACAAAGATCTTCCTCCCACCATAAAATCAATTCCCGAATCGAGAGCGACGACGACGCGAAGCCGACCGAGACTTGCCCACCCCTAGGCGCATTCGATCCGGTCCGACATAAGGGCGAAACCGAGCCCTCCGCAACACCAAGACAGTCACAAGTTACACAATGTCCGGCACAATAACTGGCAGAGTAGCGGCCAGCGCAACAGCCGCCGTGACTTCAGCAGCCGAGAATGTCGCAAGAACCGCAACCGTCCTCACAGCCGCCGGCGGCTTCTCACCGCGCGAAGTCTACGAATCCTCGACGCAAATCACCCGCTCCTACTACCTCGGCCACCACGCCTCCGCCCTCAACAAAATGCGCCAGACCATCTCGAACGTCGGCCTGATCATCGAATGTCGCGACTTCCGCGTGCCCATCTGCTCATGGAACCCTCTCCTCGAGCGCAGTCTAGCCGCCTCCGCCGCCGGCGAGCGCTCCCGCATCGTCGTTTACACCAAGCACGACCTCGGTCCGCCGTCGGGCAACTTCTCCAAGGAAACCTCCATCGAAAGCTACACCGACGGCCGCTACCAAAGCGGCAAGGACATCGTCAAGACGCTCCGCAAATTCCACAAGAACTCGCACACCACCAAGGACGTCATGTTCCTCGGCACCTCGGCCGGCGCCCGCAGCCGCAACGACGCGCCCAACAACGACAAGAACCTGCTCGCGGCCATCAAGCGCATCGCCCTCGAAGCCGAGTCCCTGACGGGCATGCGCGCCATGGTCGTCGGCATGCCCAACAGCGGCAAGTCGACTCTTCTCAACCGGCTGCGCGCCAAGGGCATGGGTCTCCCCAAAGCTGCACAAACGGGCTCCACGCCGGGCGTCACCCGTAAGATCGGCACCCCCGTGCGCATCATAGCCGGCGAATCGGCCGACGACCCCAGCAGCGCCGGCTTGGGAGAAGGTGTCTTCATCATGGACACCCCCGGCGTGTTCATCCCGTACGTCTCGGACCCGGAGGACATGATGCGTCTTGCGCTAGTAGGGTGCGTGAAAGATGGTGTCATCCCGTCCGTCACGGTAGCCGATTATTTGCTGTATCACCTCAACCTCGTCGACCCAAAACTCTACACGCGCAAGTTCGACCTGGGCAAGCCAACCAACGACGTGCACGAGTTCCTTAGGGCGGTGGCGACGCGCACCGGCAAACTGAGAAAGGGGTCGGAGCTGAACCTGGAGAACGCGGCCGACTGGGTGGTGCAGGCGTGGCGGCGCGGAGACCTGGGCCGGTTCGCGCTTGAAAAGGTCACAGAGGAGACGCTGGCGCAGGCGGTGGAGAAGGCCAGGGAGCCGACGGTGAGTATCAGCCAGGCGAGAAAGCGGGAGAAGGAGCAGAGGAAGGTTGCGCAGCAGATGAAGTGGGCGGGTATCTCGGCGCCGCCTGTTGCGTAGATACTGACCAAGATCTGAACATACATGGAATGAAATGTTGAGGGTCCGGAGGGTTGCAGGTATGGAAGTTGGAGAATATTTATACTCGCTCCTCTCTGGGCAATAAGGGGAAAGGGAAGCCACCAAAAAAAAGAAGAGAAAAAAAAAAGATATTTGATACCCGCCTTTGTAGAGGATACGATGGCTTCATAGTACAAGAACAACAAATTTTGGATAATCGGTCTTCCGTCATTCCTGACATTAGACTAGACCTTAATGCCATGTGTCTATATTCCGTCTTCAAATCTGAATAGTCCACACGCATGCGGGCGAAGAAGGTTCCAATTTCAGAACCGTGTAATAAATGTACTTCTTCATATACCTGACTACCCAGGTACGCACTTGGTCGCAGTCAAACAAGGAAGACAAGATTCCTAAGAGGCTCGATCTGCACAAGAAGCGTGGAACATCAATATAAGAACGAGCGGAACTTGAGGTGATGATGGCACATGCTAGTAACGATGAGATTCCCATCCCATCTGCCACTCAAAATTGAAGTCGGGATAGAAAATAGTCTTCAAGACCCAAAAATAGGCAAAAGAGAGCATGAACCCAAAATAGCGAAAAGAAAAAGAAAAAAAGAAGTTATTTGTGATCATCGTGCGACGTGGGCCTGATTCGAACAGACGCTCCCGAAGGAACAAGATTTCTAGTCTTGCGCATTAGACCACTCTGCCACCACGCCAATTGTTGTAAGATGGGTCAGATGGTTGCATATATCAATGCATTCCTGTCACAACCTTTCATGGTTCAATGGTTCATTCATTCATTCATTCATTAGTTATCCCTCATCAGGGCGTCAAATCATCTACCCCATCATTTTCATCCCAATTTACTTCCAGTTCTTGCCAAAGAACTCCAACACGGTCTTATACCCTCTGATGTACTCGCTCTTGACGCGCTCGTCCTTCAGGTCGCTGCGCGCCGCCATCCAGCCGTGGATCTGGTCCTTGAACGTCTCGACGTGCTTGGGCACGCTGAGGTTCTGCTCAAACTCCTTGACCTTGTCCTCGGGCTCCTCCTTGGATGCGAGCAGAATTAGCGGCACCTTGATGCCCTTGGCGTCCTCGGGCTCGACCATGGCCGGGTGGCATTCGGCGGCGACCGAGAAGGGGTTGGTCTCGGCGTTGGTGGTGGTTAGGGAGACGACCTTGCCGCCCCAGCAGAACTGCGTTGCAAGTTTTTGTCAGGTGGGCTGTCTGTCGTGGGTAACTTGAAATTGTAGAGGGAGGAAACTTACACCGATGAGACCCCAGGACTTGATGTTGGGGTGCTTGGCGCTCAGGGCCTTGACGAAGGCGGGGAGCTTCTCGGCGATGCCGGGAGGAGGGTTCTTGCCAAAGAAGGCGCCCAGGTTCTTCTTCTTCTCGTCGTTGTCGGGAGGGTACCACTCAATGGGGCACGGCTCGCCCTTGAACCAATCGGGCATGAACACCTTGTACTTGGTGTGGTCGTCGCTGGTGGCCAGGATGTCGGCACCCTGAACGGTCTGGTCGAAGTAGCCAAAGATGTCGTAGATGACGACGATGCCCTTGGTCGCCTCATCAGGGCCGGTGACATAGGTCTTCAGGCCATCGTACTCGCCATAGGTACCCCTGGCATTGTAGCCGGAGGTGACGACGGGAGGGATGTTGCAGCTGGTGGTGTTGTGTTAGTGGTGACTTTCAGGATGGCATAAGAAGAGGCGCATCACATACCAGGCCTCGTTGTGGCCGTGGCAGGCTTGCATGGTGGACATTTTGGCTGTTCGCACGGATGCCGGTTTGTTAATGAGGGTATTCGCAAGGAATTGAGCAGAGATGGGCCGTGAATGCGTAGTTGTCTGTAGAGCAGCACTGGCTGAAGCAGCTTGAGATGTGCTTGTATGCAGAAGACGCGAATAGGCGCTGGGTCGCGAAACAGAAGAAAGGCTCGCAGAGGCAGCAGATGGCACAGAAGCCGGAAGACGGAACTGACTGGGACCAGGCATACCTTTAGTGATATACTTCAAGCTGTATATGGAAGTCTTGAGGTCCAATGTTTGGTTTGTGTTATGTTCAACAATCTCCATCGCAACCGCGGCGCAGCACACGGCAGGGGCACCGGTGGGAAAGGCGGGGTAGCTTCTCCCGGTTTCCTCTGATGTCACCAGCACGTCCGAACAGCTTCCCGAAACCCCACCTTTCCGCCCGTCTTCGAAAAGGAGTGATGGCCCCAATCGGGACTTCAATTGCCGACCACGTCTGACCAATCATGTGTCGCCACTGGCTCTGTAATCCATCCCATCTTCCTCCAATCCTCCATTTCTTTCAACCGTTCGACTCCAACCAACCAACACCAACACCACACAATTGAACACCATCCCGTCTCACCCTTTTTCATTGCCAAGGCGGCCGCCTCACCACCTGCCCTCCATGCCGATCCGTCTGTGTTCTTTTTCCGAATTTCGAATTTCGGACTATCAATCTACCTATTCTCAGCTATCTTCCCGAGGAGATCTCAAGCATCGGTGACACACGACAGGCTTCATCTGCGTGTCAATCTGACCAGATAAGATGATGGACCACTGAATTGCACTCTGATCGCTAAACAAAACAAAAGGCACTCTAAAAATCACAAAGCCCGCTCGTCTTTTCCCATTCTTTTCCCATTCTTTCCTACAGTCTTTCGCCATAACACCCCGAAGGCCTGAACCCACCGCCTCCAAGTTCCCGGAAAAATATTTCAGTTTTGTTTAGCCCAATAGCCGCGGCCTGAAAGCCTGGCAGGCACCACCTCACAAAGGAAATAGCTCCGTCGTTTTCGTCCAACACAGAAAGTCTGATAACATTTCTTGTTGTTTTCTCCAATCTCCCTCCAGCGTTCACCACTTCAACAAGCTAAGCCTCAGCTAGGCACTGTTGATGGTGTATCCCGATTTCCTAATGTCGGCCACTGCCTTCATCACAACGGCCACTTCGCTCGCGAACCGAAGCTTCTGGTCCACTTCCGAGATGGACACCCAGGACGCCTCAAGCTTTTCGTATGCCTCCTGCGTACCACTGTCTCCCGTGGCTGTCGAGTCGGCCGTCGCCACGAAGAAGAAGACAGCCTTGAGCGCTTTCGTATCCGACTGCGGGTCTGGATAGAGGCAGGCGCCGACGAATTCGGTGCTCATGTGTCCTTCGGTGATCTGGGGGCTCTTCTGTGGTGCCCCCATCTACCCCTTCGTCGACGGTGGGTGGTGTTGCTCTCGTGGCAATGTTGAGTTTCAACGGCGTCGCTCGCACCCCGGTCTCTTCGTATGTCTCCCGTAGAGCCGCGTTGAGCATGGGTTCGTCAATGTTTCTTCGGCCCTTGGGCAGCTGAAAGATTTGAAGATTCCGGTTCCAGATCAACAGCACCTTTCCGCGGCCGAGGTCAAGCGTCACGGTGCCGCAGGAAATCACAAAGGCGTTAGCTGGGTGAAAGACCATGCTGGCATCAATGCCATCCAGCCATGGCTGAAGATCGATTGCCATTTGTGCTGTCAGTCTTGTTGGTTCTTGGTGTGTCTGGCGTCTTTGGAGGCCGGCAAAGTGTCAGTGCTGTGGGAGAAGTTGTCCTTGTGAGTCGTTTGAGCACTGAAGAACCGGTCAAAGATGCTCCATATATACGTTTTCCAGTGCAAGCAATGAACGACCCGAGGACGATACCCTCCAGTCCCACCACAGCTGCGACAAGTCTCATTTATAGGTCACGCCATGAAGAAAGTCCTCAGTTACGGAAACAGCTTTCTCGCCCTCTACCAACACCATGTTCAGGTTATATTAACAGTACTTTCCATCCATTGTTATTTTTTTCGCCGACCGAGCGGCTCAGAAACACGCCATGGTACCCGGTACTCCGGGTAACTTCGTTCTGATATTCTTCAAACGCCGGTGAGCGACAGTAGCAACCGGTCAATCTGCAGGGCTGATCCAAAGCATGGGTTCACGGACTGAAAAGGAAACAAGCGCCTACCGGCACATCATCATGGCGGGACCCATGGAAGCGACCAGTTAAGGCCTGTTCCCCACCTATCCATGCAATATATTTACCACGGACGCGAACTTCGAGCCTTGTGTCACGACCCCATTTCGCAGACTTACGTACAGAATCGCCCTGTCGTGCTGCGAGTTGGACGGTCCGATACAGCTCCACGTGTTGTCTTCCTTTTAAGTCGTCAGTCTTACCACGGCCTGTCGTCGAATCAACACCGGCCTGCTCCATACCAAAGCGGCGATAAGTGATACTTGGGAACAGAAGATCATGATGCTTCATTTGAGCAATCACAAGGCCGACTTGACTCACAGTATCCTGGTGACAGCCATGACCCATCAGTCCACGGTATCACCATAAGATGCCCGATGCTGTTCATTCCCCAATACCGTCATCAGCTCACGACTGCCGGTACAAGCCAAACACTTTCTATAAAAGCAGAGCTTACCCATTTTGCCCGGCAAGCACTGGGTCACCGAGTTTATCCTGATGACTACACCGACGTTTCTATCCCTGCCTCGCCATAGTCTTCACCGGGGCTCTCTGCGGTTGTCCGCCGTGCAAACATTTTCCCGAGGATGAAGATTCATACAGATCCGCCTTTTTCAGGATAGCTCACCCGGGATACGGAAACGCTTCTCTTACGTACCCCTCAGAACCGGAGGCCAATTGCTGATCCGTATTCACCGAGCCGCCAGCATACATTCACTCCCAAGTTTTCCACGCTGTCTTATAGCCCGCGCATATGATAATCACCAAATTTTGTCCACCTCTCCCCTTTGACCGATTGAAAGCTGGTACGCTCTGCGATCCTACCCCTCCGGCTTTGTACTACCAGCTTTTGACTCCCATTCGCAGATGGACCCCCGCGGTGGTCTTACAAGCTATTCATTTGTCTATTTGATCAAGGAAATGGGCCCATGTCACCCGACAAATTGGGCTTGGTCTTTCCCCGAGAAAAATCTCCAGTGCTTTTGAGTAACTGGTCAGCAAAGAAGAAGCTAAGATCGCATACATATCTACCTGCCACGTTGGACGACGCTCTGACAAGCCGTGCCCTTGGATACTACAGTACGCTGCCCAAGCGTTGCAGAAAGGATTGGGAAGTTTTCATATGATGACGAGGAACAGGAACCCCGAGAATACATCAAAAGTGGCGGTCACCAGTCAAAGCGAGGTATCACTCGACGGCACAAGGGGCAAATTATCAAGCGTGATCGGAACAACTTTCCTGTCTCGCCTTCGACAATGAGGTCCAGACTTTGGAAGTCATATCAAGTTCTGCGTGCCCAGAAAATTTAGTGTGCGGATCTCGTTGCTCCCAGTGTAGTCCAGGGGTGACTTTCGTTCGCTTCTGCATCACCGAGGTCACATGGCTCAGGAACGGCCACCCTACGTACCATCGGCTGCTGTTATCTGTCCTGTATCGTGGGGATCCCGCATCAGGTCAGCCGGAAAGTGTCCACGATGGAGGCTGATCATGTTTCGGACCGACGCCAGGCCCGGCAAGCAGGTTCAACGGTTATGTGCTTATAATTGCGGACTCCCCTGCCGCCGCAAGCGCCCTTCAGGGGAAACATAGAGGCGTCGAGTTATCTGCGTTCCAGCAATACGACGGTAGGGTTTTTAAACTCTGGTACACATGGGGAAAGCGGACGAGAAACGGCCTCGGCCGTCCGCTTAAGTCGACAGACGCGGCTCATCCCATATATCGCAAGCCGGAAAGGGCAAAGAGGGAGATTCCCGAACGCTACCTCTAACAGGAGCAGAAGCAAGGAAGAGACGCGATGAAGCTGTTTGGCGATGACCAGTTAGCTCTAACGCGCAACCTGTGTCGACGATCCTAACTCGAGCTCAGCAAAAGCACGCATCTACCTAGACCGACGTTACATAAGGTCCCCGATGCTAAGATAACACTGATGGTTTAGACTCTCGTTTGTACTGACCGGTGTGGATGCCCGCAAGAAGGGATCGAATATGGAAACAGAATCGCGAAATATAGCATATACTAGGTTATCAGACGTTGTTATTTCTTGCTCGCGGTGCGGAAGAAGTAGGACTGGCTGAGATGCTTCACCAACAAAGGCTACGTGCATATGCTAGGGCAGCCATGATGGTACACGTGTATAAATGAAGCGGCTTCTCCCCGGTGTGGTTGCTTCCCACATGTTTCCTGTGGGGGGAAAGGAAGGTCCCCGAATAAGGAGCACTTTCGCTGACGAAGCACATTCCCTTTCGGCGGGTAGTTCAACGTCAGAGGTTTCCATATAGGACCAGCGGAACCAACCGGGTTTCACCACACACACGCACAACTGTGCGGCTCATATATCACATTTGATTAGTGATTAGAGCCATTTACCGCCCCATTCTCATCACGATGAAGCGAAGAGAGAGTGTGTGGGGGTTACACTTCCACTTCCGAACGCCAAACGCAGGCACAAGGCACAAGGCACAAGGGCACACTTACACAGAGACTGGGATCTGGGAAAACTAGACTAATACGAAGCAACGAAGGACAGACAAGGGGCGGGAAGAATGGAAGTCTGGACAAAGGTTAAGGTAGGGAAGGTAGGTCCGTCGTCATCATTCATCATTATAGGATGGATTGGGAAGCAATCACATACGATGGTACACGACGGAGAGCAACAAGGAAGGAAGGAAAAGTCCGGGCCCGCCCGTTCACAGCATCCTTTCTCGTGCAGCAAGCTGTGTACACACGACACAGTAGAAGTGGGCTCATGGGTGCAGCTCGTAAAGGGACTCAAGGGGGCATGTTGGGGAGGCTCTGCTGTATTTCTTGGTTGTTTATTTGTAAACATCACCGAGGAACAGGCTGGAAGACTCGATAATATCGAGTCTCGTAGGCATTGCCATCATTCCCGGTCTAACGACACATCATCACTTGTTCCAAATCGACACATGGCACTAACAGAGGAATCATCACAGAAATTGCCCACGCCCTCTTACATGAGGTGTATAGTGGCAAAGATACTTCCGGTTTTTTTTATTTTTTATTATAAACTCATGGTTTCAAAGCCCACTCGCCATCATCATCCATTCCTTCCTTTCCATCAAATCTATACGACGTAAACCTTTTCAACCACCCGGGCCCTCCGCTCTCATACTCACCACCTCACTACCTTACCACATCACCACATTTCCTCACAACCCCCCCTTCAAGTACAAGTATACCCCCCATCAACCCTCAAATCCGCCCCCGTCACGTATCTACTCGCATCACTCAACAAGAAAGTCACAGGACCCATCAAATCCTCCGGATTCCCCATCTGGCCCTGCGGGATCAAACTCGTCCATTTCTCCTTCAAATCCGGGTTCTCATCCAGAATCTTCTTCGTCAGCGCCGTAAGCATATACCCAGGGAACCCTAATCCCCGCCTTCGCCCACTCTACCGCCAAGCTAGCAGCCAGATGCCTCACCGCGGCTTTCGAAGCGTTATACGGCGTCTGCGGCTGCGGGACATTGACGATGCTGCCACTCATGGAGCCGATGAAGACCATTGAGCCTGGCGAGTCGCGTGACATCAGGTGCCGGGCTACGGCTGTTGCGAAGAGGTAGGTGCCGTCGACGTTGACGCCCCAGAGCTTGCGCACGCGGTCGATTGGGTAGGCGGTCGCTTCGAAGTTCTCGGTGAAACCGGCGGAGGTTACGAGGTTGTCGATTTTGTTGTGCTGAGAGAGGATGGAGGCGATGCAGGCGTCGACGGAGGAGGGGTCGGATACGTCGCAGTGGTGGGCTGTTACTTTGGGGATTCTGTGGGGGACGACGGGAGAGGGTGTTAGTAAGAGAAGGAAGGAAAGGAACATAGGACAGGAGGAAAGAGGAGGGGGAGGGGAAGTAGAGTTCCTACTGACTTCTTGGCGGAAGGATAGTCCTTCTTGAAAGTCTCGACGATGTTCTGGGCTTGTTTGGTTGCTTCTTCTTCTGTTTGAGTTGAAGAATGTTAGTAGCCGTCTTTCCTTGTTGATTTTTTGGTATCTTCATTTTCACTGCATCCTCCCTCTTGTTTCTTGTTCTCGTTCTTCACCATCTCTTCACCATCTCCTCGTCATTTCTTCACTACTTCGCCCCAACACACCCTTCGAGATTATCATATGCTCTCCAGTTCCTCACTACCCGAAACCGACAGAAAGAAAAACTCACTATTCAAATCAACAATAGCCAAATCCCCACCACTAACCACAATCCCCTGCCCCATCACCAGTCCCAACCCTCTCGCTCCGCCGGTAACAACAGCCACCTTCCCCTGTAAGCTGAACGTCGCCAGCGTTGGGAAAACATTCTGCCCAGCTCGACCGGTGCCGCTGTCCACTGGTTGCGAAGAGGGAAGCTGCGAGGAGTCATCGGGGAATTCGACGGTTATGGAGTCGTCGGTGCGGGCGAAGGCGCCTGCTCCTGGAGGAGAGGCAGAGGAACTGTTGCTTTTGTTCTTCTGGAAGTGGGTTGCGCTGAGGTGAAAAGCTCTCTGGCTTGGGCGGCGGGCTGTGGGAAGAAAGTTGCTGGCCCGGAGGGCGCGGGGGAGGGCGCGGGTTGCCATTTTGAAGGACTGGTAATTTGGTTCGCTACTGAGGTCTTTTGTCGTGGTTCGAGAACTGGAAGCTTGTCTTCGTTGTTCTGGGTTTGTCTGTTGGGTCGAGAGAGTGTGTAAGTGACAACTCGGTATGGAGCTACCATACTTCATGGAGATCTTTGCGGGGTAGAGGTAGCTTCGATCCCAACTTACTGTCGATGGCGTCAGTGCCTGACCTCGAGATATTCAGTCCAACAACAATAAAGAAACAAACAAACACACGGGGTTGTCTTAAAGTTGGAAGATTTTCCGTATCCTTGTAGCAAAACTTCTGGTATCTGAGGAAGAATGAAAAATTCCAAAAACAACCCGACAACTACTCGTCAGCCCAAATGGCAGATATGCATATGCAAGCTCTCAAGCACTGCTTCGCCTACCGTATCTCTTCAACACAGCCGTTGAGAACTCTCGGCACTACACTACCAAAGCTCTAAATTCGAACGAAGATCAGGCCTAGAACAACTATCTCCGGAAATCAATTTGCTAGGCAATGCCATCATGTAGGAACTTGATAATTGTACGTGTAGCTGTATCTTCTTCCAACTCTGGACACTTAATGCTACAATCGGTTACAACTAACCCGACGAACGAGTTTCTCAACTCCGAGTCTCCGACAAGCCTGGGAGTTCTAGACCACACAAACGCGGCCACACTCTTTATTTAGATCCCCAATACTCATTTCCAATCATCAGGTTATTGGAAGAACAGATGACACCTCGAGCTTCCCAACATCCCATCCGAAAGGGTTCTTGGGCACTAGCACTGCGATCTGTATCTGAACGACACCAAGAGAGGGGAGATGTTTCAGAATACTGCCCAACTGACTGACCGCAAAGGATCTTCGCTGCCAACTGTTCAGGCTGTTTGCCTTTTCGTCTTGTGTTAGGTTTCCCGTCGATCATCGACCTCCTCAATTACTGTCAGATCGTAGCTCAAAGTTCACTCTTTTAACCTGAACATTTCCCATGTCGGCTTCTTTCTGCTTTCCTACACTCTTCTCAGTCTGGTTTTCAGGTGTCCTTCATGCTTGAAGATCTCGAGATGTCAAAGTCAATGTGAGGCTGCCTCGGCCTAAACCAAACAATTAGAGCCCCACCTACCCCGCACGAACACCCCACTTTGTTCCCAAGTTCTCCATTTCCCCGCACTTCTTCCCCGGAGCGTGGATGGGGCCGGTTGTGGGACCTGTGGCTCCGGTGGAGCTCAGAGATGTGGAGTAAGTTGCCGGGTGAGGTCTCTCGAATGCCATAGGTAGCCGGTGGAAAGAATGAAGCTATTCGCAATGGTGACACTGCGAGAGGAGCTCTCTTGGCAAAGCCATAAGGTATTGTAGACGGAAGCAAACAATCAATTCCACCACCACCGCTAAATTACATTCTAAAAACACCAAACTTGGTCCCCCTAGGCGCCTGCTCATTCCTTCCTCCCAACGCCGCCCTCAGTCCCAAGCCCAAATACCTCCTCGTATGCTGCGGCGGGATAACACCATCATCCCACAGCCTGGCGCTCGAGAACACGGCATCGCTCTCCCTCTCAATCCGATCCTGCAACTCCGGATCCGCCTTGGTGCCGACCGTCTCCATCACCTTGGCCAACTGCTCACTACCCATGACACCGATCCTGGCATTCGGCCACATCCACAAGAACCTGGGGCTATAAGCCCGTCCGCACATGCCGTAGTTGCCCGCGCCGTAGCTGCCTCCCACAACGACGGTGAATTTGGGCACGTCGGCGCAGGCCACGGCCGTGACCAACTTGGCGCCGTTCTTGGCGATTCCCTCGCGCTCGGCGTCGCGGCCGACCATGAAACCGGAGATGTTCTGGAGGAAGACCAGGGGAATACCGCGCTGTGCGCAGAGCTCAATAAAGTGCGCGCCCTTCAGAGCGGAAGAGCTAAAGAGGATGCCGTTGTTGGCCACGATGCCGACGCGGTGGCCGTAGATCTTGGCGAAACCAGTGACCAGCGTGGTGCCGTAGTCGCGCTTAAACTCGGCGAAGGCGGAGCCGTCGACGATGCGCGCGATGACCTCGTGGATGGGCAGCGGCTTGCGCAGGTTGGTGGAGGCGATGCCCAAGAGCTCGTCGGCGGGGTAGAGCGGTTCCTCGAACTTCTGCTCAAAGTCGGCCGGGGTGATGGCGCCGGTGGAGGAGCCGCGCGGCCAGTTGAGGTTGGCGATGCTACGTCGGGCGAGCACGATGGCGTGCGCGTCGTCGACGGCGAGGTAATCGGTCACACCGGAGACGGAGGAGTGCATGGCGCCGCCGCCGAGCTCTTCGGGGCTGACAACCTCGCCAGTGGCGGCCTTGACGAGAGGTGGGCCGGCAAGGAAGATGTGGCCTTGCTCTTGGACGATGATGCTCTCGTCGGACATGGCGGGGACGTAGGCGCCACCGGCGGTGCAGGGGCCCATGACCACGGAGATCTGAGGGATGCCTTGGGATGACATGCGGGCTTGGTTGAAGAAGATGCGACCGAAGTGTTCGCGGTCGGGGAAGACATCGGACTGATGGGGAAGGTTGGCGCCGCCCGAGTCGACCAGGTAGATGCAACTGTTGGTTGTCCATGTCAGTAAGTTATATGTGAAACTAAGGTTAGGAAAGCTCACGGAAGGTTATTCTCCTTAGCAACCTCCTGCGCCCTCAAGTGCTTCTTGACAGTAATTGGATAATAAGTGCCACCCTTGACCGTGCTGTCGTTGGCGACAATGACGCAGGTGACGCCCTCAACCACACCAACACCCGTGATGATGCCACCGGCGGGCACGTCTGCCTCGGGGTAGAGTTCGTGGCCAGCCAGGGGAGAAAGCTCCAAGAATGTTGTGCCGGGGTCAACCAAAGCCGTAATGCGGTCGCGCGGGAGCATCTTCTTGCGCAAAAGGTGCTTCTCGCGCGCCTTCTGGGGACCGCCTTGGTGAACCTTGCGGGTGAGCTCTTCTAGGCGGGCCATGGCCTCGCCCATGAGGCGCTCGTTCTCCTTAAACTCGGGGGAGTCGGTGTCAACATCGGACTTGAGGACGGAGATGGCATTGGCTTGGTGGGGAGTCGTGAAGGTTGCGACTGAGCGTCGTTGTTGCTGCTGCTGGAGGAGGTTTTGTTGACGTTGTGATTGTTGCTGTTGCTGCTGGTTGCTGTGGAGGAGGAGCCCGAGATTGCGGGGATGCAGGGGTAAACTGGCGGCAGCGGATCGTGGGGATGTGGAGGTGGCAGTTCTGGACAATTGCCTGGAGAGGAGGAGAGCCTCTCTCCTGCTGGCGGACGAGAAGGACATGATGATTGATGGTGTTTTCTACTTGGGGATTACAAAACTTGACACAACGTACAAAACAACAGGAAGGAAGGGGAGGAAAAAAACAAGCCCGAATGAAAAAAAGATGCTCACGACAACTTTCTTTCCCACTCCGCCGCGCCCAGCCGAAGTCCTTGGTCTAACTTGTCTAACTTGGAGCGGCTATCATCTCAGAAAACGGTAAAAGGCCATTCAGATCTCGGCATTGGCATCCATCACACCGTCTGACGTACCCCTCACGGTCTTGTGAATCTCAATGCCTAGCGTCCACCTGGCCAATCACAGCAAGGAATCACTAACAAGATCGCCAAAAACCGAGGCAAGCCGTCGCCAACCGTCCACTTTTCAATAGAACACTAAGGGTAACATTTACCATCAAAGACTGCCGCGGCTCTGGCTAGATACGGGATGATGTTTGGAACAGAAGAAAAGCTACCGCTGGTTGGTGTAATTCGAGACTGGCCACTCATTGTTAGTGGACGGCAAGAGGGGGAATCGGGGATTACACAAGAGAAAGGACGAACGGAGCTCATCCCGACTTGATTGCAACTGAAACTTTTTTGTTCTTTTCTCTTTCTCCTTTTTCTCCCCTCCTCCTCTTGCTCTTCCAAGCATTCAACTCCTTTTTGCTTGATACTATCACCAAGTAAACAAACAATCCATCCAAAATGTCCACCCAAGGTCTCTCCCGCGCCTTTGCGCGCTCCACCCCCAGAATCTCCACGATCTCAAGGGTTCCCCGCCAATTGCGACTCCACAGCACTTACACGACGGCTTCCACAACCGTTCTCCCAACCTCAATCTCAACACCACGTCGCCAAACATCACCACAAACCCAAGGCCCCATCGCCGGCTTCCAACAACGCCGCCATGCCTCCCACAACAAACATCCCGCGGGCTTCACCCCCCCTTCCCCCTCCGATCTGACCGAGCTCCGTGAGCGCGTCCAAGAATTCGTCCGCCGCTCGCTGCCCGAGACCCTCGCCTCCGAAACCGACAAATCCAACGCCTTCCCCGCGCACATGTGGCGCGCCCTCGGCGACGCCGGTCTCCTGGGCATCACAGCCGACGAGGCCTACGGCGGATTATCCATGGGCTACCAAGCGCACTGCATCGTCATGGAAGAGCTGTCTCGGGCCTCGGGGTCGATTGCCCTTTCGTATGCCGCGCATTCACAGTTGTGCGTTAACCAGTTGAGTTTGAACGGTAACGCCGAACAAAAGGAGAAGTACCTCCCTGGCTTGATTAGCGGGGAAAAGGTCGGTGCGTTGGCCATGAGCGAGAGTGGAAGTGGAAGTGATGTCGTCTCGATGAGGACTACGGCGAAGAAGGTCGAGGGTGGGTATAAGTTGAATGGAAGCAAGATGTGGATCACCAACGGTCCGGACGCGGACGTTATCGTGGTGTATGCCAAGACGGAGCCGGAGGCTGGAAGCAAGGGGATCACGGCTTTCATTGTTGAGACCAAGGATCTGGAGACGGGCAAGAAGGCGGATGGGTTCGAGTGTCTGCGGAAGCTGGACAAGATGGGCATGCGCGGCTCCAACACGGGCGAGCTGGTGTTTGAGAACGTGTTTGTGCCCGAGGAGAATGTTTTGGGTAAAGTAAATGGTGGCGTGAGGGTGTTGATGGAGGGCTTGGACCTGGAGAGGCTGGTTCTGAGCGCGGGACCGCTGGGTCTGATGCAAGCGGCGCTGGACGTGGCCTTGCCCTATGCGCACTCGCGCAAGCAGTTCGGCACCCCGATTGCCCAGTTCCAGCTGTTGCAGGGCAAGTTGGCGGATATGTACACAAAGTTGCAGGCGTCGAGGGCGTACACGTATACCACGGCCAAGACGGTGGATGAGCAGGGCATCATCAAGACGCAGGACTGCGCTGGTGCTATCCTGTACGCGGCGGAGAGGGCGACCGAGGTTGCTCTGGATGCTATTCAGATCTTGGGTGGTATGGGCTACATGGAGGAGATGCCGGTGTCGAGGATCATGAGGGACGCCAAGTTGTATGAGATTGGTGCCGGCACTTCGGAGGTGAGGAGGATGGTCATTGGAAGGGCTTTCAACAAGGAGTATGCCCATTTGGCTAAGAACTAGTTCTAGACTGTATGTATCTATGAGATCATCATTAGAGCGGCAATAATATTGGATACCTTGGCTAGACAAATGCTCTTCAACTCTTTTTGTCTCAAGCTCTCTTTTCCAAGACAAATGTACTTGAATATTCCGAGTAGTTCTTAGGTGTCTGATGTGTTCCCCTTTACAAGCTACACCCGTGAGCCACCTACTTTCTAATGTAAACAGCTGCTACACGAGATGGTGTGTGCGACCAGGAAAGCTGTAAGAATGGAAGTTTCTGTGAGGGTTATATAAAAGAAGAAGAGTGAATGAACAAATAATGTATGAGCAAGCAATGAGAACCCTTGGGGAAACCTGAACTCGGAGATGTAAATGTCTCCTCTTAATATAAATGGATGGACCTGGACATCCATTTTGATGATCCCGTCCGTGTCTTGCGTTATATATGATCCTTTTTTGTAGAATTGATATCCAGGTAATAGGTCAGATTTTGTGCTGAGATAAATGGTATCAGCGTGCCATCAACTACCTACCTCTAACCTTTGTCGATGCTGCCAGCCTCGCAGGCAAAGAAGACATTAAAGATAACCTTTTGAATAGATCGCTTCCATCTATTCTCTGTCTTCTGTCTCTGTTGATATTGACCACTTCTCATTCAACCGTTGGTTCTAATAAACCCGATGATGAGTGCTTCATCTAAGACGTTCTGTCACTGCTACTACTCCCTGTCATTCCTCTTGATTCTTAGTCGCGCCATCCGGAGACGATCTCCTCCCCGGCCTCTCTCGCCATGCTTACCGCTCACTACGAGTTTCCTTCTGTCGTCTTACCCACTTCTTGACGAACCTCTCTAACCCTTGCTGGCTCTCTCTCTCTCTCTCTCCTTGACCTTGTCCGCCAATTTGAGTTGCCGCGAAAACAACGTGGAGATTTTCTTTTCCCGCCATTTCCACTGCCATTTCCTGGGGTTTTAGCCAAGACTTGTGACAGATATCTGGGCCAGAAGCCACGGAGGATGACCCGACCCAATAACCACACCACAAACGATATAAGATGATCTCCGCATCGACAATTCCAGCTTACACACATCACTTCCTTTGGACACCGACATTTCCAGAGATTTCCAGCATCCAGAGAACCAAGCGTAACCGAGCCGCGCTCGGTTGGCGGTGTGCTGGGCTGGACAGAAGGGAAAGCAAGCAGCTGATCGGACAAAAAGCTGAGCTCCCAAGTTCTTGATTATTAAGACTTACACACAGTATGGCACGGGATGGAATCTGTTGGTGTCTGGATGTAAAACCCCAGCGGACGCTTCTGATAGGATCTCCCAGACATGCGAAAGGAAGCAGTCTCACAAGTGCCAGAGGTAGCGAGGGCTGGAAAACTGGCCGGTGGCGAAAAGTGCTGAACGCCTTTCCAGGCGAGCAGAGATATGTAAATGTAAGGCAAGTGTCATTATCGTACAACCAGATGGCTGAGAATGTTGGTTTGGATTGGTATGTCACGTTGTCTCTTCCATCTCCGCCTTTTTGGATACCATGTCTTGATCTTTTGCGGCTCATGACTTACAGCCCAATGATCGCTGTTAATAGGCAGAAAATCCAACTCTCCAAAAGTTGATGTTGCGAGATTCCCGCGTGCTTGGCTGATCATATTCCAACCAATGGACCGGATATGTGTGGTTGGGTGTGGTTGTGTTTTCTGTCCCTTGGGTCTGTCATCTGGGTCACACGACCCGTGATCCTACCCCCATGAGTGGTGGCCGTCTCGACCCGTTACCCGTTGGGTGGAAGGAAGGGAAACGTGCCCGTCTCTGTCCCTCCCCGCAAACGGCAGATCAGTCATCAGAGAGTGCGGCTGCAGTTATCCAAAGCGCAACTCGCCAGATATCCAAACAGCTTGTTTGTCGTCGTGAAGGGCCAGGCCGCTAGGTAGACAGACATACATGATTTGTTGCACTTTGTGCTACGACTTGTAAGTCAGCTGGGCGAGACAAGACGGGAAAGGATACGAGATGACATGTCTTGGGCCACCCCGTTGGACAGTCCCGTGGTAGAGGAAAAGACGATTTGGCTGATAATGAAGCCGAGAAAGGAAGGCTGGTTATTGTGAGAGGTTGTTGGGCGACAAATGAAAATCTAGCCGCCAGGTACCGGGCGTTTTCTAGACTGAATGTAACAGAAGGCCTTTGGTGTGGCAGGCTGTTACCGCTATAGGGAGGTGATGCTTCAGTGGTATAACATTGGTATTAGAGAGTGGGGGTTATGTCTAAATCAGTGTGATACAGGCTACCGCCGGTGGACTGTGATGAGCCCGGCCTGTAACCCACGTGTCTTGTTGTGCTAATGGAAGTTACCTCAATCCCGGGACCTTGAGAAGACGGGTGTTGGATGGCTACCGAGCTCAGGTCGGTGTTATACCGAAAAAGAGCATCTTCTCCCTCGAGTGGCGCCTTGATATCCAAAGGGAGGACAGGACCGAAGGGGCGCGAGGGGCGCGAGGGGGAAGTTGAGCTGAGCTAGGCTGCAGTGGGCGACGACAACATCTTGAATCGTTTGTGCTCCCATCAAGGGGACAAAGAAAGGGAAAGGACCAGTGCTCCATTCCTTCTTTCTTAAGACTTGAAAGGTGACAAAGTGCAAGAGTGAGAACCTCGATGGATGGCCAGATGCTCAGGGTTACGTTCGAGGCTGTTATGGCTCGCTGCCAAGGCGAGCCAGGGGGCTAGGGTTACAGCAGCTATAGGCCCCTGTCACAAGTCAGGGCAGTCGACCTGTCACCTGCCACCTCAACTCCTCAGGGCCTGGGGGTTGTGTCGGCATGTGCCATGTGGGGATTTCCCTGTGTCGCGTTGGGGATTGGAAAGGATTGGAATGCTGTGATGAATGAATGCACGGTGAGATGGGTGAAAGAGAAGAGGAACAACCGGATCTCGTTCTGCTTTTGTCTAGAACCACTGGGTGGTGGAGCCCGGGTCTTGGTATTTCAGCATCTGTGATGACACTAACACTTTCAGCACCGCGATTAGCAGGCCCTTTGTTAGTGCTTACGGTTCCCGTGGGGCGGCACTTTCCCCAGTTCTCGCATCATCAGTCACCTCCAAGGTACCTTACGTAGCCGAGCATCAGTGAGTCCAGGCCCCAGATCCAAGAGCCCCAGCGTACCAGACGTGCCTTCCCTGGACGAGACATGATTGCTGATCCGAAATTGTGCTTGCCTTCTTCCACTTTGTTCATATCATAACCGCATCGGCTTCCTTCCCCTCGTTCTGACTTTGTTGGACTCTTTCACACTTCTTTCCAACCTGACTACACACACCAGAACATCTTCTCCGCATCCGCAATATCTTGTACACGCCAGCACATATCACCAACTGGGAAGCACGCGGCGCTCTCGCAGCCTAACCCGCAGTACAGTTGTTGGTCGGGTTGATATGACCCGGACATGACCCGGACCTTCTTGTTTCTAACTCAAAAGTACTCGGGGCATCTCAGTTGCCTCACGCGAGCTACGTTACCACGTTGGGTACTTACCTCTAGCACCCCCTCTTCGAAACCGCGCCCAAGACTTGTGTCTCAGCTTTACCTTGATTATAATCCCCGGGGTTGCCTACAACACTGTCCGGCGTCTGCCCGCCTCACAGAGACAGACACACCTAGGTACACTTGCATTGGTACGTGATGCTGGCGTGCCACGGCCCCGTCACCGCACTACACTATTCCTGCAAATAAGCCAATCCCCCAACTACACTGCCTGGCTGAGCTGGCAGCCTCCCAGGCCCCAAGCCTTCGGACCATCGAGGTTTTTCAGTTGTGGTGCGCGGTACTAGCTTCCACTTGTCTTAACCAAACCCAACTCGATCGTCACCGCCAGGGCAACTGTACCTTGTCAGCTTGTCATGCTTGCCTCCAGTTAACCGTTGCCAGTGCTGCGAATATGTGGATGTATGTACCTATAGGTGTGGGTGTGGACATCGGGCACTTGGCCTGCAAAAGTACGAGACTCCGAGAGCATGAAGCAGTGGTGGTGCTGTGCTCAGACTCACAGTCCAATGTCCATGTCCATGCCCATGCCCATGTTCAGGTCCCAGAAACATGAGATAACACCTCCCCCGTCATTGTCGGCATTGTTCCTGCTTCTTCTCACCTTTCACTTCTTCCTAACCTTTTTCGGCTGGTCTGCTGCTGCCCTGTTCGCGTTTATCCGTCTGTTTGCTTACCTTGCTTGCACTTGCCTAACCATCTTGCTCACACCTCGTGCTCCAACTGTAACTGTTTGCATGTTTTCTGACTTCTTTTGTTCAGAAACTCCAACCCTCCCTGAACATCCTCCGTCACTTGTCCTCCCCTTCCCCAGCAGTCTTTCATGGACTTGCTACCCTGGTGTCGATATTCGTCCAAGAAGCCAGCAGCTTTGGCTTGTAAGCAATGATCTTCGGGCTGTCCTGAGGTGCCCGTCGTCCTTTGCGCCCGTCTTGTCTTTTAGCCATGGACTTGGTACTGCCGCAAGGCATCATTATTAGCGCCAGCGAGGTCTATACGCAACTGGCTAGCTTACCCGTCGTTTCTTCAGAGGTAATACGGCATTACTGGAACGGTGAGAATTCGACTTCATACCAATATTCACCCCCAACATCTGACTAATGCGCATCTTCAGCCTACACGGTGATCTCCAAGAAAACTGGTGGCGATCCTACTCATCTCCGCCTAGAGAACTTTTGGTGGCATGTTTGGGGCAGCAATAGGAGGAACCTATCTGGTCCCGCTCTCGCCAGACTCTTCCAAGACATCTCAACCGGTCCAACAGCTGTGCCTCTCGTGGTTCCGAAAAGAAGTCGCGAGATACTAGAGGTAGGTGATTCTTCGACAAGTGATAGGGTTAATAAATTGCTAACTCATCCTCAGAGATCCAAGGTCCTCCTGGAGCAGATTAACGCCGAAGGACATGGGTCGGCATCCACACAACAACCGGAGGGAATTAGGGGAGAGGGCCGTGATGCTATGGTCAAAATGAAAGCGCCAACCCCATCTTCCTCGAGGCCACCTCCGCCACACCCAATCCTGAAAAAGCATAGCGCGCCCGTACCAGGACCTCGACATACGGCCAGATTCGCTTCACCACCACGTGTCGGGGAGGGTGAATCTAACGGAGGCGCCACAACGTCTATCACCAAGGTCGTGCCAGAGCTGTCAACGATGCCTCCTCCGCCATTACCGACTGCGAGAAAGACAAAAACGACATCAGAATCTCCAACTACCATGAAACTTCCTTCAACAGATAATGCCGAGAAGACCACCGCGCCGACCGCGCCTTCAGGTGGCAAAGCCAGCAAGCCTGTAGCTGCTCGAAAAAGGGTCATGGCGACTACAAAATCGGCGAAAAGGCGGCCGGTAATGCCACGGAGGACAAGTTCGCAGTCATCAACGGCGTCCAACACCCAGCAGCGTATGGTGCCGGCGACAGCCGATCAGTCCCATCAAAGTACCCGGTCAGCAGCTGTGGCGGACGAGACCTTTCAAGAGTCTCCCCCTTCGATTGCCGCTTCATCCCCGACTTCCACCCTGGTAGCATCAGTCGCAGAAATCCCGGCTTCAGCGGCAGTAGATCAGTCCTCCCAGAGCTCCCAAGGTGGCTCAGAATCGTCCCAAGACGAGCAAAGGACCTCGAGTTCAAAGGCAGCTGGCAAGAGGCCGGCAAGGCCAACCCAAAGATCTTCCTCCGGGGGCATTCTAACTGTTACTATCGGCTCCCAAGAGCGGCGACCATTGTTCGTTAGTTCCGGATTTTTGCCTGCCCGGTCTCCCAGCCTATCTCGTAGTGAGCGGAGTGTTTCTACGACACGAGAAGCTACGAGGAGGAATAGCGTGGAAAAGAAGCCACGGCGTGCCCCTGTTGCTGGGTTCGTGGCCGATAACGAAAGTGGAAGTGACACACCCTCACCAGCAAGAACACGCACCACACGTGTTACCAAAGACCCTATAGTTGGTTCGCCTCGGCCGCCACCCAGAGTCCCGTTGTTTTCTCAGAGGATGTCAGGGGAACTTCCCTACTCATCTCCTCACGCAATGTCTCACAGGCTTTCCGGTGAGGTTCCCAACGTACAAGCCTTGACCGAGGAACCTACAACACAGATATCCGACACCACCGTCCAGGGGCAGTTTGATTCCGACGTCATAGCAACATCGTCTTTGGTGGAAGCACGAGATATACCTGACTTTGTGTCGCGCCGGTCGAGGCCTTCGCCGTCGCTCCTTCAGGAACCGTTCTCCCCTACACCTCCCAGCTCTACTCCGACGATTCCCTTTGGGAGATCCAAGAGTCAACTCACGCTGCTGCTGGCAAAGGATAATCACAGAAAGGTGAAGGAAACCCGTTAGTGGCGGATCAAGCATTTTCTTGGACTAGTGTCGGATAAGGATGATGGATGGGTTGTAGCATTGCCGCCAGGGAGCCTCCTAGAGACTTGATCTCAACAAGAATCGTCAGAAGGATCACTCGTGGAAGAAAATCCAGTACCATACGGGAAACCCAGTACCAGACGGGCTTGTTACGCCCCCTCCCCCCCCCCTTGGCCCCCAGCAGATCAACGTAGCAGCAGCAGCGATACCCTCTCAAGCGTGGATTCAGACCTACCGGAGCACAAGATCCATGTTTTGCATTTTACAGTCGTTTCGTTACTTGAATTTGGATGTGAAGAGAGCACATAGCAGAGCGTTCTTCTTTTTTTTTTTTTTTCCCCACAGCATGAGCATTTCAGAGGCTATTAGGCCTGCTGGCCATTTGCATATACGCATGAGTTTGGAGAAAGGCTGTTCGTTAGCATGTTGTTTTACTTTGTTTCGGAATCTTTTGTGCTCATCCTTTTAGTGTATCAGTAGATGATGTCGATTTATGGGTGGGGAATGGGCTCAAGATATGGAAGTGAGCGAAAGCGTGGTCTTGCGTGTACTGGCTGGGGCTGGATAATGAATTTGCGAGCGTTTTTGGCTTTTCGAGCGTCTTATGGAAATAAACATATTTCTGTCTGTTCATCTGAAAAGTTGGTGCGAGTGTCTGAAATCGCGTGTCGTCTTTAGATATGGAACTGAGGGTCATTGCTGTTGGACGAACGAGTGCTTCCAGGAAAGGTGTGAGTTAAAAACAGAGGAATTAAGAGAGAGAAAACAGAAATTGAGGTGTCAAAGCACAACTGCTCGCTCTTCCCCACCGCTCTCCTCCTTCCCTCTTTCTTTATAATACCCTCCGACCGCTAATCTGGGGAAAGTGCCGCCGGACGAGACGGTCCGAGTCGCAACTGCCATACCAATTCCCGCGTGAAGGTAAAATTATGCGGTGCTGACGCGGCTAAAGGTTCATTCGTATGGAAGCCAAACAATATCAAATATGTATTAAGAACAAAGTGGAAACCCGATTTGATACATATCGGACGGAATAAGATGAATGTGTGCTAGATAGGATGAAAGAGCAAGAAAGATCTGGAAAGTATTGGGCATATACCCTATAAGAGGCGAGGAACTAAGTGAAAGAGAAGTGAAGAGAGAAGTTGTAGAGTAATCTATTCCATTCTGTATATAGGGTTAAAAAGAGTATGCGTATATGAGAGAATTGGTATATCCATCGTAGTGAGTTAAATCATCAATCCCATCAGTCCCATCAGTCCCATCAGTCCCATCAATCCCATGAATCCAACCATTCCAATCCATCTCATCATCTCGTAGATAATCATCATCATCCCATCCCATCATGATCATATCATACCATCCATATCCCATCACTTCCAACCCAAGACACAACACCATCCACCCACCCCTCCCTCAAAACATCGTCAACCTCTCATCCGCCTCCCCGATAACAGATTGAGTGAGTCACAAGGACAACCGCGGCGTTATTCTGCTCCCATCTAAAAACCGTCCGTCGGCCTCCTCTCAATCTTCTTAACATCATCCGGCATCCTGCTCACACAAAGCTGGCCGCAAAACTCTCCCCACTCGCCACTGGTAGCCTCTTTCACAGCCTCCTGGAGATCTTTGCCGTAGTGTTCGTGGTAAGCCTTTTTCACGCGCGACATGTGGCCCGCGTCCCAGTGGAACCTGACAAGTCGCGAAATCAAAAGCTCCCGTCGCAGCTCGTCCCGCTTGGACATGGTCAGGGCGTGGTTGAGCAGCATGGCGTCGCGGACGGGCTTGTTGATGACGCCGTTGAGGATGTGGGCTAGGACTTCGCCCTTTTGTGGGGGTGGGGGTTAGTTTCTGGTATGAAAAAGGGGATAAAACAGGACGGGGGGAGGGGATCTGAGAAAAAACAACGTACAACAAGATTCCCACTCTTCTTCAACGCGTCCCTAGCGAAATTCGCTCCCCTAAACGTCTCCTTATAAACCCTCATGACCTCTCTCAGATGACCTTCACTGCGCATGACTACGACGGCCAACATGGCGCTCTCTCCACCTCTCTCGCTCTTAACCGCATCCCTCAGCGTCCTTACATCATCCGCCACCAATTCATAATCCAACCTCACGGGGCGTCCAAACTGATCCACGTCCTCCTGCCTCTTCTCCTCCAAAACCATCAGAACCGCCTTCTTGAACTTATCCTCCTTCAGCTCCATCTTCATGCACTTCACCAGACTATCCCCGTACTTCTTGTCGCTAAACCCCTCTTTAATCTTGCGGATCTCCTCGTTCGTCCTGCCCATCAACGCCTCGATCAATAGCTCCCGACGCGTCTTGTCCCCGTGGTACCAGAAATTCGCCCAGTAAGCCTCGGCTTCCCACCGGCCCAAAGCGACGGTGTAGCACGCTTTCATCAGCGTCGGGTCCTCGTCTTTGAGGCGCGCCCGGATGTGCTTGGCGATGTTAACGCCCTTGCGCTCGGCGCCTGTCTTGACGAGGCGCTTGTATTCGACGCGCAGATCCATGACTTGTTCGTGTGTGAGACCCGGTAAGATCTCAATTAGAGAGGCGGTGTCAGGTGCGCGTGTATCGCCTTTCAAGGCTTTGGCGAGACGGGCGGCGTCGTCGATGGGGTCGTGGAAGCGCGCGCGGCGGGAGTGAGTGCGTGTGTGACCTTTCTTTTCACCGCCGCCTCTGCGGTGGCCGTGCTCGTCGTCGGATGAGGAGCCGTAGAGCGGAGAAAGAGGCTCGACGAAGCTGTACGAGGAACCGTTGGGCCCCGGTTGGGTGGGCAGCATTAGCGGAGAAGGCATAGGCGACATAGATTGGTAAGTGCCGTGGTAGGATTCGAGCATGGGCGAGGCGGGCGCGTTGGATACCGATAGGTTGCCGTTGGACATGTGCGGGGTGTTCACGGAGAGGAGGGACATGCGGTTGGTGGGCGGCAGAGGAGACTTTTCGCGGCCGGGACGCATGGCGGACTTGAGACGGGGGTTTGCCGCCATCGTCGTCGTGGCGGCCTCGGCCGGGGGAGGAAGGGTAACCGCCGCCGCCGCTGCTGTGGGAAGGAGGTTCGATAGTAACGACGCTGGGGGGTTCAATACGGCCTCCTCCTCCACCTTTGCGGTCGTCGAGTCGCAGGTCGTAGGCGCTGCTGATGCTGATGTTCGGGCTGTGGGTGCGGCCGCTGGGACGGCCGATGGGCTCGCCGTACTTGTCATCGATGGGTCTTCCTGCACCCGCATGGTAGCTAGACGGGCGAGGACGGTGGTAGCCCGGTGATGGCGGCGTCTCGGGACGCTTGTTGTACGTCTGAGGTGATGCTGGGCGTTGCGCAGGGTAGCCGGAAGAACTGCTACCGGGAAGCTTGCCGTAGGCGAGATCCTCCTCGATTCTGCGCTGCTTGCGCTCCCGGCTGGACTCTCTTTCTCTGCCGCCAGAGGTGCTGGGCGTGCGGCCATGACCACCGGGATGGAACGAGTCGCGTGACGCGTGTGGTGATCCTGAAGGGTCGGCCGAGACAACGGTGGCGGCATACTTGGGCGGGAGATACATGCCGGCGATCTCACCCGGACGCTCCCTGTTGATGTTCTTTCCCCAGTCCGAAGACTCTCGGGGGTCGGCGGGTCTCCTATCGGAATCTCTGGGATCGGGTCTCCGATCACGGCTCTGTGCGCGAGGCCGCGACTGGTCCCTCAACCGTTCACGCGAGGGCGACCGCTCACGGGGCCTGCCTAGCGATGGTGCTGACGCATTGTAGCTGCTGCCGTAGTCCCGCTCCCGGTCCCGGATGCGGTCGCGGTCGCCAGATGGTGGACTGTTGCGGTAGTAATCGCCGCCGCCGCCGCCGCCGCCGCCGCTGCGATCACCACCAGCGGGAGGAGGAGGCGGGTAGTTGGCGAGACGCTCATACGCGAGGGCAGGGTCGACGTCGCGATAGTTGTCGTTGGGTGGCGGGTACACACCGGCCTCGACAATGTTGGCCGTGGACGTGCGGACGCGGCTCCGCTCCCGGTCCCGGTCCCGTGGCCGGTCCTCGTCCTCCCGGCGGCGATCTGCGGGGGAGCGGGACCGCCCGCCCCGGCTCCGTTCGTCCACCTGTAGGGACGACATGATTTTTGATTCTGGCCGTGAAAAGAGTCTGTTTGCGAAAACTCGAGCTTGTGAACCAGGTGTTGGTTGAATTTGGATAACTGACAAAACTCGATTTATTCAGCTGAAATCTGGTCGAAGAAGGTAGGTAACGAGGGTGTAGGGCTGACTGATATCGCAATTTTTCGCGACTCGATCGATCTTTGGGGGCAGCTTCCGACACCTTCTGGGGGTCCAGAGAAAAGAAAGTTGGGGGCTGGTGAAAACCAAAGTGAGGGGTCACACTTCTTGGCTTCCTTCCACTTCAGTTCCTGTTCGCGATCCCCTATTTTCAGTGTAAACAAAGGACAAGCGGCTCCAAGTTGCACAGCAAACACACTTGTCGGGTGGGCTGTTCCTGCGCAAGCTTCAAAGACAAGTACCTAAAAAAAAAAAAGTAGTTCGACTTTTGAAAGAAGCTAACGAAAGAAACTTGTAGAAAAAGGAAAACTTATTTACAGCAGCAAAGAGAGCAAGCAAAGACGGAAGAGGCTGAGAAAAATAGAAGCGCGGGTACCGAGGGCGAGGGGAGCTGGAGCAAAGACGGACGCAGGAGGGCGGGGTTGGTATGCAGGCCATGCAGGGTATACGGAGCCACTAACACGGCTTCATCTGCCCCAGAGCAGGTGCTAAGAATCCCAAGATGGATCCCAGGATGACCTGAAGTGTGTGTGTGTGGGCAACAGCTGAACATCCACTGTGTCAGAAAGGAATGTCACTGCCTGGGTGGTTGGCTGGATGGCGCTTACTGGCGCTGTTGGTAAGTTGTTGGCTGGTATGGGACCATAGAAGAAAGTCTGGGGTCGTTTGCTCTGTTACGTTGGCCTTCCTCTTATTACATCGACAAATCCTCAACTTTCTCTTTTCCGTGACGGACGAGAACCGGGAGGAGCATGGTAAGGTGGACAAGGCGACCACGCCAACCGACGTTCTTCGGCGGCGAGACACAGGAAAAGACACGGGAAAGGAATGGATAGCAACAGGAACAGGATGTATTAAGCGTTGCGGCTGCACGCGCACGTTCTGGTCACTCGTTAGGATCACCTTGCAGAGACGGAAGAGTGTGTGTCTTGGATGTCTTCTTGGGTGGTGGTGTCTTGAAACACCACGCTGCTGAAGGGTGAGACTGCCCGTGAGTGAGGCTGCTGGTGTTGGTGGCTTGTCAAGGGTAGGTGTCTTGTCTGCTCCGAACGGTGCCTCTGCCACACACCCGACTCTCCATGCTCGAGCGTGCCAATCTGATGCCCGCCGCGAAGCCAGCCCGTAAGACCTGGGCTTGCTGGGAAGACAAAAAGAAGAAGATGGTGTGTTGGCAAGCCAGCCCTGTCGGCATTGATTCATTCACTCAGCTTTCTCTTCTCCCAGCTGCCAGCAGCGGTCTTTGACCAATGGCGTGTTGCAAAAAGCGGCGGCCGCGAGGACTGTTTGGTGAGGACTAGCGAAGGCTGGCACCAGGCACGTTGGTAGGGATCGGACCGCCGACAGCCGCTGCCCGCAGGACCATCACGTTGGGAGCTCTGGGAGCTTGGCTTGGCTTTCCCGTAAATCTGACAGCGACAAAAGGTGGTCACCTCCATTACACTTTTAAAAAGCCATCATGTGAGATTGGGGATAGTGGTGTTGAGAATGCTGATTCCCGGAACACCTACCTATTATAAAGCACGTCATGGGGTGTTGAGAACTTGAGGGGGTGTTTGGTGAAAATCTCGGGTTGACTCAAGGTATAATGTAGTAACAAGGCTGTGAAGTGAGGAGTCTAAGCTTCGTTTAAAGAGAGCCTCGAGGGGGAAGTTGAGATTAATCATCAGACAATTTTCTTTATGTCGTACGCTGACTGCGAACAGAGTGTTTTTATGCAATATCAAGTAACAGGTGTAGCTTTGTCAAAATTGTGATTCGAGCTGTATTATAGGGCTCTGTTGCGTATCACTTATTGCCTGCTGACTGGGCGGTTCAAATTTCGGTTTGTTGTTTGACTCCATTCAGAGTTCAGAACCCTCAAAACCACAGCGGGACACCTGCTGTTCTGAGTCTGACTGACTGCTGCTATTTGAATGCTGTTGGATGGCTTCCTGCCAAGACTATTTGGCGCAAATGCCAAGACACCATCCGCGTCGACCGGATATCAAATTGCTGAGGAGAAAAGCCGAAAGTTCCGAGCGGATGTGCGAAAATATTTTTCTTGTCTTTGCAGCAGCGCCGAGTATAATATCTGTCGGGCATTGCCATCTTTCAGCAACTTTCCTTTCCCTTACCGATGTACTGAGTAAGGGTTGAGAATTCCACCAACACGACACCGAAAAAGGCGCGTACGATGGACAACACGAAATGCGGGTAGCGATGGAAGAAGTGGAGAAAACGCCAACATGAGAAAACGGGAGAAATGTCGATCAATCGCCACCATCAACGTCCATCGACAACGAACATCCACGTCTGCCACAAAGATGGAATCCGCGCACCGAACACGTCCATATTATCGGAAACGACATGAGCATCCGTCCGGGGCCCAAACGAAGAATGAAGCCCCGACTGCCCGACGCATAAACAGCAAACAAAACAACCCGGTGATATGATTCAAAAAGTATAAAAAAAAACCGATGTCCGATATGCCGCCCATACCCTACGATCCAAAAACGCCCATATATGCACCTTTCATCCGATTCAATTCACCCCCATTATTCCAATTTCCATCCGAGGCGGGCTCCACCTGGACGACGTCCTTTCGATCAGTAACAACGACGAGTTCTCCCTTTTGGGCGCCAATTACCCCCGACCCCGACCCCGACCTCAACCGCTCTCCGACTTGACCAGGACCTCATCGTTCCGAAACGACTTGGGTTTCGACTCTGTTTCCTCCTCGACCAACCGAATAGCGCCCTTACGTTTCGACACGAACCTGTCTCTTACACTAGCACACCGAGAATTCAGCAAAAGGGATGAGAGGGAAAGGATGGGGTTCTCGCATCATAGGCAGATGTGATGGGACAACTAACCTTCGGCAGACAGGACCCCCAGCTTCAACCACGACGACAACAAGTAAAAAGGTCAACACCAAGAAGATGACCAGCACATCATTGTGATCGCGAGGTTTTGAGACGACATAGAATGGACATGGTGACGTGCCATTGGATGGTCGAGAAGATGAGTGTGACGAAGGCGACGACGACAACGACGACAAAGGTGGTGGCGACGGCACTGGCAACGGTATCCCGATGGTCAACTCTCCCATTTCCGTAACCGACAGATTATCCGCCTTCTCGTTGCTTGGCGGTATCGATACCGGTTTCTGCTTGGGGCTGGACGCCTGTTTTGATAACGGCTTCGAGTTCGAGGACGATGATAAAGGTATCCCGACGCCCAGCTCCCCCATTTCCGTGATGATCAATACTGGGATATCCTTCTTCAGGTTATCGAGATTCGGTATCGGCCCTGAACCATGCTTCTTCTTCCAGTTATCCCATAACGAGCTGAACGATGATTCGGGCCTTTGGAAAACCGGACCAGGAGCGATGTGAGAGGAAGCCAGGACGTATCTGTTGTCCTTCTTTGGACTTTGACTGGATGTGCCGCTGCTCGGCGCATCATTGTTGAGCAAAGGCAAGATCTTGTCGCCAGCCATCCAGGGTACCGGCACGCATAGGGCCATATGCGCCATGGTAATGGTTATGAAAAAGGTAGTCGACTTCATCTTGCGACTTGATGTGTGGGTGGCTGTGGGTAGGTAAGGTAAGCGAACGGCGATTCTGTGGACAGGTCCGATCAACTTGACGTCCCTAGAGGCGGTGTTGAGAAAGTAAGAGTTGCAGAGAGGGCGCTTGATTTATGATCGACGCAATTCCTTGCCGACACTTGCGCTATCTTAAAATGAGGTGCGATGGATGATATGACTACCACAGGGTCCGGCGTGTCCGGGGGTATGATAAACTCGCTGTCGTGATTATATATGCGGCCCCGGCCTTATATATGCGGGTGGTTGTACCACTGGCTAAAGCAATGTACAGCCACGACTAGTTGGCTCTTCGATATGTGACGCAGGCCGCGAGGTGGCAAGCTGTCAAGGCAAGCAGGGACAACCAGAAAGCAGAAAGCAGAAAGGGTAAGGCACAGCTCTTTGTCGGGCAGGTCAGGGAAACTGCACCCCGGCCCAGAGGGAGGAGCGAGGAATGAGAACGAATTGACAAGAAGAGAAAGCAGAGATGGTGGCCCGGTGTCAAGAACAACAAAGCAGCTGGTGATGTATATATTGAGAGGATGGCTGGCTGTGCTGAGCGTAGTGTCGTGAAGGATTGGCGAATGGGTGAAAAGGTGGCATCGTATGTATATGCCGTCGGCGTCCCTCATTTCATCCAATTTGGGGCCAGATCCAATGCCACGCCGCGCAGAAACGCAGCGGGTGTTTTCCCTTTAGCATCGTATTGTAAGATGCAACCCCTCGGCGGACAGGCTGATGGGGTGTGAGACCTGGACTGTTTACAAGGCAGTTCCAAACCTTGTTCCAACCACAACTTCCCGCACCATGTGCATCGAGACACAACGGCAGTCCCGCTCCGGATCTCGAGGTCTCACCCGATCACCTGGTGCCATTGATAAACCTTTTTGACCGGCGATTCCCAATCCGGGAGGCTCTTTCGGGAAAAGCGTTTGCGTGAGGGGCCAAAAGGGAAGGGTAGTGACAGACAAGAGGTAGCATCGCGGACGTGATAGCTTTTTCAGAAACGGGAGGTTTCTGTGTTGGGTTCCGAGACCTTGATCGGCCCAGAGGGAGATGGGGATCTAGACGCCAGTGGACCGCATGTGGCAGACAGGGGTGTTGGAACAACGGTTGTTTTCCTCGAGTTGGCTGTTGGTCCCCCCTTTCCTCACCCCATGATTTTACCCGTCTGGACGACGAGAACGCCCTCGCTTGTTCCCATACGAACTCTCTCACTCTCTTTAGCTTCAATGCCTGCGGGGAAATCATCTGGGTGAGCAGGTTACACATTTCCATCTGTTCGTATTTCCCCCAGACGACATTCCATTCGTGAGTTGTCGGTTACGGCGTTTGTCCGGGGCATGTTTATGGCATGGGGTGGTTCCTGTGACTGGACTCTTGTTGGTGATCCCCTCCAGCCCTCGTATAATGTCAAGTCGGCCATTGCCGCACTGCTTGATGATTAGCTCCCTGTCTGTTTCAAGGGAGCATGTATGTGGTGTCATCTCATCAGGAGTGCTGCTGAGTGAGGTGCCTGCATTGCGGCAAGTACGTGTATAGGCGGGTGTACGTGTAAATTAAGTCGATGCGGATCCGTCAAGACATCAGGGGAGCCGGGTTCATGGTTGCTGCTCAAATAAGCTTTTGTGTCTTGTCTTGGAGGAGCTTGTTTCTGTTTGTCAAGTTGGAAACACCAAGGTGTTGATGATAAAAATATTATTCAGTCAAGGTGAAAGGAATGAAACAAAAGAGCCCAGACGGGGAGGAGACAGGAGATACGGAGCCAAGCATTTGAGCTTTCCCCAGACCAGACAAGAGATTCCGTCATTCTTGTGTTCTTCGGCTGCTGCTTGGCGATCTGGCCCTGCCGACGCCGAACTCAATGGGTGGATGAATGGTCCGTGCACCCCGCTGAGGAAGCTGCCAATAGACTGCCAAGACATGGGACACTTTGGGGGTTCAACGTTCTGGACAACAGAGCCCTGGACACCTGCAATGGAAAGCATCTCCACCGACACTGAGGTCAGCCTCAACCATCACTGGCTGGAGTCTTTCTTTCCTCGAATGTTCGCTTTGGATGGACCAATTCCCAGCCTCCTCCCCTGGTTCCTTTCTAGGTTGTCCCTTTCCATCTGACGCCAACCAGCGCTAGCAACAAAAAAGCTTCTTAGGTTTGCTTCCTACCTGCTGTGCCATTACTTGTCACTATCACCCGTCATCCATCCGGCATTACATCCGACATCGCGTCACGCATCCATGAGTCCGGCACAGGGGCACCACCAGCTGTAGCACCCGGACAACTCTGACCTCATACATCCCCCCCCCTTCGTCACCAACTGCTGCGAATTGCAATCTCGACGCGCGACCACATCTCGNCCCCCCCCCTCTTGTGACGAGCCCACCTTTGCATGGAGGGAGAACCTCTCTGATCCATGGCCCCTCCCTCGGGCCTCCACCAAGCCGCCTTATCCTCCGACTTCGAAACCCCTTTCCCGCCCCTCGTCCGATCCTCTACCGTGCCCGCTAGTCTCAAGTCGCATCGCACCGATCCCTCCCATCTGGCCCCCGAAGATGCCTACTCTCCCGTCTCTCCGCCGCGCCGAACCGGTCTCTATAACGTAGACGGTAGTGGTAGCGGCACCAGCGCCCCCAATGGCGCCTCCGCCAATGAGCTACGCCCCAGGCATACCAGGCGCAAAGATGGCAGCAGGAGCAGGAGCAGGAGAAGGCCGAGACGTTTTCAGAAGCTGCTCTGGGTGAAGCAATCATACCCCGACAATTACACAGACCAGGCGACCTTCCTCGAGAAACTCCAGCGCAACCCGCGCGTCAAGCCATACGACTTTTGGCCCCTCGTTGCCGACTCGACCGTTATTGTCCAACAAGTCTGCTCCGTCATCATCTTCATCGTCTGCTTCGTCGGCATCTTCCAGGAGCGCGTCAGTCCCGTGTCCGTGGTAGGCTTCAGCAGCTTTGCCACCTTCATCGGTTGGCTACTATGGGATTGGTGGGTAGGGGAGGAGAGTCTGAAAGCGCAAGGCGCAATGGACGGGACTATACATTCGGATAGGGGACGGGACCCTCGTCCGGTACGGCGCCAGGACTCTGTTGGGGGCCCAACCCGTAACTCGAGCATGGTCAGTCTTTCGGGAGCGGGAGCGGGAGCGGGAGCAGCAACATCGACTCCAGCTTCTGTACCACCCTCAGCTGCGCCGTCGCCGCGTCCCGACCAACATCTACACATCCCCCGCTTCGGCATCGGTCCGGCAGATTCACGTTCCGCCAGCATCGAGCCCTCTACGGCCGCCGCCTCCCGCGCCGGCTCGCGGGCTCAATCAGTCGCCGATTTCCACGAAGCTCACTACGGCCACCACCGACACCGATCCTCGACCTCCTCTCCGGTCCGCGGCGGCGGCGTCATCCCAGGGAACAGCCGCCTCCAGCTCCGTTTATCCACCATAAAGTCCGCTGTTCTAATCTACTTCACCCTGCTGGGTCTTTCCCCGATTCTCAAGTCGTTGACCCGATCAACATCCTCCGATTCCATCTGGGCCATCTCCTTCTGGCTGCTTGCCATCAACATCTTCTTCTTCGACTACTCCATCAACAACAACCCGTTCACGCAAGCAACCATAACCAACCCTCACTCCAACCAAACCGGCGGTATAGTCATGGGCGGGTCCACCCCAGCGCCAGCCGGAGTCGGAGTCGGAGGTGTGACTGGAACCGCAACGCCCATCCCAACCCTGACCTCAACCTCCCCACCCTCAAGCGGGCCTTCATCATCCTCATCCTCGTCCTCATCTGCATCCGCTTTCGGAACCGGCACCAACACCAACAGCAAGCCGATCGTCCCCGGTGGTACCACCTCAACCTCTACTCCCACTATCCCGACGAGCGCTCCAACGAGCAGCCCAGCCGCAAGAGGCGGCACAGCCCCCATCCCAACGCAGCACAAATTCCCCATCGCCAGTCTCTCCACCAACGCCGCCCTGATGGCCTCGACCGTGCTCGCCTCCCGCCTGCCCTCCACAGGCCAAGTCTTTTCTCTAACGCTCTTCAGCATCGAAGTCTTCGGCCTGTTCCCCGTCTTCCGGCGTTACGCGCGCCACCGCTCCTTTCGGTATCATGTCATCCTCACCATCCTCCTGCTACTAGGAGCCGGAGCCGGTGTGGGGATTATCATCGGGGCGCCATGTCCCCCGTCACCTATTCCCTCCACACTAGGAACGATAGGCGCAGGGACAGCTACCGGTACAAAAGCAGGTGACCTAATAGTGCGAGAACAAGACGATACTGGTGTAATGTGGATAGCAGGGATGACAGGTATCTGCGAATGCTGGCAAACGTGGCTCAAGCATTCCGTCCTAGGCATGATCGTTTCCTGTCTGATTGCCGCATTGGCAATGGGCGGGTGTAGTTGGTGGCTGATTGGACTGCAAAAGTACAAGAACGAGATATATGGCCCTTGGGACCCGGCGAGGCCGATTATTATTAGTAGACGGTATTACGATGATGAATGATTTTTTTTTTTGTGTGTTATAAAAGAAAAAGGGAAGGGAAAGATAATGAGTGGGCTGGGTTGGACTGGCTGGGCTGGATTATGCTGGGTTGTTAGTTAATAGAGAGAGAACGTAGATTGCATTGAGTCTACTTGTATCATGGGATATACAGAAAGAGTATGGATCGTTTATTAGCGAACTTTGTTGTATGTACAATAGTAGCGTAATGGAGTTTCTGTATGAGAGCAGTAAAGTGAAGTGGCAGGTGTATGTGTAGATGTGATGTGATATTGGTGGTGAAGAGATGGTGTAGAGATGCTGAAGAGACGGAGTAACGTATAAAGACTAAAGAGAGACGAGATGAAATCGCCCACATGCCACTCACGTTGACATCCAACAATGCTCAACATCGAGTTTCACTTTCGTCCCAATGTATACAGAGTTCCAGATGACAGCTACCGTTAAACCATGCATACGGTCATCTCAAGCCAACAAACGTTTGAACTCCGCCAATTGTATAACACGCCATTAAGTACTACACAAGTCAAAACACTCTTTCATTTTTGACCTATCCGCCGAAAATATATACATACAAAATCAATTCTGAATCGCACGCACGCAAGCAGACGGACACAACAAGTTGCCAAAGAAGTCATCAATCATCCATTTTTGTTTGTTCATTCTATAATTAAAAAATAACCCATAACCATTACCACACAGCAGCAACATCATCCACACCACGCTTACTCGGAAAGCTTCTTCTTGATGATGTCCTTGAGGGTGACGGCATCAGCAGCGAACTTGGAGATACCCTCGCGGAGCTTCTCGACGGCCATCTGGTCCTCGTTGAAGTCGAAGCGGAAGTTGGCCTCGCTGTTGATGTAGCTCTTCTTCTCGAGCGAGAGGTTGGTGGCGCCGTCGGCGTTGAGCTTCTGGGGGACGGAAGCGTCGGAGTTGAGGAGCTCCTCAAGGAGGTTGGGCTGTTTTTTTGAGTGTGTCTGTTAGTAAACTATTTTTCTTTTTTTTCAATGAATTTGGGAAGCGAGAAAACATACGGAGATGGTAAGGTAGTCGCAGCCAGCGAGCTCAGTGATCTCGCCAGTGTTGCGGAAAGAAGCGCCCATGACAATGGTCTTGTAGCCGAACTTCTTGTAGTAGTTGTAGATCTGCTTGACGGACTGCACACCGGGGTCCTCCTCCTTGGAGTAGTCCTTCTTGGTGGAAGCCTTGAACCAGTCAAGGATACGGCCGACGAAGGGGGAGATGAGGAAGGCACCGGCCTCGGCGGCGGCGATGGCCTGGACAAGGGAGAACATGAGGGTAAGGTTGGTGTTGATGCCGTGGTCACGCTGGAGAATCTCGGCGGCCTTGATACCCTCCCAGGTGGAGGCGATCTTGATCAGGATACGGTCCTTGGAGATACCCTCGGCCTCGTAGAGCTGTTGTGGAGGAACAAGTCAGCATGTGCTTTTAAGTTAAGGAGTCCAGGGGGCGAAAATGTTGTGTGAGGAAAACGTACCTTGATGATGTGAAGAGCCTTGTCGACCGAAGCCTTGGTGTCGAAGGAGAGGGCGGCATCGACCTCAGTGGAGACCTTGCCGGGGACGATCTCGAGAATCTTCTTGCCGAACTGGACAAGGAGGTAGTCGAGAGCGGCATCAACCTTCTCCTCAGGGGAGCCGGGGCCCTTCTTGGCCTCAGCGATGGCGGCGTCGAGGAGAGCGCCGTACTCGGGCTTCTTGGAGGCAGCGAGAATCAGGGAGGGGTTGGTGGTGGCATCTTGGGGCTTGTACTTGGCCATGGTAGCGAAGTCGCCTGTTGTTGTCAGAAATCGTTAGCATCATTGGTGTCACGATGTATGTTCTGCTGCTGCTCCTAGATCGGAGGAGGAGAGAAGCTGGTGGAAAGAAGCTTGCTTACCTGAGTCACAGACGACAACCTATACATTGCGCAAAAAGATGCAGCGGTTCAGTTAGCAGCTTGTTCTCCAAATTTGTCCAAGAATGTCGCAAAACGCGGACAGAGAGATACAATGAAGCATCTCGCATTGCTGCAAAACCTCATCGAGTTGCGATGGTTCGTCTAGGAAGCTTCACAACAAAAAGCCCCCGAATCATCGGATGAGGGGTTTGGCGGGGTACACAGGGGAAAACAGGAATGACGGAATTGAACGTACAGTGCCAGAGGCCTTGAGCTGCTCGAGAGAGTTAGACATTTTGGGTGATGATGTGTATGAGTTGAATAGTATTAGAGGTGAGTGTGGTTTGTCGTTGGTGTTTTTTGGGGAAGGGTATCAATCAAAGCAGAAAAAAAGTCGTTAGATGTTTGTTGTAGAGAAGAAAGATGGGAAGGAATTGGAAATCAGGCGAAGTTGTTGAAGGGGGACCAGTTGCGCTTTCAAGTGGTGTTCCGTTGGGGAATGACGGGGAAAATAGCTGAACGTCTTGGCACGCTTCGCTACGTTATTAGCGGATAGTGGAATTGTTGTGTGGATGGTGCCTGCAACGGAAGACGAGGGATCTTTGTCATTCAGTTCTTGTCCTGGTTAAAACATGACACCTAGGAATCCATTCCCACGGCCAAATAGCGGGGATATCATTCACCATCGTCATATATCTTTCCATCCCGGCATCCGGTTTGCATGTACAACTATCGCCGCCGTCTCGATCCGCCTCTTTGAGCATTGACAATCTGACAGTTCAGTTCAGTTCAGTTCCTGTCAATCCAATCTAGTTCCTTCTTCGTCCCGTCTCTCAATGTCCTCAAATACCACGTCTGATCCCCGACTTTGGGTCGTTCCTTTGGGCACTTCTGCAAGGTCCGGAAACTCCTCTCGGACACCAAAGGAGCCCAAGCAGCTAACACCCATCAGGGTGGTCCCTTGATCTACCTACCGTACCACTCCCACGCCTTCTTGGAGAAGCTCTGTGGTTCTTTGCTTTCTGCTTTGACACTTTTACACTACACTCCCCAAAATCCCCTTCCCTTCCCGTCACACTCTCCGACTGACTATTTGCCATTTCAGGCCAGCACAGCACGGCCGGTTTGATCAGAAACATGTGGCGAGTCCATTGACCATTGTTCATCCAAGCACCAAGCACCAAGCACCAAGCACCTCGATGGCCGCCTCTACCGCCTCGGCCGCACTGCCGACCTTTCCTCCCGGGATTTCCAGCCCCAAGCCATTCGCTTCCATCTGTTGTCCTGATCAACAGCACCTTTCATCCGGCACACCGTTTCTCTTCCTTCTCCCAATCCGAATATCAATTCCAATTCCATTCGATTCCTTCATCACTAATTTGACCACATCTTGCAGCAATGCACCTACGCCGTAAACAACATTATCCTTCCCGTCAGGTGCCGTCGTGGGTTTATGGGTAGCGTCTTTGCGTGCGTGGGGGTAGTTGTTTGGGGGTTGGGGTTTGTTAGTGCACCGTAGCGTGAATGTTAGTGATGCCATAACGTCACACAACCCACCAGCGGTGATGTAGAATCAGTGGAGTCAGGCCCCGGCCGATCCGAATGGGGTCACTTCAGTTACTTCAGTTACAAGTTGCAGTCATCGACGTATTTTCCTCTTTTGCTTCACGCCGACCTGCTTTTCCCTTCGTTGCCGATGACAGTCCTCGTATTGAATCTAAATGTCGGTCTGAAGAATAATCTTTCGCAACCACTTACCATTGAGCTCACGCGCATCTCTTGAATTCTACCATTGGGCACTTTGAATGCATTCTGCCATTCTGCCATTCTTCCAGCCTCCATGCAGGGGACTTGCGGTTCCATAGCTCGGTGCAAATGGAGACGAGAGCAAGGGGAGCTTGACCTGACCAATTTACCCGGCCACGTTTCTCACTCCCTTTTTATCCGGCCGGCCATTTTGACGGCGACGGCGACACTTCCAGAACTCCTGACCATCAACACCGCCAGATTCCTATTCATAGCTCCGGCGATCGGCAGTCAACATCTGTACATGTACAGTCATAAGTTTGAGTTCACAGGCATTTTCATATCATGAAAACAGAAGTTGAGCACTTTCGAAATCATATAATTATCCTATGTTTTTTTCTCCCTTTCAATCATCATCAACAACGCCAAAGGATATCATCAGTTTTTGCACGCCCCTGCCTTGCCTTGCCTTGCCTTGCTCTTCTCCTTATAATTTCATGAAAGCCACACACCTTTCTGGCATAAGTACCGATTTCTCCGGCATAAACACCGAGAGATCCTAGTCCTCAGTGATATCGCCATACTCCCACATACCAAGACGCGAGTCCTTGGCCTCATCCTGAGCCTTCTTGTACGACTTGAGCGTCTTCTCAAACACGGGGCTCCTCTCCCACGGCTTGAGCTTCATGGGAACCATGGCGTAGCCAGTCGAAAGAATCTCACGGTTGAGCGACGAATCGGGGTCCTTGGCATCCTTGGGGTCGTAGATGGTGATGTAGCTGAGGCCCTCCTTGTTGTCGATGAAGTCAAAGCTGCCGACGAGCTGCCTGCCCTCGGTCAACTCGTAGATGATGTTGATGGCCTCATCAAGGTAGTGAGTGGCGGAAGGAAGCTGGACGAAGGACAGGGAAGCATCAATGGCCTGGGCCTTGAGCTTCTGGACGCCGAACTGAGCGTCAAGAGGGCGGAGCTTAGACCAGGGCTGCTTCTCCGAGTTACCGTAGTCAATGTAGACGACCTCGGCAACCTTGGCCGAGCGGTCGTTGGACCTGACGCGAGCTCTGTACCACTCGCCATCGGCGGTAAACTGAGCGGCGACAAGCTCACCAGTCTTGGGAGCGTCAGGCAGGGATTTCTTGTTGGCAGGGTTGCTGTGGTATTTCTTGAACTCGTTCATGAGGGTAGTCAAGGCAGCAGTGCCCGGGCCAACCTCCTGGATCTTGAGCTTGCCGTTGGCATCGACATTGGTGATGACGATGTCACGGTAGTCGTTGCGCTTCTCCCTGATGGTGAGCTCAACCTCGGGGGCAGCTTGAGCAGCCTCCTCCTCCTCCTCAGCGACATCCTGGGAAGGATCCCAGTCCTTCCAAAGACCCTTGCGGGCCTCCTTGGCCTTCTGCTCGGCAGCGTTGAGCTCGGCAGCATTGCCAGACTTCTCAGCAGAGTACTGATGAACGGTAGCAAGACCCTCCTCAACAAGGATCTTGGCAAAGCTCTCACGGCCGATGTAAAGGTCACCAATGAAACCGCCGACCTTGTCAATGTCGTGAACATCAATCTCGCAGTCCCTCTGGTTGCAGCGTCTGTTGGCCAACTCAAGAGCCTCGTTACCGAAGGGCTCACCCTGCTCCTTAGGGGTGCGGCCAGCACGAGGAGCACGGATACCGGCAAGAACCAGGGTAATCTTGACGCCCTCGCGAGGGATCAAGACAGTGAAGCGAGAACCAGACTTGCAATAGTCAACAATACCGGGAACCTTCTTTTGCCTCGAGAGGGTAGAAAGCTGAAGCTTGGCCTTTTGCGCGCTCTCAGACATGTCGATGTACTGCTTGATCTTGGGGCTCTTGCCAGACCAGATACCCTTCTTCTCTTCCTTAGCAGTCTCCTGCGCAGCAAGGAGCTCATCGTAGTTGGAAGCACGGTCAGTGTCATCCTTGCGGTGCCTGATGACAGTAGCGTAACCCTCCTGAACAAGCATCAGACCAATGTTCTTGCCATCACGAGTGACGGTGGCAACATCACGGGCCTCGAAGTCGTCAGTGGCAGCCTTGGAACCGTCAATCGAGACGCGAACGTGCTTGCCAATAACCTTCTTGCGCAGGAACTCCTTGGCCTCCTCTCTCCAGGGAGCCTCGGAAGGCTCACCAGCTCTGGGACCACGAATGCTGCTCAAGCTAAGCCTCTTCTCCTCGCCGGCCTTGTTCCGGACAAGGATGGTATCGGCACCGACAATCTTGCTGACAGTCACATCGAGATCCTTAGCACCACCGGTGGCCTTGGCAACATGGCCCTTGTGCAGACGCAGCTGGGCGGACTGGGCCTTCTTCTCAGCAGCGCGGAGAGCAGCCATATCGGCACCGAGGAAGACGGAGTGGAAGTCGTTGCAGCGGGCAAGGCCGTCCTGGAGAAGGAACTCGGCGATGTTGCCGTTGGGGTGAAGAATGGCAGCAACGAGCTGGCCCTGAGGGCTGGCACCGACGATCTTGACCTTCAACTTGCGCTGAAGGAGGCGGGTCTCGACGAATCTCTTGGCTTCCTCGCCATATTCCTCAGCAGGCTGCACCTGGCCAGTGGAGGGGTTCGTCCTGGCAGTCGATGGTGTCCTGATACCGGCAATGAGAGTCATGACCTGGTAGTGCTTCTTGTCGCTAAGGAGAAGACGGGCCAGGAGACGGTCTCCGCTAATGACCTTCTCGATGATGGCGTCCACGGTCTTGCCCTTCCACTGGTTGAGGAAGTCAGGGCCACCGAGGTCGTTCTGGACCGCAATGAAGCCATCCTTGCCAGCGTGAAGGCCCTTTTGTTCGTTCTTTGCCTGGGTCTCGAATTCCCTAAGCTTGTCGAGTCTGTCGAGGGTCTCCTCAGAGTCGTCTTTCCTGCCAGCATCCTCCCTGACCTTGAGCCAGCCAGCCTTGACAGCAGCCTCTGGAAGCTCGGTTCCGTCTTGAAGTTGCGCAATGCCATATTCCCTGCCGGAGTTGGGGATGGTGTCTATTGGAGGTTCCGAGTTAGCAGTTGTTGGCGTTGATGCCACTAGGGCAAAACAGAAGGGGGCAAGCAAGCTTACAAAGAACAGTGCACTTGATGGGCTTGCCGAGGGTCAGTTCCCTGAGAAACTCGCGGGACTGGAAGGCGAATGGCTCGTCGCCATCCTTGCTCAAACGAGGAGCAGTGACATAGGCAAGAGAAAACTGGCGCTCGACCGCTGGGTTCTTGGGGTTGGCGAGGATGAGGGTGTCACCGCTCAGCACGGATTTTACTTGAGCGAAGAAGCTGGACATGGCTAGAGATATTCGAGGTGGAGCTTGTGCGGTAACAGTCGAGGGTGGCTGGAAGTATTAAGGTGTAGTACTGGAAGATGGTGCTGTTAGAGATGGATCATTGATATATAATGTGGCAACCGAGGTGCCAACTGAGACCGTATCGGTCTCCGAGTGATCATTGAGACTCGAGGATGCAGAAATTCCAAGGCCGATATCTTTCATGAAGCTTTGGCTCGGTGTTTCGATCATGCTGTGGTCCGAATGTTTTGCAGCGGAGAACGGGAGGGGAAGAACCGGTGGGGGAGCTGTCTTTGCATACCTGATCAAAAATAAAAAAGAGACAAACAAGAGCTCAGCAAGTAAAGGAGAGCTCTGGAGTTGTGATATACTAAAGCGTGTAGAGAAGTTGTGATATGGGAAAAGGAGAGATTGTAGAGGAGAGTAGCAGACAGGGGAAATTTCAGTTGAAGTTGAGACTCTGACTGGTACCGTGGTGGATGGGACGGAAGCTCTCAAAGGTGCGGCAGGTGGAAGGACAGCTGTCGGTCGGTGTGTCACGGCTTCCCTTGGTGCTGGCCCAATCTGGACAGCTTTCGCCAATTCATCCAACCTCGCCCCATCTGAAATGTGGGGTAAGAGCCCCTCGACAGCTGTTCTGGAAACGCCTCCCCGCCCAGGGGACCTGTTTCGGGGGTTGCGGAGAGGGACTTCGTAGGTACTTCTCACTCGATCTGTCAGCCGCCTTCAGCTTATGTACCTATAAGTACCCATGATATCCAAAGCCCAAGACAACTTGGCATCTCTCATAGCATCACCAACCTCAGCTGTTGCCTAGAGGTAGACAGGAATTTGAAATTGACAAGTCTGGTAGCTAGAGTTGCGTTGAAAGAGTATCTATAAAACCTGATAATGATTTCCTAAGTGAAGCCCTCAAGTTGAGCAATTGAGCTGCTGAGAACCTCTCTTAAGCAGCTCCATTCTAACCCTCAAAAGACTACAGCTCCTTGAATAACTTCATACATCACGAAATGCTCAGCAGACATTGTACCCACCCGCACTTCTCAACATGTTCAGCAGACGCAGTACTCACCCTCCCTTCTGGGGCCTCAGCGGCCACCATGAAGAACTGATGCTTCATCCCCGCGGGACCCCTCGAGGCGGAGGCAACATAAAGCCTCCCACTCCGCAGTTCTCCTTCCCCCAGTTCCCCCGTCTTCCACGGGATGTTCGCCTGCGGATATGGGAGATGACCGTCGTGCCTCGCATCGTCGAGGTCCGCGTAAACTACAGCAAGAACGATGCGGATCACGACCAGGCTAGCAAGAGATTCACCAAAGTCACGCCAAAAGGATACGAGGTGTTCCCGTTGTTTTCATCTACACCGGTGCCGGCGCCGTTGCAGGCTTGTCAGGAGGCGAGGAATTATTTAGGGCAGTCTGAGGTGGGTTATGAGAAGGCGTTTTGGGATTTAGATTTACCGGTTGCGAGGAAAGAAGCCGGTGATGAACCTAAACCAGAAAACGAGGAACCCACATCGGAAACTGAGAAACGTTCCAAACCAGAGGACACCGAACAGCACCAACAACAAACAGAACTATCACCAAGCCCAGACCCATTCGAAGAACCACCCCGTCATCGTCCTTACGTATGGATGAACTTCCACAAAGACATGCTCTCCCTCGGCCCCTCCCCTTTCCACCATTTTTTATCTTACTCCTCGAAAATCAAAGCTCTTCGATTCCAGCAAGACCTTCTTAGCAACGAAGAAGTGGCAGACCTCCGACTCATCTCCAAGTTTACCAACATCAAGGAACTCCACATAATCTGCGCCTACGGGCAGGAGGTTGACGACTGGGCGGGCGTGGAAACCGAGCTGGATATGAAATTTCCTATCCCCAGGTGGGACGTGCTGGTGATTGCTCCTGGGGATGATTTGGTTGTGGATGCGTATGAGATTGATATTTATGACAAGGAGGAGGAGCGGAGGAGGAAGAGTCAGAGATGAGCCTCAGGGCGTTCGCGTTGATGAAGAAGCGGAGTAGTTCTAGAGCTTAAGTTGGGCGTGAAGTGGTGAGTATCTCTTTTATTATGAAGGTGGGTGTTTAGCTCGTATATGCTCAGGCCCGTAGATATAGTGTGAACATATTCTGGATAATAATTGATGTGCACGTAAAGTTTTGTTGAACTATTTATATCATTGTTGTCTCAACAGCCGTTTCCTTCCGCAAGCTCCCAATCATGTCAACCGACGCGGTACCTGGAAACGGCTGGGAGCATGACAGACAGGCGTCTCCACTTTGATATGTTGCTGTGACAGCTGCCCAAGCTCCTGAGCTAGTCTAGAGCTTCAAGCAAGGATCAAGCTTCATGGCAAAAGAACGAGTTGGAGAAGAGACATGCAGGGCTTCCATTCGTGGTGACAGGCCAGTTTCCTCGGTTGAGTGCTGTAGCATGTTTGCTTACAAAGCTGTATTTATAGATAAATTTCGGGTGTCACGAGGCAAGTATGGTGGTTTGCTTTTCTCTGATGGGAAGTCAACAAATATTGGTTCACAGTCACAAGCTTCCGTAATGGACGAGACTGATTCTTCACTTTTACATTTTTATTCACGCCGCTTGACAGCAGACCATTCTCTGGCTACCACAATCTAACAACGCAAACCACCCAACCGGTCGAGACGTTTACTGGGAGATACCAATGACGCCGCAGGCGGGGCGGGGACCGGCGTTGCCAGTCTTGAGGGACTCCTCGTTGCCACCCTTGCCAAGGTCGTCAGTGCCGGCGTGGACGACGACGGTGCGCTGTTGGAGGACAAGTTAGCAAGAGGAAACGAAATGTTGTAATTGTATCTGGCGGAAGAAACATACGCCAATGACGGACTCGGGGCCGATGAGCTTGACGAGGTTGTCAGTCACGGAGCCCTTGGCGTTACCCTGAGCATCGGTCTCGAGGTTGCCGAGATCACCGACGTGGCGGACCTCGTCGGTGCGGTTGCCGTGGGTGGTGCCACGGGGGTTGACTGCGTGGTGGGTAAGGGCACATTGGTCAGTCTACTGCTCTGGTATGATGATCGCTCTCTTCTCTCTCTTCCCGACGTCCCACGACGTTCTCGGGGACTCGGATCTCGGGTGACTTACAGTGAGGGCCGGCAGAGGTGCAGCCGTTGGTGTTGTCACCGAAGGTGTGGATGTGGAAGCCACGCTTGGCGTTGGGGTCGTTGCCGGAGATGTCGTAGGTGATGGTGGTGGGAGCGGACTCGGACTCCTGCTCGAAGATCACGGTGCCCTTGACGTTAGAGTCACCACGGAGAACAGCGACTGGATGGGTGAAAGAAGAAGAGGTTAGCCATTGTTGTCTAGCCAATAATGCAGGGTCCCGGGTAGCCAGAGAGGTTCTCGCAGTTCGTCCTGCGTCATTCGTCGAGGAAGGTGACGATTGAAAGTGCCCATCAAGGTGTCCGGCCATGAGGCAGAAACTCGCTCAAACCACCGCGTGGGTAACCGATCCCCTCCACTCGGATCGTCTGATGGCGGATGGGTAGCCGCAACCCAAGGCAACCTCGAGAACCATTGACAAGCGGGATTGAATGTGACGCATTGCAAACGGGATTATGCTTACCAGCCTTGACCATTTTGACGGATTTAAAAGTTGCTTGGGTAGAAGCGGTTTGGTTCGGGTATCTTGTTAGGTTGTGTGTTTACTTCGGAAGCAGAGGAAGCAGCAAAAGGGAAGATCTTGGGGAGAAAAATCGGCTGCGTTATACTTGGACACTGAAGAAGCGGGGGGCCACTGGGGAACAGGAAGAAGTCCGGCGTCCGAGGATCGCTGGCGTCCAGGTGGGGTTCGTCAGGGGATGAGCGAACCACAGCAACCCCGCATTGCCGTCATCTCGTTCTCCTGATATGATTGAGTGGCGCTTACAAATTCGGCATCACTTCCGGCAACACATGGAAAAGCCCGTCATAAGGCGGTCTTGGCATTGCCGTTGTCAGGACAAGTGGGAACATGGAGATGTTGATGTTTTGGTGTTTCTACTAGAGAATTGAAAATTTGATTTCCACTCTTCGATATGCTATATAAGAGCATTTGTACTCAACATCTTTGGGCCCGGACCGTCGATAGCAACAGCATCAACAACCACAACAACAGCTCAACATAAAGCTTTGCCAGCAAAACCTACCGACACGACGACATCGGCCAGCATTTTGGTGTCATTGAACGGCGGGGCTGTTTCAGGCCAGCACGCAATTCATGGAGTGGGGTGTTTCCTTTGGCTTCCTTTCTGTTCTCACCAATTTTGGCTTAACCCCGTCGATCCGACCATCTGATAAGATCTTTGATAACCTCGACGCTGAGGCAGATTCGGATGACCTCCAAAGTCCTAGTTGTCCACACAGTTTACCTAGACCTCGCGGTTGTTGCCATAGGGCTGAAAGAGGCTCCAATCGTGTTGAAATCCGAACACAGCCCATTGTTGGATGTTGCCGCGGCAGGGAGAGATTCCGAAGGCTGAGTGAGGCATTCCCTTTCAGACGCCATGCGCCAACAGTCAATGATGATTTTCCTCCCCGGTGAAGTTTGAAGCACTTCGAACCCAATTCCTCCAGCTTCAAACATGTCGGCTTTGAACGGCCCAAGATACAGAGCCTGAGGTCAGTCGAACATTGATTGGAAAACAAAATATGAAGACTGCCTTGCAGAAAACCAAACAAACAGCTGCTGAAAGGAAGCCCCTGGCAATTGATACAGATCCAGGCACCCAGGGGTACTTTCACTTTGTAAACAAACTCGGAACCTGATTGGTCACTTTACCCTTTCCTCTAACACTGTTCACATTTCACAAACGCCCAGCAGCCAAGGCTGTACACGCCGCTTCACCATTTCGACCCGATGCCTTGGCTACCTGTTTCCTATGTTTCATGAAATCTTATCCCTTTGAAACAGGCGTTTCCTGAAGTTAGAAGTTGTGAAGATACTGAACGAGTTTAGATCAGTATTACCCACAACAAATCTGAGAGGATCCGGATGTTCTGAAAATGGGATGACAAGCAAGCATCAGATGAGGGGTTCAGGTTTGTGACGACAATGTGCCTTATCAAACGAACGATAAGATAGATGAAAGCACAGGCCAACGACCCTTCTTTTAGAGCTGCTGAGGTCCCGGGATGTTTCCATTGAGAGGGCCGCATCACTGCAGGGGCATGTCAATATGTACAAGGTTGGTTGCCTCCCACTCTTCACATTTCACAAGCCAGAAGAGAGAATGAATGCCTTGCACAATTCTCGAGTTGCACTTCAAGTTTGGGTCTTTCCATCCATTCGGCTAATTTTTCCATCACTTTATGGTAATACCCTGAGGTCCCACCACCAGGAGGCTATTCAACTTTGTGTGGCTTCAATTTCAGGCCATGCCATAATGATTCAGATGCTGGAATGCTATGAATGCTTTACATGGTCCATGTAAATATCAACTTGTCCTTTGAACCCCGTTGTTGGCTTTGCGCAAACCGCCATCCTTTCAGCTGATATATCTGCTGCTTTCCTCTGTCAACTTGAGATTGACAATACCTCAGTTGTCCAACTCCTCAACCCTCCTACTCGCGGTAAGGGCTCTTGCCAAACCCCGACTTCTCCCTCATCTGATCGATCAGCTCTCTGGACTCCTCAAAGCCCTCGGGAGTAGGCTTAATTCCGTAGGAAGCCATAAACCCTGTCCTGCCGCCCCAGGGCTTGAGGTACTCGTAGTCAGACATGGGTTGGCCGGGCTTGGCTTCGGAGAACTGGGCGACTCTATAGAGATGGGAGGTGGAAGGTTAGTCGGAAGCTGTTGACGAAGGGTGTTGATCAGGCGCATAGAGAGAAGCAAAGGTGGTGCTCCACTTACTTGGAGTTGGACGAGGAACCTCCTCCAGAGGAATTGTTGGAGGACTGATTGGAGGACTGGCTCTTGGAGCTGCCCTTGCCGTTGTTGTTACCGTTGTTACCGGACATTTTGATTTTTGTACGGTTGGTGCGAATGAGATTACAATGGTTTTCTGTAGACTTGGTAATGTGGATTATACCTTGATGAGCGATGAAGAGGGAGAGGTCCATTGACCCCACCAGGCTACGGGCAGGCCTGGGCTTTAAGTACAGGAGTTGAAGCCGTCGTGGCTACCATTTCAAGCGATGCAGCTGCTATGTATGACTGTGCATGGCAGGCGCTGCCTGACAATCAAGTGAATGACTGTCGTTGAGAAGGCCAGAAATGACATGGCAAGTACTTGATACACAAAGTATGAAAGTGGATGAGTGTTTCTTCTGACAGGAAGACACAGAAACACCAAGGTTTGAAGCGACAATCCTGACCATGTTACAGTCAGTCCCCGCGCTGTGACAGGGTCGAAGACAGCGCCAGCCTTGAGGGAGCCTGGACCCTACCCCAGTTCCACGCTTCACCAACCGAACCCGTGCGTCCAGTGGCAGGCCCCTATGGTAGATCCCAAGGAAACTGTGACGGACCCGGACCTGACCTTCCCGACGGGAACAGCTACCTAGGACTGGGGCAGTCTCTACCAGACCAGACGCTGTGAAGTCAGTGGTTCACTGTTATCGACCCCTATCTTGATACTTTTACAGTAAGGTACTCATATACCCATACATACACATCACCCTCGGCTGCGCCTTGTGACACGCCGGCGACTTGAACCGTTCGACAGAGTCAGACGCTGAGTCCGACTCGATGTGATTGCATACATCATATCTGCGTCCCGCACGCGCGCCAGCCACCCCGAAGTTACAGGTTGTCTACCTACCCTTCGAGGATCACTTCGATTCCCGACAACTTCAACAACAACGACAACAACCCATCTCATCGAACTTGGCGGATGGAGTAACCGTTGGTGTAAAAGACGTGTACATACATACGATTACGATACAGACGATACTTACCCAGAGGACATAACGGCCGGAGTCTCCACTGGGCCGCGCGCTAAATGCCACCCCCAGTCTCCATTTAATTGACACAAGAGAGCGAGCTGTTATCATACCTTAGCACCACCGAGCGAGCGACCTTGCCCGAATCCGCAACCCCGTCGCCGTTGTTTCCGACATACAATTTCGCTCGCTGTCGACCCGTCGCCTTCCGTCCGGTGGAAGGCTGCCCGAGAGCTCGACGCCACGCGGACATTGCACAAAGCTGCTCGCCCGAACCTCGGCGCCATCCGTCATTGACAGCGACAGCTTCAGGTTCTAGGTCGCCCTCTGCCTACAGGTACCCAACAGTTGACGACAACAGCGACGACGACAACGACGAGACACACACTTGAGCGCCATGTCGTTTCGCGGCGACGATTCGCGCCGCTACGGCCATGTGCCGCCTGCTCAATATCCCGTCGGCGGCACCGCGCAGGACAACAACAATAACAATCCGCCATATCCTCCCCAGCGACGCTTGAGCTTCAACACGGGCGACGATGCCGGCATGTTCGACCCGAGCGCTTCCCGCCAGCAGCCCGCCATTTACACTGGGGCGCCTGTGGGCAGTAGGGGTGAGGAGGAGCTGTTTATCACCAGTCCCACGTCACAGGATGCGCCGGCTGCCCAAAATCGCCTCAGCTACAACCCTCAGCATATCGCCATGGCTGGATATCAACACCAGTATCAGGCTCAGACAAACGCGCCGCCGCCCGCACCGACACACTCGACGTACAACCCCCAGGCCTTTGCTCGCACTCAATCAACCTCCCTCCCGTATCACCCTGGCCCGCCCTCGAGATACGGCGCTCCGACGAGTCCGACCTACGCGCCCACTCCTACAACCTATACCCCGCCAGCTTATAACCCAGCGGCGTACGCCAACACCAACACGCCTCAGAGGCATTCTTCCGTCGCTTCAGTGGCTTCCTCGGGATACAATGGGTACACATATGGCTATACCTCTCCCAGCATCTCGCAGTCGGGATTTGGCCAATCTCCCCAGACGGCTACAGCTCCATCCATGCCCAGCTATGAGCCCGCCCGTAGTCCACAGTATCCTCCGTCTTCTGCCACCGCGACATCGCCGCAATATGACCAGTCCTATTCCCCGGCGAATGCATACAACCAGCAGCAATACTACGGGTCCTATTCCTTGAATGGCGTGAACAATTCCCAAAGTATGGCGTACAATACCATAACGTCTCAGGCGCCCTATCCCTCCCATGCTCAGATGCCTGGCGGACCTAGTTACGGTTCTGCAGATCACAGCGCCTTTGCCGGTCGGAATTCTAGATCGGATTTCCAGGTCTCTGCGCCGTCTCCTCCTGCACATTCGCAAGCACATGGCGGTCTTACAAGGCATCCAACAAATGCTCCGCTCCCTAGCCGCCCCATGGATGATTTGCCGGAGGACCAAAGCTGGGGACCTAATGGGCAAAATGATGAGCTGCAAGCCCAAGACGCCTTGTTCAGTGATATTATCTCGGAAGTGGGACCACGACAGTACCATGGTGTTAATGGCAGCATGTCGGAGGACGACCAGGGACTGCACCGCTACAGTTCGACTGCTTCGACGAATGTGGGATCCGCTGCAGCGGTAGATCGCTATCCTTCTAATGCATCGACAGTGAACAGAAACGATATCCCCAATACTTATCCCAATACTTATAACTACGATGACGACGAGAGCGACCCCGAGGGTGCTGCTGGCCTCTTGGCCATGCAGGAAGACATGGACGACCGGCGCTTTGGCTTTGGTGGAATATCGTTCCCATCTTATATGGAACCTCCGGCAGCGCAGCAGCAGACCCCGCCGTCACACCCGATACAGCCGCCGGGACACCAACGGGAGTTACCACCGCCGCCCGAGGAACAAGGCACGGATAGCGATTTTGGGGGAATGGACCTCGGCTTGTATGGGGGTGGCTATGCTGGAAACCTTCACTACGAGAATGGATTTGGCTCCCCACCCGCAACCTCCACCCAGTTTGATAAAGGGCCCAGGCCATTGCCGTATCCGCAAAACACGGGAAGCGAGTATGCTCCCTTCTCCCAAGCCGCCGTCGACTATGGCGGAACTGGTGGTCTTCAGGCCCCGCAGACTCACCGGTTGAGCTTCGATGAGGAAGACGAACATGTCTCGATCCACTCCAGGCAGAGCGGAAGTGATTCGCCTACCAAGGAAGATTACCCCGACATGTTCTACCATCCAGGGATATCCAACCGGCCTCTTCCAGCTGTCCCTCCTCTTGGCGAAGGCCGTCCAGCCCTGTCGGTACTGCCCCCTAGTAAGGTCGCTTCTCAACAGGGGTACAATATGGATGTGAATCAACGGCTCGTGTATGATCAACAAGGCCAAGCTGCAGTGGAGAGATCGATATCGCTTTCCGGTCACAGCAATACTCCTCCTGTCCAGACACCGGCACGATCCAGAACCGATGCCGCTGAGGAGCGGAGGAGAGCATTAAAACATCATGCCCATCAGCATCATTCTCATATGGGCCATCAAGGCGCGCCTCAAGATGGCTACGACTCGGGAACACCATCGTCGCTTGCTGCCTATGATATGATCACATTGCCTGGCAGGAAGAGGAAGTTCATCCCATCAAAACTTACGGCCACGGAAATTAAGCGTTGTGCCGAGCCGTGGGCGCTTAGCAGTGTCACTGCTTGGATTCGTGAGATGGCAGACGGTGAAGTGGACCTTAAGAGAAAATCCATTGAGGAAGGAATTGTGAAGCTTTTCTGTCACAAGGTTCCTACCATGAACGTTGCTGACGCGGAAGGCTTAAGTACCACAGTCGTGGACTCCATGTTCGTGTCCGGTCTCTTGATTGAAGATGAGGAATGGGTCAGGTTTGGACCCGGCCAGATGACAGGTGTCTTGTGGCAACTGACTGGCCATGGTTGCTACGCGCCCAAGTTGCATGAGGCCGAAGAGTCCGCCCCCAAACTCAATGACAACGGCATTCCAGTAAGGTGCTACTCGCATCACTGCGGTAGAACCCTAAAGAAGGCCAATCTGGATCACCTGCTTTCTGACGATCCAGTGGTTCAAGACTGGGCGACCTTCCATGGACTCAAGGCGTCAGATATGGAGAACAAGAGCAAAAAGGAGATTGAGAGACAAAACGTTCTGCACGAAATTGTCACCAGTGAAGAGGAGTACATGGCCCAGCTCGATGTTGTTCGACTCCTCTACAGAGATCAACTCCGCGTACACCAGCCGCCTGTTCTGCCCAGCAGCAGAAAGGACAAGTTCCTGGAAGCAGTCTTTGGTAAGATTGATACGGTGCAGCAGATCAACAAGGATTATTTGCTTGCTCAGCTCAAGTACCGCCAACAGGAACAAGCACCCTTCATTACTGGGTTCAGTGACTTGTTCAGAGAGTGGATTCGCAAGGCCAGGCCAATCTACATCGAATACTGCTCCTCTTACCCGAACTCCGAGTACCTCATCCGAAGGGAGAGTAATAGGAATAGACTCTTCTCCGAGTTTCTGGCATTCGCGCAAAACCATCCGCGGTCCAAGCGTTTGGGATGGACCACGTTTGTGAAGGCGCCCATTACACGTCTGCAGAGATATTCTTTGCTGCTTAGCACAGTCTTGAAAAACACGATCGAAGATAGCGATGAGAAGCAGAATCTCATCAAGGCCATCAACGAGATCAAGGCCGTCACCAAGGAGTGTGATGAAAGGGTTGCTGAGATGAGCAAGAAGGTGGCGCTGCTTGAGCTGCAACACCAGCTGGTTCTTCGTCCTGGTTTCCAATCAGTCCTCAACCTTGATCACCTTGGAAGAGAACTTCTCAAGCAAGGCGAGCTTCAGCGGCAGGGTTCGAAGGGAGTACGCTGGGTTGAAACGCAGGCCCTGCTGTTTGACCATTACTTCATCTTGGCCAAGGCGGTCTCAACCAAGGACGGAAGGAGTGACAAGAAATATGACGTGTCGAAAGAGGTAAGTTCCAGTGCGACATTCGATGGTGTACACTGCTGACTTTGCGTACAGCCTATACCCATGCCACTCCTCTTCCTTGAGAGCATGAACGATGAACCTGTAACAAAACAAAAGGGTCTCGCAGCACCTTTAACCCGTGCAACGGCTGCCAGTGGATCCGGAACACAGCTCAACAAGGTTGCCTCTAATGGAGGTGACAGGCCCGGCTTGGAACACACGGCAACAAGTTCGTCTATGGGCTCCCTCAACCCCGTTACTCGTCTAACAAGTTCAGGTGTCGATGACGGAAAGATCATCTATCCCTTCAGGATAAAACATCTCGGTCATGAGATTTACACGCTCTACGCCTCCTCTGCTCAGGATCGTGCAGATTGGTGTAATGCGATCGTGGACGCGAAGACAAGACACGCCAAAGCGCTACATGCTCAGAACGCCGAGCCTTTCCGCTTGCGGGTTCTTTCTGACGGTGCTTTTGCGTACGATTCTTATTCGACCTTTGGCAGGCAGCCAGGCGTGCCAATCAAGGAGACACCCTTGGACAGGGCGATCCGAGAAATGGAGAAGGAATACGGTGAAGGCCGCGGTCCTCCACCGGTATGCAGAGCTCAGGTAAACTGTGCTACCGCGTTCAAGTCGTTCGGCAAGTCCATCATCGCCATCGGTACGGATTACGGCGTCTACATCTCGGAGGCGTCCAAACCCCGAGGCTGGTCACGCTCCGTCCAGATCAACAAGGTCACCCAGATCGCCGTCCTCGAGGACTTCTCCGTCTGTCTCCTCATTGCAGACAGATCACTCATATCTTACCCTCTCGACGTGATCGCACCCGTCTCCAATTTTCCGGCCCCAACCCACGACAACTCCCGACGAGCGCCTCAGCGCCTCGCCAAAGACGTCACCTTCTTTGCCACCGCTCGCATGAAGGATCGCACCCTCCTCTTCTACAAACGCAAGGAAGGCATGCACAACACCTTCAAGGTTCTCGAGCCCGTCTTCCAAAAGGCCACAGAGAAGAAGTCCCGCATCTTCGGCAGCCGCAAGGTCTCCTCGGGAGCAACCGAGTCCTTCCGCGACTACGACGAGTTCTACCTCCCTGCCGAGTGCTACTCGCTCAACCTGTTCCAGACGTACATCGCCGTCGCTTCGGCAAAGGGTTTTGAGCTCCTCACGCTCGACAAAAAGGTGACCCAGTCCATCCCGCGCGACCTCAACCTGCCCGCCATCGCCAACATCGCCTCGCGCATCAAAGACCAACGGCCCCTGGGCATGTTCAAGCTCAACGACCAGGAATTCCTCCTCACCTACGAGGACTGCGCCGTCTACGTCGACAAGCACGGCGAGATCTCCCGCACGCTGATCATGGAGTACTCGGGCAAGCAAAAGAAGGCGAAAGCGGCAACCATGTTCGGCCAGTACCTGTTGCTCTTCAACGAAGATTATGTCGAAGTCCGCAATGCCGAGAACGGTCGCCTGCGCCAGATCATTGCCGGGAGGGATGTGAGGTGTTTAGACTATGGGTTTAGAGGCCCCACGGGAAGCGGCCAGCAACATGCGCAGCCGCATACCTTGCTGCAGACGGGCGTATTGCAGGATAGTAAGGGCACGGTCAAGATTTGCATGAGTCATCCGGAGGTTCCCGGGGGACAAATTGTGTTGGAGATGTTGCTTAATGATGGGCATGCGGAGAAGGCTTAGGTGGCTGGAGTGGGGAGTGATGGAGATGAGGAAAAGAGGGTGGACGGGGCAAGGTTGGGTGGGGATGGTGTTGATGATAGTTGTGATGATTCTGGTGCTGGTGCTGGTGCTGATGATGGCGATCGGGATGATGGTCGCATGGTAATAAGTTGAGAATGTTTATTCGGGGACTTACTTACTTGTATGGGGTTTTGGTTCTCTTAGGAGGAGAAGGAAGGTATAAAGAACTGGTAAACGGGTAGTAGTGTCTGCTGATGATGAAAAGATACCAAGATGCTTGATGATGTTGTTGTGGTTTTTTTACCTTTCACCACTTTCACGCGTATTTCTATGTGTTTTTCTTCTTGTCCAGTGTCATTACAAATAGCTGGACAACTGGATTATAGGGTCGTTATGGAATGGCTACGGATGGGTTTATGAGCACGCACATGGCATGAAGCAGCAGCCTGCTTTGATAATACGATTTTTTATTTCCGTTTCAAATAATTTCCCCCCTGAACGCTTAATGAGCACCTATATCTGGTCAATAATGGCAAAGAAACAAGTGGAACACCCCATGATGCTTAGTAGCAGTGAATGAAGGTTAGACACGTATTCCATGGCTATGTTACGGGTGCTCTTCGCTTCCGTATAAGTATAAATTGTTGTCCTTGTGTTCTTGGGTTCTACATGTATCATTTTTTGAACCTCATTGCCCTTTCTTTCTTTTGTTGTTTCCTTTCATCTTCTTTTCGCCTACGCTTAAGGTACAATACTTATTGCCTTCTTTCTTCACTTCTCACTTTTCCTTCTCTTTCAATCTTTCAATTCTCTCTTCACTTAGATTCGTCTTTTACCTTTTCTTCACATCTCTCCCTTTACTTCCGCTGGTCAGAAGAGCGTTCATGTTTGCGTGTCCCTCCGAAGTTGGGGCTGGGAAAGGGGTATTGCTTTTGTAGGTACCTTAGTATAGTGATGAAGTTGACGGGCACTGGGTATTTGTTGTTACATAAGGTTATTTGAGTCGGATAGGCGGTAGATCTCAATTCTTCTGAACCAGAACCACAATCACAATCACAGCAACAGCAGACGAAAGAAAGAAGAAGAAGAAGAAGAAGCATGCATGATTTATGAGAAGAAGAAGAAGAAGAAGAACACGAAAAGGGGAAAGAAAGAAGAAGAAGAAGAAGAAGCATGCATGATTTATGAGAAGAAGAAGAAGAAGAAGAACACGAAAAGGAGAAGAAGAAGAAGAAGAAGAAGACAGATTAAGTGAGTTCGGGGAAAGATGATTGGGTAAAAGTCATCATAGATACATAGGTAGGCTGGTTTCAATCGAAAGACTGACTGACGTGACGTGGCGTGTATAACGGTGCTTGTCATAGTGGTTGATGAAGGACTGGAAGTTTTGTAGATGAATGGATGACTCAAGTTTAGGTGGTACGATGATTGGACTTGACTGGACATTCTACTCGCTAGGTACGTTCAACATCATCGATGACCCAGGAATTGCGGCTAAGTCACCCAAGTGACGGACTGTGCTATTATGAGCAATTACATATTACATGGGACTGAGAACTGAGTCAAGAGCAGGTGGCTAGAAGTAAGTCATGGTATTGTGAGCAAGCTGATGATGGCCTACATACCAGTATAAAATGGGTTCCCAACCTGGAACTTCCTAGAGGTAGGAATGACTTGTGAAACTGGAATATATCGGATCGAATGTCAGCTGAGATCCAGTAGGTAAGCAATGGACATTTTGGTGCCCCTTTCTCCTCGGAACAGTCTGCCTCACGCAAAGAGAAGGTGTAAAGTGTAAGGTGTAGTAGAGCAGAATGGAGCTTGTTTATGCATAAATTACATTTCTAATGTCCAAGCTTAATCATTTTTCTGACCAGTAAACTCCCTTACGTTAAAACCTGACCAGACAACAGGATATCAACAAGTATGAGAGAGACTTCCTAGTCTTTTGATATGTTGAAGTTATGACTATGATTATGCATTTCGAGAAAATACCTCTCTGGTGCTACGCTGTACTGGGAAGGAAGATGTCTTTTCTCAGCTGCTGATTGACGCAGTGGTTTTTCCAAATAGTTATTTCTACCTTACCGGGGTAACTCACCTACCCGGAGCTCTTAAATCTGCTCTTGTCCTTTTAGGGGGGTTGTCGATACATCACGATGCCCGGAATGAGAACTGAACATTTTCTGGTCACATTCAGGCCTGAAGAATGGGGTTAACGACGAATTTCATTGTGCCAAACTCAAGAGGGTAAGGTGCCTTCAAACTGTAGACTGTCGACATCCAGTCCCTTCTCCTTGTCATGTTCGGCCGCACTTCTCGAAATGGGGCAAGTGTCCGATCAACATTCAACCCTCAGCGATAGATACGTGATTGGGACGGTATCCGGAGACGGAAATTCGTCTTTCGATCGGATTCAGAAACTCGAAACCCATCTTCCTACGATCATCCCATTCACTCGGCCCCTTCTTTACACGCTGTGGCAAACGGCTGGTGATGGCTCACGGGTCAAGTTCTCGTTTCACAAATTATATAGACCCTGATCCTCGAAATTCCCAGTCCTCCTAATTCCTTTCTTCCTTCACCCAATTCCAGAGGTACACGTTCCTACATTTGTCCAGTCCACCGACTCGAACCACAAGCGTCTAACCAACCAACAAGAACCAAATTACCCCGAGAGACAGCCAAGGCAGAAACAAAGCGCTCGAAGCCAAACTACCTACGTAGCCGACTGCCAATACCATTTTCGCCAACTCACCAACAACCATCACACTCACTCAGAATGTGTCTCGAAAAGCGCAAGCTCTACACCGTCTGCGGCCACGTCTCGTCCGGCGTCCGACTTTGCGAGCAGCAGCGTCAACTAGAAGATGCCTTTGAAGCCCCCTCGCCTTCTAATATCAACGGCAGCGGCAGCGGCGTCCCCACCACCTCCAAAATATTTTTCTGCCCACGCCTCAGCAGCCTCATTAATCCATCAACTCCACAAACTCACCACCGGCCTCCTCCTTTCTGTCGCTTACCCTACCCGTACTTCACCGAAACACGCTTCGGTTTCTGCGGCCGCTGCCAGGCTTACTACCGCAGTACCTCCTCCAGCTTTGCCTTCCCTCCTCACTCCGCCTCATCTGCCGACACCGAAATCGGAACTGAAACTGCAACCGAAACCGGAATTTGTGATGACCAGGTCATTCTCAAGTACTAGCAGTACAAGAACGTCCGTGGTTGGAACGAGCCGGTGGATGCGGAGTGCGTGCCTGGTAAAGTCATCTTTGACAAGGAGACTGAGTATAAGGAGGATCCGAAGGTGCAGAGGGGGGAGATAATTATGCTGGAAAGGCTGGTGCCGTTCTGTGGGGAGGATGTGGGTGGCAGGATTATGAAGTTGGAGGATATTAGGTGGAAGACGATTATGTGGGGGGAGGAGGGAAGGAAGAAGATGGAGTGGAAGGGGGAGCTGGAGGTGAGGGAGAAGGTGTGGGAAGGAAGGGGAGAAGGGGGGAGCGGACTGAGATTAAGGAGCAGGGTGAGAAGGAGCAGGAGGAGCAGGAGGACGAAGAGAAGGAAAAGGAGGACGAGGAGAAGGAGAGGCAGGAATATTCTGGGCCTAAAAGCAGAGAGCCAGAGACAAGTTCTCCCCACAGCACTGCCGCTACCGCCACGGACTCAGACGTGGCCGACGAGCTCGTTAAGAGGGCGTTGACCTCGTCGTACCATAATGTTCTGGCAAGACTTGCTATGAATGCTTCCGACCATCAGTCCTACCTTTCTTCTATCCACAGCCAGGAGACCCATTTCAGCCAAATCACTCATGAAGAGTACGACGGCGACGAACGCAAACGTCTCATTAACAACACCACTAAAGCAGCCGACCTGCAGCCTGAGTTTTCCGCCTCCGAAGTTGAAGACATATACAAATATGACTACCAACAATTTTCAGAAATCACTGAAGAACGAACATCGCAGTACACCAAGTCCCAGCCGTTCAAGGAGCTAGCATCGCAGCCATCTTCTGACTCCTTTCCTGGAATCGTTACTAGCCTGTCTCCAATTCCGAGAAAAAAGACCGCATTTCCTCCCAGGAAACAATCAAGCTCGAACCATAACAGTACTCACTCAGTACGCTTGACGAAAAGCAATCTAGCCCGCTTCATTGAGGGGACTGATTCAGGAGGAGGAAAAGACGAGACACTGAGTACATCAACCGTTCGCGTAACAATCCAACCTCCGCATAGTCCCACTGCGTTCTCCGTGGCTGCTGCTGTCAGCACCAGAACAACAACCAACAATTTCGTCAATTCTTCCCTCCCGGGCCAACCGAAATCGAAAAACGCCGATTCACAAACCACGTCTCCTGTTTCCACAGCCCAGTTCCGACCTTCTCCCAGCCTTTCTCACCACCTCCTTTCTCCCAGTCGTGCTCCATGTCCCGCAAACGCCACAGTGGGCGGCGGTGGCTCAATCCAATCTTGGGAGGACTTCACCATTTCCACTCCCTCCCAGTCCATACACTCATCCTGGAGAGAAGGCAGACAATCTCAAGTAACAGAAACCGGCAGAAATGGCAGCGGCAGCAGCGTTGCACTCGGTCTTGGCCAACTCATACTCGCCACCAACAGTCCCAACCTGAGCCCGAATACCTCTGGGCGAAACACACCTCGCTTGAGACGTACTCCCCGCATCCAAGGCACGCCTCGGCTTCAAGCGCTGCATGAGGATATTTACCTGAACCCGGAGCAAGAGCACGTAGACGATGATAGCGGGTCTGGTTTGGGAGCACCGGTTTTTGGGGAGTTGGCTGCGGGGATTGTGGAGAAGGAGAACGACAAAACGGAGGGGAAGGGGAAGGACATACACTAGAATAGGGAGAAAAGGAGAGGTAAAAGGTTGGAGGGAGAAGAGTTACCGTGGTTACGGAAGGAGGAGGTGGTGGTGATGGAAAGATGTAGTTTGGTAGGGAAGGCACCACCGATAGGCAAGAGGAGGCGAGGGGATGGAAGGAGCGACACCTTGGGAAAGAGAAGAAAAAAGAGGAAGGAGCGAACTGCCCCTGGCTGGTAAGTTGAGGGGCAAACAAAAGCAATTCTTTTCTCGATGTAGATAGGTAGATTCATGTCATCGCCCAGTCGGTTTTCTGAGATATATGCATCTTTCAGGAGGCCAAACGAAACTTAGCTAGGTCCAGACATGAGAGGGACTTTGTCGTGGTTGTTTCTGATAATTTGAAACAGTGAGGCGTCGTGATAAGAGTTCTGGAAGCTCGGAAAGGTAAAGACCCTGTTGACTCACCTTGCCGGCATAAAATAAAAGGTTCTGCTTTGTAGGTATACCATAGCAATTGGTTGCTTACATGTAGCCAACCAGAAATATCACCATCAAGGGCACTTGTCCGATTGGACCACCACCGCATACATACTTACTCCTTGCATAGTCAATCCGTGAGTGACTTGACCGCACGAGTTCCAGAAGACGGAGGTTGTTGAAACTATTAATTAGCTCGTTGAGTGAACTGCTTGCTTCTCGAGAGCTATATCTTTTTTTCTCTTTTTTTTTTTTTTTTTTCCAATCGGTTTGTAGATGGCCACTTGTTGGTGAGGTATGCAACCGTTAGAACCTCACCGGCCTCAGATAGAAAACCCGGCTTATTCTTGGCTAGTAACTTGGCCTCGCTGATTGGTATATGAACATGTAGTGAGAAGAAAGGAAAGCGAGTAAAATTGCTGGCCAGAATTTATGGGAAAAGTATGAAAATCTAGAGTAGAGGTGTCAGCAAAGCTTGCCGTGAATATGCATGTTTGGTGGCCCCGGACTCGAGTGATGGGAGACGATGATGTGCATATCCTTTGTTTTTGTTTGCCCTTAACCCCTTTTCCACTGCAAACTCGGATTCCATTGTTGACCTGTGTATGCTCCACGACTGATACAATCTCGAATATTCATCAGGTGTACTCAAAGATATCCACAGAGAGAAAGGCTTTGGTACTCGACCGACTTGGTATCAAGTATCTCCAATCACTTTCGGAACTATCTCCGCCTGGGGAAAGCGGCATGACGAGGGCCAATTCTTCAAAAAGAAACAAAGAAACAAACTTGGAAAATGACACAGTGTCTACCCTCTTTGCTCTTTCTTTTTGATCCATAGGACCCCCTATCAAGTGCAGTCCCTCCACCTTACCTTACCTACTTTTCTTGATGTCTTCCGTTTCTGGCAGACATGTACCGTGAATGCAGAAAGCACATGTGAAAATCAAGGAAATGTACGCTGGTACGCAGACAACTGACACACACAACCCAGCTATCGCCTGCAAAGTGTCGTCGTGCAAACGGGGTATCCGACATCTGCTTCTCCACTTGATCGATGTCAGAGCCGAAAAGGACGTTTCCAGTTCCCACTCTATACGGGCTTTTTTTCTCGGCCCTCGGGGTAACGGAGGCGTGTATGTAAGGCTCATTACTCGCGAACGAGCAAAAGCCTTATTCTGCCACTCTGCCACTCTGCCATCGGACTTTACTCCGCCGCTACTCGCCATCACTCTGCCGCTGCCACTCCGCTAACGCCGCCGCCGCACACCCGACACCGACACCCGAAACCAACATCTATCCTCAAGCCCGACTCAAGCTCAAGAAAACTGATGGGGTCCGAAGGATCTGCAGCGCATGGATAGGAAAGGAGCAGTAGCAGTCTGTCAGCGACTTATGAGATGGTGTAGAGGAGGATGAGGGTCTTTTTAGTTGGATGTACAACTGTACATGCTGTGCCCGCTCGTGCGAAAGACGATGAAAGCGACGCGAAGGTTGAATCCTAACAACCAACTAGTTGCAAGAGGTTCAGGTGCCACTTGATGCCTTGAACATGCAGACTCTGAGTTGCTCAACAAACTTAAGAGGCGGAGTGAAGTTTGCCGCTAGGAATCCAGTTACTTGCAGGTTTGCTAGGAAGTTCCCACGCCGCACTTTCTCTGCAAAATCTGTTGGACAGATACACAATAGAAGAGGTAAGGCTGTTTTGTGAAGTGCGTGATGAGATGGTGTTTGTGATAGAACCGCTTGGCGGAAAAGGTATATCCGGAAAAAAGGGTACAGACGCCGCTTTTTTGAATGACCAGAAGATAACTCACAGTGTCCTAGGTGGAATATTTCATGATGGTTTTTCATACTGCCGCCCAGTTTTTCGGGTTGTTCAGATACAAGCGGAATCGTGAAGCCGGACAGAAGGCACTGCCCTCAACTCTGTCGATGTCGACCTGATTCGATGTCAAGAATTTTCACGCTCGACATGACAGCCGATACACGGGAATCCGCCCGGTCCCGCGATGAGGCGACGGTCCAGATTCTCATGAGGCACTCTGTAGGGGAAGATGTCAATGATAATAATAGAAAACACTGGTTTGGGTGGGGAATATCTGAAACAAGGGGCCCTTCGAACGACTCGTTGGGAGATCTGCTGTTCATGCCCATATCATGGAGTTGACTCGTAACTCTGGGCGGTTTTAGAAAAGTTGGATTGCCTATTTGCTCATGTGAGGGCAGTCTCGAGATGGCGGGGAAGAACGACTTCCGGTATCAGAGCTTTAGAAGGGTTGTGACGAACGGCTGGAAGAGAGTCGATTCAGTAAGAAAAACGAGATGGGTGTGAAGGTAGTGAAGTGTCTTGGACGCGAATTTTGCACCAAGTGTCCCAGAACGGCTGAAAACTCATCAAGTCGAGTTTCGTCTAGTTGTCAGTAAGTGTGGGCAGATGATTCCAAATCTGGTGATGTCGTCCGAGGGTCAAGAAAAAACAATAACAAAAACAAAGGCTTGATAGTTACCGACAGGACGGAAAAGAAAGCTGTAGGAAGCTAACTACCACGAGACTCCCTAGCAGACCGAAAGCTTATCTTTGCAAACATGCACGGATATGATAAGTGAAGCCATAGAATGTTCTGAAACAGCCCAAAAGCTCAGCCACCCTCTGCCGAAGAGAAGGTTGATTTTGGGGGTCTGGGAGTCGACCGTTTCGAGGATGGAGGGGTGATGAGTTGCATGGAGGCTCGCCGTCAACAAGCCCTTTTCTCGTATCCAGAGAAACTAAACAGCATCCAGAATGTCGGGTGCCGTGCTTGAAAGAATTAAGGACCCGGAAAGGTTGCCGTTGTTTCTGAATTGGAGGTGAGCCTCAAGAGGATTGCCAGAATGCTAACGGGTGGGGAGTGTCAGATCTGAAAATCAACAAGTGGAGTGAAGCCCAGGGCGTCATGCAAGAGGCAATGGTGCGTACCTGTCGATCAGTGCTTCAGACCCGCTCTCGCCGCTGAAGGGTCGCTGATGATGGATCTTGGGCCTAAAGCTAGTAGAGTGATCAGCAAGTTGCCCCCACGGCTATACACTAAGTGTTAGTGCCGTGAGTGTCCCATGTTGATATCAACCTCGTCGCAGGTTTGGACTGTGAATAGCGTCATGTTTAGGCAGACAACTTGGAATGCCCGAAAGATGGACACGCAAGTTAATCAATCCCATGGTGAGTTATGGAAGCAGTTGATGTCTTTGCCTTTAGCCGTGTGCTAAAAATGGCAAAGTAGGTACATATCGACAGGTCGTCCTTAATGATGACAATTGATTAAACCAGCTGCTGAAGTGTGGAGCAGCCTCATCAACAACCAATGTCGTCGGCGTCGCTTCGGCGCTGCAGGTGAGACGATGAGGCGTTGACAGAAAGAATGCTCTCCGAATTTGGAGAGACAGAAGGGTGATGGAAAAGAGGGCGACTCGCCGTCGAGACAGGTTTCGGGAAATTGCAGTCCTTCCGTCGTGGTCACACGGCATCGGAACCCAGTGACTGTCGCCGTCCGATCCGGAAGCGCACAGCATGGGGAGCTCAGCAGGTCAAGGAGTACAGAGCCGCCCATTAGTCTTTTTAGCAAACCCAGGAAGAGTAGACGCGGCTGGTTGTTAGTGTCCTAGCTTGGCTGCATATTGGAATGGCTGTTCGCTTGGACGTCATCCGTGCGCTGTGCAATGTTACGCTCCAATATTGGCGGTGGGTTCAAGCCGACTTCTTTGTTGAACAACAACCATCAAAACATCCACTTTCTCACTCAGCTCGTTCTCATTTCCACTTTTCAAGAAAGGCCGGCGCGGAATATGACTTCATCGACGAAAAAAAAACGAGAGGCTGTCGAAATCCAGAATCGAAGCGCCCGAGATGACGCTGTCTGAAGCCGCCGAATAGCGTGGGCGCTTGACCTTGGCGCTTGACCATTGGCTGCAGAGTAACATTTCTCCTGGGCGCCATTCCTGCCAGTCAAGGGGGCCGATGGAAAGCTCTTACTAGAAGTTAGTTCACGTTTCAGCACCACCAAGCCACAATCGCGTTCTATTCGGTCGGTTGCAATCCAGCATCTCGTCCCCTATGCAAGAAAATACTTTCCGGACAGGATACAAGTTCGCCAACCAGAGCTGGACCGGGGAGGAGATTGTTGACCGGTCACTCGGACCATCTGGAATGACGAGGTCGCTCTCAGCATGGTAGTGTTGATATTGACAAGACTATCAGAACCCAAGAAGTTCAAAGCGGCCACTACAGAGAGCACTGGCAGGGTCAGATGCTGGATTAGGGAACATCAACCGTTGCCGGTGATGAATTCGCCAAAAGAGCTTGGGTCCAAGGCGGGGTTGCTGTCACCACGAGTAGCCGAAGTCAACCGGGGATGGAGAGTGCTGCCGAGATGGGAATAGTCGCGAGATGAACCGCTGTCCTAGTCCATCGCTTTCGCTTGCTTTTCGCTCGGAACATCCGAATCCTGGGGAGATAAGCATGGGGTCTCCTCACCCTTGTCTCTTCTGGACCGAAAACAGTCCGTGAACTGGAAATCATCCTGATCGGGAGGCAGTCGGGGAGGACATCATCCATTGGATGTGGTGGCATTGTGGCCCCCTCCACCCTTCATCCTGTCTGTACCTGCAGTAGCGTATGCGGCGTGGCTGAGCAGTGTTTTCGTTTCAAGATCCAAGCATCTTCGCTCCAGGTGCACCATCTTGGAGAAAACTCAAGCTGTTGGCTATCGTGATGGCGTGGTGCTTTTGGTGATGGCCTACATGCTGGAACGCTGGGACACAGACGTTAATATCCAATCTGACCAAGAAGATGTTAAAAACGGCCAAGGGTGAGATTGGCCCATGCCGGTCTCTGGCGCAGAGGGGAGACAAGCCAAGAGGCACCTGAGATGAGAATGATATCAGAATCATCTACAGCAAGAGCGGTCTGATACTCAACCCGTGAGACACTACAGGAAATATCTGTCAAGGTCACAGATGGCAAGTACCGACCTTGTTCTGGTCCAGGTCGCCATCTTGAAGTTGTCTCTTCCTTCCGGTTTCCTTTGCCAATGGGGCATTTTGGACAAAACAGACAAAAACAGACAAAAACAGACATGGAAAAGAGCAGCGCGCCAACAAGCGATTGGGCATGTGGAGGGCGACTGCAACCGTGCAAACCCCTAGCCTAAACCAAAATAGGACTTACCAGGGGAGGTCTGACAGATGGAGAACCCCTGTTGGTACCCACCAGAGTCAAAATCGGACTGAGGAAGGGACCATCTGACCAACCAGAACAGTCTTTTTTCTTAACAAGAGACCCCACCGGACAATGCTTCGACAATGGACGCCGGAGCCGCGCGACAGCATACAAACCCTTGCAAGCCACTGCAAACCCTGGCAAACCCTCAACATCGCAACAACGTCTTCCGAACCACTCGTCGACTCTCTTCGCTTTTGGCAATCTGAACTGACCTCACAACCGCTCAACACTCAACCATTCGACTGCCGACGTCCGCCATGGCGCCGCAAGTCGTACCGCCCGCAGCAGGCAAAGTGTTGCCCTCTTTGTTTGGTATTCTACAAACCATACCCTTGTGGCAGCCACCTGTGACTGGTGGTTCTCGTGGCCCCCTCGCAGAGTATGAGCATGGGATGTCAATATGACTTCTCGAAATGGTTACACTCTCCTTGGTGGAGAGGCCGAGAAGTAACGGCAAAGTCTAGCCCACCATTGACCTTCATTGGCCCTGGCCACTCTGCTTGGCGATGACCTACCAATGCTCCCGCATCAACTCCTCCAAGTGTTTCGAGTTGCTATATGAGAGCAAGGCTTCCCTCTCTTCGTCAGACCACTTCTCTTGGTTGTATTCCACAAGACCTTCTTCTTCCTCATCTTGTTTCTTTCCTCTTTGCCTCTCTTGGTATCACTCTTCCGTCCTTCTCAGGAGTCAAAGTCAATCGCTTCTTTGCTCCGTCCCATCTCTTCTTTTTTGGTGCTAGTATTTGTGTTTGCCTTGACAGGTTATACCACCACCATTCGTTGGTTGAATCAACCACCACACTGCCTCGACCAAGAGGTTAACAACAAGAACTCCAACTCCACACAGGACAACCGTTCCGCCTTTTCGAATCACACATATCTCTTTTTTTCTTCGCATTTTATAAGTCATCATCATGAAGTACTCTACTGGCCTCTTGGCCTTCGCTGCTAGTGCGGCCGCCACTGTAAGTCTATATATCCAACCATGCCCCAAACAGCCCATGACTAACACAGACTGCCTCACAGTTCCCCTTTCACAACGCCCCGGCATTCACTTGCCCTCAGAACACCGACAACAAGTGTACCGACAAGCAAAAGACCGGCTTCGCCTTCGATGATCTCTCCACTGGTCCCTTCTCTCAGTACAAGGACTTCAACTTCAACGGCTGGACCTCGGGTGCTGGCTTCGGTGGTCGCTTTGGAAAGCGTACTGGCAGGGGTATCAGCGGTGTCTGCGGCTCTGACAAGGGCAAGGCCCCTTCCTTCGGTGCTGGTGACAAGTTCTCCTTGGGCTCTATCCACGTTACTCCCGAGTTTGACTGCGATCTCGAGTTCCACTATGATATGCCCGATGGATCTACTTGCAAGCACCGTAACAAGTGCAACAAGGGTGGTACCAACGTTGTGAACAAGCAGTGCGGTGGTGCTACCAACGTCACCATCATCTACCCTCCTCAGCCCGAGAAGCCCAAGCCCAGCTGCAGTGTCATCATCAGCACCATCTCCTTCGACTGCAGTACCAAGCAGAGCACTGTCCCTCCGAAGACCAAGACCAAGACTACCGAGGGTATCTCTACCACCTCTTCCGCCGCCACCTCTAGCATTCCTAGCGTTCCTGCTGAGGCTACCACCACCTCTGCTGCTCCCGTCGCTTCTTCCAGTGCTCCTGCTGAGAGCGTCCCTGGAAGCCAGACCAGCAGCGCTCCCGCCGAGATCACCAGCGCCCCTGCTGAGAGTGTCCCTGTTGAGTCTAACCCTGTCGAGTCCAGCGCCAGCTCTGCTCCTGTTGAGAGCGCCCCGGTGGAGAGTGCTCCCGTTGAGAGTGCTCCCGTTGAGAGTGCTCCCGTTGAGAGTGCTCCCGTTGAGAGTGCTCCCGTTGAGAGCGCTCCTGCCGAGAGTGTTCCTGTCCTGACCACCAGCGCTCCCATCAGCGAGGTTGTGTCTGCTCCTCCCGTCACCAGCACCATCGTCACCAGCTTCGACAGCACCTCGACCATCTTCGTCACCGAGGTCCAGACCATCACCAGCTGCGCTCCTACTGTCACCAACTGCCCTGCCGGCCACGTTACCACTACTGTGGTCACCATTGCTACCTCTACCACTATCTGCCCCGTCACCGAGACTCTCACTACTGTTATCTCGGCCACCTCTTCTGCTGCCCCCGTTGCCAGCTCTGAGGGTCCCAGTGAGATTGTTATCTCCACCTCCATCGGTGATATCATCTCTGCTCCCGCCGGCTCCTCCTCTTCTGCCGCTGCCGTCGAGTCCTCTGCTGTCGCTTCTTCCGCTGTCGTCTCTTCTGCCATTGGAAGCAGCACCGGTGTCGTTGTTCCTACCTCCGCTGGCAGCGTCGTTAGCTCTTCTGCCGCCGCTGTTGACACCACCTCCAGCGCTGCTCCCGTCTCCACCGCCCCGGTTGAGCCTCTTCCTTGCCCTGGTGTCGTTCCCTCGTGCCTGAACACCTTCCTGTTCGAGACTGGCTGCACTGACAACTCCGACGCCGCGTGCTACTGCCCCAACGCCCTCTTCGTCAAGAACGTCTACGAGTGCATCTATGCCCACGGCGAGTCTGAGTCCGTCATTTCTGAGGCCATCACCTTCTTCCAGGGTATCTGCGCTCCCTATGTCAACACCAACCCCGGCATTGCTACTGGCGTTCCCACCTACGTCACCAGCACTGCTGCCCCTACTGTTGTTCCTGTCTACACCACCATCACTGTTGATATCACCACCATTGTTCCCTGCACCGATGAGGCCGGTTCGACTATTCCCAGCTCCAGCACCACCGTCATCGTCGACACCACCATGACCGTGCCCCAGATTCACTTCACCAGCACCACTGATGATGTTGCCATCGTCCCTGCTCCCACTGGCGTGCCTCTCGTCACTGAGACCGAGGTCCCCATCGTTTCTGCTACCGCCACCAAGACCGGTTCCGTCGGCGGCAGTACCAGCGCCGCTGCTCCCGTCAACAGCGCTCCTGCTGTCACCAGCGCCCCCGCCGTCCCCATCGGCACTGGCGTCGGAACCGGTGGCCTTGTCCGCCCTTCTTCGTCGGTCATCAGCCCTCCCATTGTCACTGCCGGTAGCGGTCGTGTCAACGCTGGTCTCGGCCTTGCCGTTGCCGCCGTTCTTGGTGCTCTTGCTCTCTGAGCTCTCAATGGCTTAGATTTGGGCTGCAAAGCAGCGTGTACAATATCGACATGTAAAAGGAAAAGGAAGGACAAGCAAAAAAAAACCAAAAAAAAAAAACCATTGGTACCATTCTTACGATCCATTCGAAGAAGAGCATCAATCACATGCATGCATTTTGCCATCGGGGTGTTTTGGGCGAGCGCTGTGGATTTACAACCATTGGCCTCCTTGGGTAATTTGAAAGCCGGGTTTCATTTCTTGTCTTGTTTGGAAGAGAAAAAAGGATTTTTGTTTTGGTGGTGATGATGATAGAAAGTATCGTACATAAGCATACCCCTGGTGGATATAACCTGTCATTCCACCCGGCATCACCCATTGTAGGTTAATAGTTAATTTGAGTTTTATGGCTAGGCCATTTTGAATTGTTACTCTTTAGTTCCTCGCGTACAACTTGTGATTCTGTGTTCATCTAGAGATCCTCGTCCGTCTACAGATCTTTGTCAATCCTTTCTGCACATCTCTTAATGAAACTTCACTGCATATACCAGAACCTGTATATTCTGCCCCCCATGAGGTAAATCCCAACCCACGATCAATTACTTTTCTCCCATCACGATCATCATCATACCTCGTCATGGTCGACCATGATCATCAACCACCAAAACAGAATTTGTTTCTGTTGTTGTTTTATGTTTCCCAGCCAGCCCATCATCTCCCACGCCCATCTATCTTCCCGGCTCCACTTCTTTCAAACACACTTTCAGTTTTTAGCCGACTCCATTGCCGTCACCGGATCACGAAATCCCTTAGGTATCCCACCTCCCATAATCCCACATCACCTCCCGTAGTTAGTGTATGCCAACAACAAAAACAACGAACAAAAACAAGCACCGATCGGCCGACGGCTTGTTGTCGGTTTTACGTAACTCTAGTAACCCACCCCCGTCAACCAACATCCAGCCAGCTTCTTCCCACAACATACCCTTTTCAGACAGCCTTAGGGTAAGACCTACCCCATCCCCAACCCCACAGGTGTTACTTTACTACTGGCTTTCTCGCTCAGGGATCGTGATCGTCATCGTGATCATGGTGGGTTGGGTTGGTTCTTGGAAAGGAATGTGGAAAGGATTGCTGGTCTGTGTGTTGTGTGTGTGTTGTGTGCGTGTCTGTGTGTGTTGTGTGTGTAAGTGAATTCCCACATGAGACCCCGATGATGATTCAAGACACTGGCGAGTAAGTGTCTCCCGTAACGTCTCTCCGTCCATCCGGAGATGCTTGGCGGGCAGTGCCAGCTGTGTGAATAGCTGCTCTCAGCTTGGGGTACCTACTGTAGTTACTTTGTTGTTGTTAAGTGATGCCGCGATAACCGTGGCAGAAGGAACCGCGTGCTGTGGGTTTGACTGGTCTTTCCTGGCCTTTCCTGGTCAAAAAAAGGAGCGACGTGACATGTGTCGGCGATGCCGATGGCTGGATCCGTTTTTGAAGTAAAGTTGCGTTCAGTTTGTTGGAGCTGGAGCTGGAGCTGGAGTAGGCCTGTCGGGCTCCAGCGTCGGGTCGCGATGCGCGGTGCGCGGTGATGAACGCAGTGGGTTTCCATTTTCGGACAGTAAGGTATTCTAGGTACTGTACTTGTGAGTTGTGGCTACAAAGCTTTGTTGAATGTTTGTTGTTTAGTGTTGTGCTTGTTTGTTGGTGATGATGTGTACCTACCTACCTTGGTGGTTTAAATCTCTTACTTAATGATGTTGAGATGTGAATGGCAGACGGCGAGAAGAGGAGATGCAGAGAGAGAAGCTCAGTGGAGTGTATTAGAGGCAGTGACGTCACTGGGGATTTTGTTATCTTTTTTTCTCAGTCGGTCATGATCACGGGTTGTTCTTGCGCTTTCTTCGTTCTTCGGGTAGATATCATCACGAAATGATTTCGGGAAATCTTGGACATCGCAAGCCTTTTGACTGCAGAATAACAAGCCAGAGTGTTCATTGGGATCAGAGCTCATAAATTCACTGAGAAAACGAATGCTTGCAGGCTGGTGAATATGGGCTTTGGTCGCGACTCGTGTCATTCCACTCGCGCGAACAGAACGAAGTGCTCCCAGACCAGAGTGTATAATTCACCAGCTGATAGAAACGAGGCTGAAAGGTTGAGGAGTCGTTAGAATAGTGTACACTATCGCAGGATCCTCAGATCGACAATCGCGATGTTGTACATGATTCGTTTTTGCCACCGTGGAGCTCGTACAATAAATCAAGAAACGCGCCGCAAGAAATGCCTCTTTCTCTGTAGCCTCAACCGCATTTCAGACACCACGTGGGTAGTTGATCGAGATCGCGTAGGTTTTGAGCAGTAAATAATCAAGATAACGCACGGGAAGATCGGACTTTTTGTAACTGGCTCAACTTCACACAATGTTGAGTTGAAGATTAGCCGTCCAGTTTGGTTGAAGGTTGGGGTGCGAGATCCTTTCCGGTTCGAGTGCCGAAAGTGAGGATGTACAGGTTCATATGTGAGGTATAGGCATCCCCTAATCGCGATAGTATATTATAAACTCAAGTGGCAGACCATTGAATTCTTGGCTTAATGTCTGGGTAAGGGGTATTGAGTCAAGTCTTCATTCGGCGAATGGTAGTGTATGTGTTGATCCTCATCGTGTCCAAGTAGAATGATAACGGTGCACCGAGACCGTAACATGCGGACAATGGTCCCTGTGGAAGATCCGGCTGATGCTGAACTGCGAACTAAAGTGTTCTGGAACCAGGGTCAACATACGACGATGGCAAACAGCATGAATGATCTTCGTAGACCGATACATCGAAGGTTGGTGAGTGCTTGCAATTGGAAGCTCTGATACATGGAGAAGTTGGCTCGCACGCCATGACCGGTGAACCGTTGACAGTGATCCGAAGCTTCCGGGCCATCCGGGGTCTGGGGACGGTTCATGCGGTGGTCGTGTGCGTGTGAGATATCGAAGATCGGTAAACCAACATCTTGACTAGATCTATCCGGAGATCAAGCCAGTGCTGGATGTCACATGGCGGGATTGAAATCGGGTAGGAGGCTGTCGATACATGCCTCATCGATGATAGGCCGCTGCAATGTTCCTATAGTTCACCGTATGCCAAGCAAACAAGGCCCGTCCCGGCACCCCGGATCTGGGGATGCCGGGGGGTAGGAGCGGGAAAGGAGACGGGGGCCACTGTACCGGACACCCCACAGTACGGATTAGAAGCGAGAAGGAAGTCAAAAACTAAGACATGTGGTGAGTTTGGCTTGGCAGACGGGAGCTTGATAGCTGAAGCTTGCTTCATGTAAGAAATTCTCCGAGACTGTGTGACAGGTGCTTCCGGAGGAAGATCTAACGGTTAAGAAATGATGGGTATAGCACGACATCTCATTGGTTTGTTCACTGGTTTACTCGAGGGTAAGCTTCATGGATGAGTATCCCGTCTCTGGCTCCGGCTTCACCGACCTCCAAACGTAGGATGTTGTAGATCAAGCCGATCATCTTCCACCAGGGTTCCCTCCAGACACTGTAGACGTAGCCAACAGGAGGGCCTCGTAGGGCTCTTCGGAGAATTTGTAGATGAATGTCAAAGGATGAGGCTCAGACCGCTTGAGACAGCTGGACAATGATAGATGGAGGTCGGTCCACGTCGTAGTCCACTTGATGTGAGGCGGTGAAACTCGAGGCCGATAACGGTGAAAGAAAGGAAGGAAGGAAACTTCAGTTCTCCTGATTCAGTGAGGAGCTCGCTTTTCGGGTAACTGATAAGCCCTGGCTCCATTCACACAATGGAACGGCCAATGACCTGAGGTATGAACAATCGAATACATGCTAGGTATCCTTGTTGTTTCCAGAGTCCCATAAGGCAGGCGCGACCATCAACGGGGCTGTTGGCGGTGTAAAGATAGTGAGAGCTGAGGACTCGAGATCGTGACGATGTTTTTATTTTTTTCGGCAGACTTTTTCTCCGCACAGCTTGTACAGCGAGGTTGCCGCTTCCCAATCTGGTCACCCATTGCTGATGAGGAGTCCGAGAAGCTGAGAAGGGAAGGCGTGATCAGACACACTGTGTACCAGCCCTGTGCACTTGGCAGCTTCCCCGGTTGCAGCCGCAAAGGTGCCTGCAAAACAAGCTTTTGGCAGGATCCACCACGAAATGACCCCCTGTTTTCCGGGTGGGCCAGCACAGGGCAGGCAGCAGAGAAGTTGGGCCCCCAGGCAGGCAACAACGCGCAAAACTCGAAACGCCTAAACTTCAGGGTTCGAGCAAGATCAATGACAAAAGATGGAAGCTACGAGCAACCAATCTTGTCGTCTCTTTGAAACGAGTCACTTCTTGTCGCTTTTTCCACCCTGCAATCGAATTTGCCTGGCTCTGCCTCTTTCCACCCACTTCTCCCCTCCTCGCGTCCTCGACCTCATTCTCACACAACATGATGCATGTGGTGATCCAAATCACTGTGGTGGCTTCCGCTCCCTTTCAGTGCCCGCTCTCCATTTCCCCGAAACATCCCCTTTCTGAGGCAGACGCGACATGACACGACACTTATCGTCCACAATGCCTTATCGTCGAGCTATTGTTGGCAACGCCGTCCACATCGTCGCCACCGCGAACAAACCTCGACAGCACTACCCCTGGCCGTTTGAGATCGATCATCGAGACCCCTGAGATCCCCTGAGGTCCCCTGACCATCGCCCAGTCACAGCTTTTGGGCGGTCGGAATGAATCAGTCAGTACCCAGAGGGTTGATGTGCTCCAGGGCTCCAAAAGTGGCAGCGTGTCGCATGTCCCACAACCTACCGCAATCAGCAATCCACAGTCATGACAAACGCGCCAAGCTGGCTTCGCGATCTGATGTCTGTCAAAGCGCGAGCTCCTACACATATCAAGACACGGGATGACGTCAAGTACACCCAGTAACAGCTTCACGCTACAAGTTAATGCTTGGCGCAAGAACCAGCACCGTCAACAACAACATCTTCCACGCAAAAAGACAATCTGAAGAGAATCACATGGTGGTGATGAATGGCTATCTCAGACGCCCGTGCTAGTATCCAGAGATTGTCGCTTCAACGCTGAGCCTTCCAATTCAGCTTCCCACAAGCACCCATACGACGAGTTACGAGACAATGTGCCACGGGCAACCTCCACCGATACTTCGATCGACTCCACCAGCCATGCGATGAGGCTTTTCAGATTTTCAGCCCTGGCAACACATCCCGCCGTCGTGGCCCACACTGTTCAGACATGCTCGGCGGAACTCGCCCTTCGGCATTTTCAGCCCAGACGAGAAATTTTCCTTCGCCAGCAGCTTCAAATTAACAACCACAAGCCCCTGAACTTCGAAGATGGGCAAGTTTGGATGTGAGACGGCGTTGATTGTCAGAATCAACAACTCTAGCGTCACGACATAGACAATGTCCGCTTCGACAATAGCAGGGAGGGTGAGGCGACAAGGTCTGACAGAGAACGAAGGATGAACCAGAGGGTGGTTGCCAAACATAGACATCGGGCCCGTCACCGCCAGGTCGGCTTTGGGTTCGGACGCCGAAGTTGTTGTGGTGCCCAATGTCAGAGACCCTATCGCACGCACTGACGCTTCTGGCAAGCCAATCCCCAGGCGACATTTTGAATCCCGTCGAGTCATCCAAAAAGGGCAACAGTCAGGAAATCAAGGGCTACAACACAGTAACCATGCAGTCACATCATCCCCAACCAGTGGCCGTTTCCCTCACCCGTGTTCAGGACCCCTAAAAACAACAACAACAACAACAACAACAACAACAACAACGTGGAGGTACGTGTAGAGGGAGGTGGAAGTAACTCAGCCAGGGTGTCTTGCGGCTTGCCTGCAATCTTCAGGCGGTCATGAGGTGTCTGTTGACCAAAGACTAGCTAGGAGATGGCTTGTTTCAAATCTCAGTCCGTTATATTCCGGCAAGAACCTCCACACTTGATCAAGCGTCAACAGTGTCGGCCTACAGTACGTTGTAGTAGCGGCTTTTTGCGCGGCTCAGTTATTAGTTCGGTCTCTGCCGTCCTTGGCTGCTGCAGAGTAGCATTCTCGCTATACGCCATCCCGATTTCAGTAACCTCGAGAAGCCTTCTGGAATGTTTCGGTGCCGATTCCGGCAGAAATGCGTTGGCCGCCATAACCGCTTACTAAGGACCAAAGGAGAAGCTACTGTGGATGCGTCAACCTCGGGTACGGCAAAAGGGACATCGTCCGCTGGACCATCAATTTCAGCTGCCACCTGGGGCTGGGCGTCTGTTAGGGTACACCAAAAATACGCATCTTTTTACCTGCAGACAAAAGGATCGTGTAAAGAGTGAGCGAACACCGCTGTCTCTGCAATGCCAGCCAGACCAGCTATATCGCTTAAGCCTCCCACAGGAAGCAGCAACTAGCTTGTGATTCTCGGTTAATGAACCAATGAAGAACAGCATTTGCTTCATCGTGGATGATCACCAACAACATATTTCGACTTACCTACGGCATGACCCCAAGACACATTCATAGCTGTGAATGGGGTCACCCACCTGTTGTGGACCAGGGCTCATCGACATCGGCGATCTCGATTTTATTGGCTTATGTGGATAACTTCTCTGCTCTCCCACAGCCAGGTATTCGACCTAACAATTTGGGCATAAACCTGCACTCGTGCATACCGCCGGTTACAAGACAGTTTGACCCGCGATAAGTTTCATCTCTTAACCATCTCTGTTGATATCGCTGACACTGATCGGTGGCGATACATGTCAAGCACGAGCACGTCACCGAGTTCCGCGACGATGGATGAGACATTCTAATCTTTCATTCAAAAACGGCGCTTCTTCCGGTATCGATCTCATGAAGTCCAGTGGAACCTTGTAGGTGCCATTCCTGCTTGTCAGTGCGTTCAAAATCTTCAAGACGAAGTCGTGATGACGATGATTTTATCTCCCCCTGCGTGGCACCCCTGTCAACCAGTTCTTCGTCCAACAGCGTTGCAACAAAACCACCTAGTCCTACTAGTCAGCGGCCCACTCTGTTGTGGTTCGGTCCATCTTTCGACAAGCTTTTCCTACGTAGCCCTTTCAGAGATTTCTTTTGCAGCGCGAGAGACATTCCCTGGCCCAGCCTAGTGCTTTGGTGGTGACCAGCCTAACAGGGCTCGAAGGAGTTCAAGGACGAAGAGAATGAGCAAAAAAGGGACGAGAAGATGCTTGTGTGTGAGTTCTCTGCTTCATCATCGACACAAAAAAGGTTTGGATTTATCGCAAGGCAATGACGACTGTGAAGCAACGAAACATGAACGGAATTTCTTTGCCGGAGCCCTTGATTCTTATGTCGTTGGGCTCTATGATTCTGTCGAGTAACATGTTCACTGAAGTCTTCAGAGCTTGGTATTCAAGCTTGGCTGGCGAATGAGCTTACTGCGTACACTTGTAGTCGGATATTTTGCTATTTAAACTCCGATTGTATAGCGAAGTATCTCCTAGTACCCACCTATTTCCCCAAGTGGGGCAGCATACTGTGGTAGGCACCTTGGAACAATTGACACTGGCTTGAAATGCGACAGCAGAAAGAACGTGATGGCCTCCAAAAGCGATCAATTGTTCGGTGGACAGCCCTGATAGCCAAAATGCTTGTGTAGCCGAGCGGATCCAGCTTCAACGGAGGAAATGTTCCTTGTGGATAAGTTCAGTGTGTAGTATGGAAACAACTGTTCAAAAGATCAACTACAGAACCCGAAGCTGGCCAAGTGACGGCGAGTGAGCAAATGACAGTGGCGGTGCGGGTGTCAAAAAGAAGTTGGGGAAGGTAGAGTTGGAAAGTTGGGGTACAGGCTGGTCTTCGAAGAATTTGAATGACAGCTCTCAAATCACGATCGGGTTGATCGAAGTAAGACGCTGAACACACCCAACCCCGCGCCAGCAATGCCTTTCCTCCCCGACCATCAGTTTGTCCCATTCGAGGATGATACATAACAGATCTGCCTCTTTTCCCATCCCTAACAGGTATCAGTTTCTATTCACCCTGGCCGCCATTCTCCATGATCGATCCGTTCCGGTTCTCGGCATGGAGACAGTTGGCAATGGCAGCAGCCAGAGCTCCAGTGCCAGGTCAAATCCAAGATCTTGGACTAGAGAAGAGCACCAACGGGGTCGTCGAACAAGGGCTTTGACGAGCAGTTTCCATAATGGGAGTGGGATTTCACCCCCTCGTCATCTGAACATCAAGGTACACCACCAAGTACAGTACAGAGCAGCAGTTCGCTCCAAAGTGCTCCGCATCATACCCAGAAGGCGGGAATGTCAACAACGCACAGCGGTCACCGAATCCACCAACAGATGGCCTACAAGTACACAGTCGACGCACTGTTCTTCACACACGTCAGGTACATCGCTACCTAGCCACTGTAGGTACAGTCAATGTGCCCTGACACTGCAAGGCCCCAATTCCCTTGACACAAACGCTCCCGGGGTGCAAGCCTTCTGGAAGCCAAACTTCCAGATTTATCTGGTACAAGGGTACCAGTAAATCAATAAACGACTTGTTGCAAGTCAAAAGACTTACCTCCAACCTGTTGCATTTGTTCCTTGTTAGGGGGGTAGAGGTAACTGGAGGACACCTGGGCGTGAATCGACCCGCAGGCTCGGACGAAAGAACGAGCCGACCGTTGAATTGCCTTGGATGCTACCCGCGCCGCGCTGTGAAGGCTTAGAGTCCGAGAGAAGTATCCCACTGTTTCGTGCACGGTGGTAGGGACAAAGCCCCCGGCCTGGTAGGCACCACCTCGCTAAATCCCTTTTACGGAGACTCCATCGTCGCTGTCTTGACCACTCGATGTTCGACAATCCTAGGGTGTCCCATTATTAATCCCCGAGTCAGTTCCGACCAGGGCTTATGCTCATCCCGTTCCTGACAAGTACGTACTTGCAAACTCGAGTCTACCTTGCCCTTGTTCTTGGTTTCTTCTGGAATCTCGTTTTCGTTTATATATCTACCGCTAGCCCCTCGTTCTCTGAGCTACTATCACTTACAACTCAGCTTGGAAGTCATTGCAGTTACCCCTCCTCAAAGTTGAACGACTTACAGTAAACATACTTCGCCAAGAGAATCACTAACACCTCTCGACGACTTTTACCCATTCCTCCTCCTCCTCCTCCAACAACAACAACAACAACAACAACAACAACAACAACAACAAGGAGCTCCACCACCACCTCACCCATTCTTCACACCAGTTCACCACATCCACAATGGAAAGCCTACCCACACCGCCGAACGAGGAGCACCTCAAAACGCAGCCCCCAAAGAGAACACACTCCAACTCCAAGGTCGTCAAGCCAGTACATCGCAGCGGCGGCTCAAAACGCACCAGTGCACATGGTCACCCTCAGTCACCCTCAATAGACGGCCACAGCCACAGCCATTCAGTTGGCGATGGGAGACACAAGAGAGTGTGGAAGGCCTGCGAGAGGTGTAGAATGAAGAAGACCAAGGTAAATACGGGTGTACTCCGAGTATTGAGCAACAGCTTTGTGCTGACCTGTCTCGTTTAGTGTGATGGAGAATTCCCCTGCAAGAGGTGTAAGGACGACGGCCTAGTATGTACTGCCGGAACCAGGAAGAAGACCGAGTACAAGCAATTACCCAGAGGGTATGTAAAATGTGTGGAAATGAGTGATGTTTCTGAGACATTGATTAACACAGTCAAACAGGTACGCCGAGGTGTTGGAAAACACCCAGTTTGCTCTCATTGCTACTGTCCACAAGCTTTATGCCATGGTACGGAACGGGCAACAATGGGACCTCGGTGAGCCGGAGCTCAACGACCGTGGCCAACCGGTCATTCACAACATTGCCTCCAAGCTCGGCTGCATCCGACCCAACAGCGATATGGACCTCCCCGTACATTCCATCTTCCCTGAGGACGAGGCAGGTCTCGCCGAGCTCGCTAGACAGCTGGAAGAGCAACAGAAGGCCAACGCTGCGAACAACGGCAACAACAAGCAGGACGGCGACTCAAGTAGAACCGACCGTGCCAGCTCATCAGAAGCCGACCACTCGGACTTCGAAGACTACCGCAAGACCTTCAACAACGGCACCGCCCTCACCATGTCTCCTGCGAGCCTCAGCTACGGTGATTTCGACCTTGCCACAGCTACCCCTACCGATTCGTTCCCCAGCCAGTCTCCCGTCGTGCCGCCTACCACCTTCCCGACGACATGGCTCAGCCGCCCGACCTCGATGGACTTCACTGCCCCGGATAACCTGTCGTATCTCAGCATGGATATGTTGAACCAGGGCCTTTATGAGTCTAACTTTGGCACCATCAAGCCCCACGTCCTGTCGTGTCCTAACCCCGAGGTCATGATGGGCATGGGTGATCCGATGATGTACTCGGGCTACGACGCTGACTTGCGAATGTAAGCGGTATCAATCAGGCGTAACTGCTCAAGTACCGCCCAAAAAATCGCACACCTCACACACACACACATACACATCACTACAATCTGTACATCGCATCATCGGGTCGGGGTTAACGAAAAATGGCTACGTAAGCGACTAAAGGATTTCAGGGGCAGTTCATTGGGCGGATCGGACAATTTTCTTACGGGTTTCGGCAATACGGGGCGCAAAGCAGCATTTGCAAAAGGCGTATCAACAGACAAAGGGGAACAACAACGACATGGAGGGATAGCTCGCCGCGACGACTTCTTCACACAAGCACAGCAGCACAGAGCAAGCACACTTTTTCTTTTCCTTCACTCTCCTAGCGAGAGTTATTTTCTTCATCATCATCATCATCAGTCATTCCCAATAGGCAAGGAGCTTTACGGTGCACGTTGGTTGGGGAGTGTGTGGCTTTGTCTTTTGCATTTTCAGGGATAGATTGGGCTTTTGGCTTATACAGGTGTTTTTGTTGGATCGGGATTGGTTTGCGGTTGGATGGTTATCTGATTTTTGAGGTGTTGG